ACTCTCAAGACTACCCTCCATCATCACTCACTTGCTATTCCATGAGGGGTAATCCACACTCAAGGAAAGAGCAAGGTCGCTCTGATACCATTGTAACACTAAGGTTTAGAGAGAAGCTCATTCGAAGATAGAAACGTAAACTCTGAAGATGAGAGATACCAACAATGGTTCTCCTCTCCCTTATATAACTCTCACCAACAAGTACAAGGAGATAAGATCTAATCCCCACCATCCATCTCACTCCTAGTGGATGTATGACGTGGCGGATAACCCTAACAGGCACACGGATTGCTGACGTGGCGCACCCAACTAACACATCCACTGTGTACCTACCAAGTACGCGGATCGCTGACGTGGCAGCTATGACTAGTGCACACTAAAGTATCTACATCAATATTTAGAGTAACCTCTACTTTAATTCTAACTAACTAAAGATGGTTACAGTTTGTCACTTGTGTTGGATATATATATATATATATCACCCCAAGGTTTCTACTTTGTACAAGTTGTATTAAATTGTTTGTAAACCTCTCTGGCATGTTTAAGGTGTGGACATAATTCTTGAAGGTGAATCATGTTATACAACGTGTCCCTCGTGTTCGTGCTTGGCTTGAATGTTTCACTAAGATTATTGCTTCTACGTTTATGATTCACGAGTGCGAACTAGGAATATGCCGCCTTTAGTCGTCACAATGAAAACTCTAACTTACAACCGATTAGTCTTTAACTATCGACCAATGTGAGTTACAACCTAACATCCTAAACCAACGACCTAAACTTTTCAATTAAATTCGTTTTGAGAGAAAGGCTTAAAATTAAAAAAAAAACATCAAAGTACTTTCATTTACTGTGCTTGATAAAAAATAATATAAATTGGAAATCAATATATTCTAAAATAAATTAGAAAAATGTTAACTTATTTCAACGTAAATTAAAACTTTTGTGTCAAGTGTTATTCAATATTATTGCATTGATTATCACGATATGCATATAATTATGACATTAAAGCTTACAACTATAGTTCATAAATCTTGTTCTTGTATATACTTGGCGATTTGGTGAATTTTAATTGAAGTGGATCATATAACTCACATTGGAGAGAATCTTGTGAGATATTGTATTGAGTGGCTTCTCACTCGGGGTTGCCGGGAAAATTGATGCATAGGTTGAACCGTTTCAGTCTTCTTTGTTGTCCAATTTTCATCATCTACTACCGGGCATCATAATTACTGCCAGACACGTAGGGAGCAGGGAGCATGTTCGAGGCCAGATAGCTGGGATTTCAAGAAATCTAGATGCATTTGTTGTCAACATCTAAGGAATTTTTTTAAAAGATGCGTACCATTGCATCTCTATGAAGCCGAATGAGGAAAATTAATTTATCATTGTGATATTCATATATTAGCTTTTTTGATGTGATAACTTCGAGTAAGAATTTGGTATGAAGTATCTTCATGTTACTTTTTTTTGCCAAATATTTTAGGTTGAGCAGTATCAAATTACTCTTTTCTTTTTTTAATTACAGCTCGTATATTGGTTTGAGACAAACAAAATAATGTGTACAATTCTCATCTTATGAGTTAGTTGTCTTAGATGTGCAAAGAGATGACTAGATGTCCATGCAAGGGAGAAAAAAGTTAGCTCCGGAGTTTCCGGAGCTAATGTACTCTGTAGTAATTGGGGCACTCATGTACTCTGCAAAGTGCATCCGATCTAAGATCACGTTTTTTGTAAACATTGTTGACTTATTCCAAAGAGAAAAAGAAAAAGTGCCAAGAACAAACACCAGAATGGAGAGAAATATCTCTCAGGCAATAAATTTCTTCTATCAAAGAATGTTTGAATAATATAAGCTAGGTACGATCGCAATTTACATGATAGTTGATGTAATTGTTGTGGTACATATAATAATATAAAGTCAATGACTTGTTGGCTGATGGGAACTGACACAGAGTCGACTACTGACCGACTGCGGACCAGATTGGATGTCTGAGGCCTACGCCACTTCCACAAGTCGTCGATGCGAAATTTCTGCAAATGAGAAAATATATTGGCATAAAATCAGTGGAGAGAGCGTGCTGGAGGCCCCACCGGCGGGCACTCACCACTTTCCCTTTTCACTTCTTTTAACAACATAAAGATCTGCCGGGTAAGCTGACAATTAGTTACATGACATAAATTGAGGAGAATGTCATTGCCACTTGAGGATTTTCATTCTGACATCTTGGCGAAGATCTATTGGACGACCGGCAATGGCGTTGTCTTCCACGAATCTATTATCGATAGCGACCGAGGGTTGACGCTGAGAGACGAGATCGTAAATAGGACACTTTCACTTGCGCAGGTGAAGATGAAACCTCGGCCAGCGGCACAGCGCATATCGTCTCTCGTAGTGGGTGGCTGGCTGGAGGAGGACCAAGTCCGAGTAAATTCGCGTGTCGCTCATCATTTCCGGTGGAAGGCGGCCTTTGCCTCACTGTCTGTCTGCTGGTCCCAGCCCCAAAAGCACGGGAGCCAGAAAACGAACCAGTCAGTCCTCAGATGCAAAACACCAGAGTGACTGTACCGGACTCTGTAATCGCGCGATGGGGTGTTCGCTTCCGAGCTTTCGGAAGTGGTGGGGTTCGGGGCTTTGCTGGCTGGCTATGGTGGGTGGGTGACTGAGTGGGTCAGTGGGATCGCATCCCATCGCCAACTTGCAGCGAGAAACCGTCGAATCGGTTCCATTCGTTCGAGCTCGGGCCAACTCTCCAGATTTGCACTCGCGAGAAAATCATCACAGCAAGACTTCTCTTTGCCAATGGGAGGCTGCTGACTCTCCGGAGCCCGTCTGCCATTGGGCCTAAGCGTCCAGTTGGAGCATCGGCTCGACATGCTATTGGCAGATCTGCTCTGTCCTGCAGATCCAGCAAAGCTGGGCGTCAAAAGATCTCCATGAAACCTTCACGAACTATTTACTATCCACAATATCTCCATAAATGGGACCGTCGCCCGATCCCTTATTTAGACGACTGGTGACCGGGGTAACGGTGCGTGGGGGGCCTGGGCGCTCCCATTGGAGGAAAAGGAGCCCCTTCGGTCCAGCCTGCCCTGACACAGCGGGCACGGTTCGACCAGTCCCCAGCGTGCGGAATGAGGCCACTACCACGAGGTGACCGGTGACCGGTGACCGGACCTCTTAGATGTTGACAGTCCTCCGGTTCGCAGACCGGCACATCGACCATATCCAAGTTCGCTACTGGCTGCTGCTTCTTCCAGCTTAGGATCGCATCCCTTCACGTGAGAGAAATCCCCGCCCGCATGTTCAACAATGCTTCAGAATCACCGTCGTCTACTTCCATACGCCGTCCCATACCTCGGAACCAACTGCTGCAGGGTTTTGGGAGAAGACTGCGATCCGATCTTGGTCTCCACGAGAACGAGTTCTGTAACAACTTCGTGTACTGTACAACATACTGTATCAAACCGTTCTACATTTTACGCAGTTGGTTCGGCCCTCACCGGGAGAGATTTCTTACGGGCAAACGAAAGTACTTTGTCGATGTGTCGATGAGCACTACTATGTTTATGCTTCGGCTTCTGAGTGGCAACGTTTCGTCCTCTTGGGTATGGCCTCTTGTGATAATTGTATAAGTCTTGCTGTATTGGCCGGATAAAGGATGCTCTTGTATCTTTGATGCACTGAATGTTTCTCTGTATGTACCTAGAAAATGTTCGCTTTCGTCACTACAGATGAACTTTCAATGCGTTGATTAATATTTCCTTTAGCTCCACCCTTTCTAGCATCGTAAAAGTATTCGTCTGCCCTTTCACTTTTACACACCAACACCGAAAAGAAATTTTTATTGACCTGCATCTAGTTTTCCAATTCGTAAAGCTTTAGACTCTCAAAGTCCGCCATGGACAAAAGCGAAAGTTAGTCAAAAAGATTATCAAATCGAATGACCGGGCATACGTCTTTCTTGTTTGGACTAGCAGGTCAATTGTTTGAATTTCCGCTTTATTTATCAGCTTATAATTTCCACCCCTACGCAGACGGGTCGAAGAGAGTAAAACTCGTATGCTACAAAGGTATCCGGAAAATACTATTATAGACTAAATTCGTCAAGGCCTATGGGGAGGGAGAGTGAGAGTCGAAGAGAGGTGACAAAGCATTGAAGCCTTCACACTCGAGGATAGACACGATCTGCGTGTCAATGGATCGTGTCTTCAACCTCTCTCCATCCCGCCTTTGATACCCATCTCCCCGGGATCTGATATGAGTAGATCCGAATAGGCCCACATAAAGTCTTTATATACTATTGAAAGCCCATTCATCTCTCGTATGAAACACGTCATGCAACTTCACACATACTCAAAAGCTCACGGCATCCGGTCCCTCCACTGAAGAAACTCACCAGAAAATGAACAATTGCTGTATTAGAGTATGGATCATGCATCTGAGGAAGTTTTCTACATTTTCCATCTACACTTTACGGCCCTTCGGATCACATTTCTTTCAGGAGATTTGAGATGAAAAGGGTGGACAAAATGTTGGACAATGCTCATTTGTTACCAGATCCACCTCGTGCTGTCAACCCGAGCTACGCCATCCCCCGAGAACTTTCCTCTCTCAAATCATTAGCCAATAATCACAATGCCCATCCCACCTCCGAGAGCTCCACCTTGGAGAAATCTCGACGCCTTGAAAATGACATGCAGTGTGAGAGGTCGCAGCCATGGGAAAGAGCTCCTCTGGTCGCTTCTTCTCACGAAGAAGCACGACCTTCCTCGACGTTCGGACTGACAAAATCGCAGTCTGAAGTCGAACACGTGAAATTCGAAAATATCAAACTCCGGACAAATTCGCTTTTGTTGCATCCGAGATTCAACAGAAATGCCGTCCTGGGCTAAAAGCTCACCTCTGGCTGACATGACCCGTACCGAGAGTTCCATCAGCCAACGACGTAAGCAGGTCGGACTACAGTCGCAGAAAAGGGACGCGTCCAGTTGGCCCGGTGGGGCCCGCCGCTGCTGCCGCGGCACGAGAGAACTCGTAGCAGCAAAGGCATGAACCGGCGCTCGCCACCTGGAGAGCTCCCAAGCCGACAGCAGACACCATTTGGGCGATGCGTTCCTGTGAGCCCTCGGTTCCCCGCAATCCAAAAGATATGGAATTCCATCTCTGCGCCCGCCCACTCCACGCAATGATCACATCGGTTCGAGCTCATGAAGGTCCGCAGACGACGACTGCTACAGGTCCAGCCCATTTTCATCTCCCTGCGCGCTCATGTCACACTCTATCTATCTCTCCATCCGCGACGACGACTGTAGAGACAGTCCCTCCTCCTTCCCATACGTATGTATGTACTCCCATCAGAGCCACTCCGAGCCCACTCCAGCCTCCAGAGACTCTCCAACCACCTCCCTGCGAGAGGATCCTTTCGGCTTTTGCAATCTGCATGCATGCCATAGTAACCGGACAGTTCGTAGCTATCCTAGACATTCGACGTGTTGAAGTTCAGCTTTGGGACATTTATCAGCTGGCAGTCCCATGCTATTGATGTTATTGTCGTGAGACATGGGAACTATGCTGTTCTCGGTGAATCCCACTGGTCGAGTACAGTTGTGAGCTGAGCACATGGATACGCCTTGGCGTCCTGTGGGGTTCGTATCCTGTCTTGTTGGCCTATATCCGAGGTCGTATACTGACATTGAAGAAGATCTGCATTAGCTTATGAGGGGCTACATCTAAGGAGCTGCAGTGGACACTATGCGTAGGGGATTATTGATATTTTCCAAACAATTGTCAGCGTAATTCACAGAGTGAGCGAGAGATACGCGTTCCGCGGTAGGGGAGAAGCAAGATAAAGATTGTGTGTGGAAGTGTAAACTTTGTATCTCGAAGTCGAGGGGACCCACGTATAGAAGATAGGCCTTCCAGGACTTCATGTCCCCGTGAGGTTGCTTTCCACATAACTATTATATTCAGTCTCTGTCGACCCGGCTTATCACGAACGGGCGTTAAGCTTTCCATCTTGGCATGCGTGTCCCTTTCGCCTTCATTAAATTCTCTCTGATACATGATTCTCCTTCTCAGCGGTAACACTGCACAACATCATCACCACTTTTGCACGTCATTTGTTGTTATCTACGATTATTTATATGGAATTTGACCTTTAGACGTGCCCCTTGCATGGAGCAATATCTCCACCCGACCGAGGTTTCACATTTTTGCTGGTGTGAAACATATACTACTTTCACATATTTTCATACTAACGTGACCTCACACTTAATGTAGATAGTTTGTGTCTTATACTCATGAACTGTTACAGCTTGTAAATTTATACAAGATTTATGTAAAGTTAGTTAGAGAACCGCAATCTGGATATAAGGTGCATGACTCTTATATCACTACATTAGAGTTGGTATCAACTACACCTTCACAAATATATATAATTGCAGATTATTCACTTTTAGACTATGAAACTTTTCATGGGCGAAAAATAGAAAATTTACGAAATGTCATTCAACCTTGTTGAAGATGATTGTTTCGCATATGCATAAATAAATAAAGTTTGTTTAAGTAACATTTCCTTCCATTAGCTTTTAACTTACAACCTTTCATATGAAATTTATATATATTCATTCAATAAAATTTTCTTATTATTTTTAAAAATACCATCAGACTAATATACGCATATACATTATATATTTATAATATCGATATCCCAGCAATTTCTTATAACTTGAATATTTAAAATCCTTGTAAAAAATTTATATGATTCATTATCATCATTATAACAAAAGAAGGCTGCCAAATGAAGAACAAAATGGTTTATAAACCCTTTCAGAGCCAAAAAAAGTCAAACAAACGAATGATTATGTGTTAAACTAAACAAACATTGTGATGATAATTACAACATGCAACATCAAATGTCTTCAAAATATCAAGATAAAAAAAATCAAAAAATAAACGCTGAATTAATTTACATGATTAAATTTCAACGTATAAAGACTAACTAGTGCATTTTTTAACATTTAAAAAAACCGGGAGTCAATCAGAAAATACACTAGAAAAAATTCAACATTTTGTATTCAAAAAAATAAATTCTCATGCGCTTGCTCATGAGTACATTAAAATTCACGTCCATAAATTTTGAAAAAAAAATTAAGGTAGTTAAATAAAAGCCTGAATTTGAAGTATTATTATACTTCAAGATTCTCAAAACTGCAATGAATTTTTTCATAAATTCAATACAATATTTAATTTTTAAATCAGAAACTATTCATTTAGTTCAAGAATATTCACAGATTTTAAAATTTTAATTTGATAATCTATAATGAGCTATAAATTAAATTTCATCTTTAAAAGAATAAATGTATGAAAAATATGAATTTCAGTATATTTGGACCATTTCTCGATTTGTGCGTGTCATCCTTGCGCAGGGGCCATGCTAATCTTCTCTGTATCGTTCCAATTTTATCGGATGTCCCCGAAGGGACGCCTTGTGCACAAGCATGCTTATATTAGGCAAATGCATGAATTATCTAAATCAACATGATTTAAAATAATCATGAATGATTAGTTTAGACGGTTATATATAAATGCTTTATTTAACACAAGATTATTAATTAACATTCATCAATGTGCTATGTAAACAAGAATAATTTTGCTCGCACAAATCTTTATATTACAAAGTTTTATATACGGTTGCAAAACAAATACTTTTTCAAATGCATGATCATAAAAATGGACTTTACCGGATTGATTCCATGATAAAGTATTGCAACGAGATCACAACTATACATCAGATTTGGTAATCAAACACCAAATGATTCTTACTTGAAACTTGAAAGTCTAGAAAGGAGATTGATGCAATACTTCGACATTGGATCACATTTGTGAGCATAGGTTAAAACCTTGTGTTCGTAAACAATGAGATCGATGTAAACTGATGAATGATAATGCTCCAATCGAAAAACATGTTGCAAAATCTTTTGAATAAAGTTGGCTACAGATAGCTCGACAAACTCATGTGTTTACACAGAGGAATAAAAAACAAAAGCGGCCGGTGCATATTTGTTTTGATCTTAATGGGCAAAAATTTCATGAATGAAATAGCAAGCAATGACATAAACAAAGAAGATGTTGTGTTAAGATAGATCTCATCAAATGAGATGTCAGTCTCTCAAGCTAGATCAACAAGAAGTTTGTTGGGATAAAAAAATTAGCATAATCTATTCATGATTATGCTAAACTGCATAATCATGAATAGATGGATCGTATTGATTCTGCATTTAGCAAAGAAATCACTTCAACTTCGTCAATGAAAGATGCGATGAGGCTATCTAGAATATTTTGCTATCAAAACACAATAATGTTTACTCCTTGGATAGAAGTGAAAGCGACAACTTTTCGAGTGGTGAATTAATGCACAGAAAGAAATGAAACCCATCAAAGATAAAATGAAATAGAACTTGGTAGCTTTGACTTGATATGAGTGAGCAACTACGTCAGATAACTCCATCCTTGAAAAATAGTTAAGGCTTTGATTCAATCTTTTACTCTGGATCACATGCAATGTAGAAGAGATATTGAAGAAATAACACTTTAGAGAATTTGGTATACTATGCACAGTTTTAAGACCATAACCTACGTCATTTTACTTAACATACCCATATTATGTATTCCAAAAATTGCAAAGAGTGATACTGGTGTGTCTGTGTGAGATTAATTTCCAAATCACACGCGTACTCTCTTGCACCATCGCACAACTAGTTAATTAAGGCCAGCCACAGGGATAAATTCTTTCAACTCTTTTGTGAGTACCTGGTTGAGTTAAATCTCTCTAACTTCTAGAATTTGTCATCCGAAAAGCACGTTTGTACTTGATATCTTTGACATTATGGAATTTCATAACTCTTACGTAGATTTGCACAAGAGACACTACGCATGACGCATAGAGGTGCATTTATTTGCTCACAAGAAGAAACAAAATCCGGATTGCTTGCTAGCTGAGCATAACAATTTCCATCTCATATCTCTTCGTTAGGCATTTTCAAATATGCAAGGTTTTTTCTTAGTGAAGTTCGTCACTAGCTTTTCGATGTAGACACACAATTGTTGTTCCTCTGAGTTATATCAAATCATCCCTAAATATCTCTCCCTAGCAGGAGAGTGATAGGTAGATAAGGCATACATGTTGTACAAAGAAGAAGATGATAATAAAGTTGGTACAATAAAAATGCATGGGTGTAAGTAAATTAACCGTCAATTCTTGCCAAATTGAATGTCAAGGACTTGTTTAGGGTCGCAGAGGTCATTCTTCCGTTTTTTGTTTTACCATATGTCCGATGTAATCGTAGCAGTCCAAATTGAAATAAGGTCATCCGATTCACAAGGGACCTGGCCACGTCTTCCTCTTTGGACTCCCTGGGCTATTATTACTTACTGTTTGCTATATAACTTGGTGTCTTAATTGTTCACAAGACAAACTAATGAAAGACTATCACCCCTGACTATCAAAGGTGTTCACAATACCGAATTCATCTTTTCCAGAAAATATCTCCTTCACCCATCAAATCACAATTTTGACGCGCTAGTATGCATCTATCTCTCTAATCAGCTCTTTTAGCCAAAGCTTTCCGATGAGAGACTGATTATTTGATAAAATTTTGTTTGGCCACAATAGATGACTAGCATTTTGAACCGCGCATCAGCACTTGCAGTCTCAGTCAGTCTCCACGAAATAAATATAAGAAATGAGAGCAGAGCGTGGCTTTAAAATCAAATAGCCCGACTAGCCCTGACTCCTTATCCTGGCTTTCACGCTCTGGTTCGAGGCCGTTGTTGGACGTTGGTCTCTGGCTGAACGTTCGATGGCTTCTGCCGTCAGCTTTTATATTCCAAGAGTCTCCACTTGCCGCTTTAAGTAATATTAGTTTGCTTTTCCGCACTCGCATGTAGAAATAAGACTATTTGGGGAGGAAGAATCCAGAACACGATGTACGGCACGGGGATGCCGGGGAAAATATCGAAGTAATGGCCGGGGATAATAATAGAATAATTGATGACGGTGGGTATATGGACGAGGAAAGGGCAGATATTTTGCAACAGGGGCGACGGGCATGACGAAGGATCACGCGGCGGTAAATCTCCAGTGATACGAGGCGAAATGCTTGGGAGGAGGATGCGTAAAACGAGCAGCAGGAAAACACGAGGAAAGCATCTGACACAAAGCGGGGTAATCCTGTAAGAGGGATATTTCGCGTACAGTAGTGGGGGGCGGGGGGAGACCTTTTCGATCGGAGAAAGAGGAGGTTGACGTGGCGGAATGCCACGTATCCAGGCATTAGCGGGAGTCGTATCCTAATCGACAGGCAGTTAATTAAGCAGGTCCACTCAGTTTTCACTCGACCCGCTTTTTACCGCGACCGGCCCGCTGCCCGGCCCGCGCTGCCCGGGATCGCTCGCCTTCTCTGATTGCCCGTCGTCCCTTCCCTTCAGATCAGGCCCGCGCCTCGCCCTCCATCTCCTCGTCATCTGTTCGCTGACGCGAGGCGCTCGAGCAGAGCAGATCAGACCGAGAGCAGCGGCCTTCCCTTCGTTTCACAGTCGACGCTGCGCGATCGGCTGCCTCTTTTGTGAGTAGAAGGGCGGAGGCGAGGCGGGGCGTGGCGCAAGTGTCCAATCCTGCATTATCCCAGTGCGCGAGCGCGAGTACGAGTTTGGTGCGGCCGTGGCGACATGCGGTACGGAGTTGTGGGTTGCTCTCGCTTTCGCGTGCAAGTTTTGTGCTCGAGGCGACGCACGTGCAATTGGTGTGACGTGTAAATTCTCTGAAGGTGCCCATTCTGTCGACCAGGACCGCAGACAGTGACGGGTTGTGGTTATTGATTGTGAGTTGAGTTTCGGTAGTTCACTGGGGAAGTGGAAGTAGGTGAAGGAGGAGGAGGAAGAGAAGGATTAGGAGACGCAGATTTGTTCATCGACGTAGAGGTTGCCGTGCGGCCCGAGAAGTTGCAGTCGCAGGACTTCATCAGTTGTTTGGCATGGGAGTTTTGGCTGAGTCCAGCAAAGAAATGTTTGATGAGTGCTAGCATATTGCAGCAGGTCGATTGTGTTCTTCGACCTGCTCTCAGTACACTCTCTTTACGTGGGATTGATAGGGCTTCACGTACCCAGCGGGACATACACCACTTTCCAGGTTCCTCGGGCTTCTCCACTCTCACTCGGGCTCTCGCTTGAACTGAGACTCGGGCCATGATATCCAGGAGGTGTTCTTTTGCTAAGCCAAGTGGAGGTTGATGGTAGAAATTTTGGAGTTGAACATCCACAGGATTCTCAGGACTCCGAGGGAGATTTCCATGGAAAGTGAGGAGGTAGTATCTGAAGCTGCTTATCGGAGTTTAGCGAAGATGATGAATTTGAGAACCCTCAGGCTTGTATTCTCACTGGCTAACACGAGAAGTTGGGCATGAACGGAGAGATGGATTTGTAACCGGTCGGGAATCAGATAGCGATATTCATCTTTCTAGATTTGCCAGTTAGCGAAGAAGATTTCCGCCCAAGGAATGGCCGATGCTGTTCTCCAAGAGCTGGGTATTGAGAATGGAAGACGCGTCGTGTTCGATCGCAGCAGACTCCGGATTTTGCTTTGCGACCCCAACACGTCCCCCGAAGTGGTGGATCTTCTGCAACGATGCTCATATCAAGGTCTGATTTGGTTCTGAATCCTTTGCATTGTGATTTCGACCGCCGTTGTTGGCTGTGTCTAGCCTCTGCATTCTGTCTTCTGACCATCATGTCCCTTTCAACCGCAACTCTTATCGTCGATCACATCTATTGTACAGTCCATGCAGACTCTTAAAACGTATGAGCAGTTATGACATGCAATGTTTTCTGACTGTAGGATTGATGCTTTAATTATGTAAAAACACGGTGGTAGAAGACCCTGAACCTGGTGGCTAAGCCAGATTTTTTCTCCATTACGTTACCTCGCTACATGCGAGGTAGTTGTCCAAGGATTTGGTCTCTTTGTTAAGCGCTGTCGTAGGCCTTGATAAGTATCGGTTGTACTCATCTCCCGTTGGTAGGAGTTTTCAAAGTTTCAAAGTATCGAATGTGACCAAATCCCGAGTTGTGGGATATAAGGTCCTAGTCTTCATGTGAAACGGGAGCCTAGGACACCGAGCACCTGAACCATAATCACTTTGTATTTACTATCATGTTAATGGTATTCATTAGCTTCACATCCGAAGGAGTTACGCCTTTTCTCAGATTCTGACTGAACGTGTTTTGTGTCCTATTAAATCTCTGTGGAGAGAACATTAACAAGACGTCAAAGTTTCACTATGATTGCTGTTATGTCCTCACCCAAGTTCAGTTCATTCTTTGCGTGCCTGCATGCAGAAATATGTCTACTGATTAGCATCCAATAAACAATACACTGTAGGGTCAATTAACAGAGTTTCAGTTCATTCTTTGCGTGCCTGCATGCAGAAATATGTCTACTGATTAGCATCCAATAAACAATACACTGTAGGGTCAATTAACAGAGTTTCATAAGTTGCTGCACTGCGCTAAAAGGGTCGAACATATGTCCCTGCAAATAAGTATGGGCATATCATAAGTAGAAATGCGTTTGTTGTATGGTAGCAGCAGTGGTGGGCCATCTCAATGCCCCCTGCCAATTGTATCATGACGTGTGCTCTACAGCCCGTGTGCATGTCGATAGGAGGTAGGAACATTTTCAAAACGACATTTTGTTTGTACAATTTCTCTTATCTTTGAGATCTTACTTATTACATGTTTTCCCACATGACTGTGATGGCACGCGTGGAAACCAGATACTCTGTGTTCATCCCATTTGAACATTCTGATCCCTGCTTTAGGAATTCTGCTTGAGATATCATCTACGTTGGTTTCACCTGAATCTTTTCCTTTTTATCCAAATTGTATTGGCAGACATCTGACGTCATTGTTCTCATGCATGCAGTGGTTGCAGTGCAAAATGCAAGACAGGTGATGGAAGTTCTGAGGAACGGCATGTCTGATGTCGATCTAATACTGGCTGAAGTGGAACTACCCAAGAAGAAAGGATTTAAGATGTTGAAGCACATCACGAAGGAAGAACGACTGAAGCAGATTCCAATCGTCAGTAAGTACCTAGTTACTGATCTCTGATTGTTGTCAATTGTTCCTGTAGATGGCACGGCGATCATCAAACATGTAGACGTCTATATAACTGCTTTGTATCTAAATGTGCAATAGGTCCTTCATCTGTTCCGATGGTGACGATGACAACGCTCTTCTAATCTAATGTCCAGTCTTGTCATCGGATAGGCCTATGTATTCATTCCTCGTTTGTTTACTGAGTGTCATTGGCGTGTTACTAGTTGAACCTGTCTCGACCCTCTTCAAAACTCACGAAGTTGCACGCAACATAAGATAACACGCAGTCTGATAAGAAGAGGCATTACCACCACACCTAAACCTCAATGGATATTTTGTGTTGCTTACAGTGATGTCGTCAAGGGATGAGATGGCTGTCGTCGTCAAATGTCTCAGACTTGGGGCGGCTGACTACCTTGTGAAACCCTTGCGGACTAATGAGCTGTTGAACCTATGGACACACATGTGGCGTAGACGGCGAATGGTAAGAATATGTTTGGACATCACCTGCCGTACTACGTTTCTGAAATGTAACGGGTTAAGTAGGTTTGTACTTAGCTCAAGGGTACATGATGGTGAGTTCTGATAATAGAAACTTTTATTGAGATAGAAGACGCTGCCTTTTTAGATTTTGAGTTTTCAGCGATCCAGTCTGAGTCTGTCTGCCAAAACTATGGTGCGTGTCAAGGTTAGGAAATAGATACTTAGATTTCATTTTGGCCGAAGACTTACCTTGAATTCTTGGATCAAATGTTCTTGTAACAGCTTGGTATGTCGGAAAAACACATGATCAATGGTACCCTCAACATCAATTTCCCCCCTATTGACATCTTCGTGTCCGACACTAGTGAGTCCAATACCACCAGTACCGATCTCTTCTCTGATGATAGTAACGATCAACCTCGCCGAAGTGTCATGGATGTAGCCAACAGCAAACTTGCAAGCAATTCTTCGAGCCAAATAACCAGCCAAGTAAGTATCTGTCGTGACCTTCTGGCCCTCCCTTTTATATGTATACTAGTCGCCGGCCTCACTTGTGCCCACGTTTTTTTTTGTGCAGAGTAGTTCTGAATGTGGTCAATACTTATTACTAACAAGTGTTCCATGTCATTCCAGGTGAGTCGCTTGCCAGGTTTAGAGTTGACGCTGAAGCCTTCCTCTGTGGATTCAACGTTGATTGAGAAACCTGCTCCGAAAGAAAAAGGTCCGTTCACAATTGATGCCAGGACGTAGTCATGCTTGTTAGTTTTCAACTATCCAGATCGTTATCCAAAGTGCCTTTAGGACTAATATATGGCTCGTTTTATAGGCTCATAGTCAGTGTAATCCTCTCTTAGTCTCAACCTCAGAATCTGAAATTAACTGTGTGCAACTTCTCAAGTTACAAGCAGCAGTACGTTATTTTTGTTTAGTAAGGATTTTATTTATCTCTTGACTTACATGTAAATGGAAAGAGCTTGTGTACAATCTCATCTTCTATGATCAGCATCACGAATTTAACACATCGATTCATGGATTTGTCTTGTGCAGTCAATATAGATATGGTTCCTTCTGGACCTAAGAAGACCGTATTGAAATTTGCACAGTCATCAGCTTTTCTGTCATACGCCAAGGTGAATACGCAGAGGCCTGACAACCCGCCGGAACTACGGAACAGTCATCCAGCGGACAGTGTAGTCTATGAGCATCAGTCTTCATTGCAGAAGCACCCACCTGTCCATAGCCGGCCATCTATGGGAATGTGTATGGGTCCTCCAGCTTCTCACTGGGAAGCTGTCAGTAGTAGTAGATCGCAGGTTTTGAATGCGAATATGTGTATAGAATCTGATAATAATCCATCCAGTCATGGGGTTTCCTGGCCTGCCTGTGAGCCGTCCATATCCACATATCCACATCCCCCTAGCGAACAGATTCCCGCACCCATGATGCAAATGCACACACACAAGGAAACCCTGCTGGGTGTCCCTACTGTACCTAGTCTCCCGCCTCGTCAACTTCTTCCCCCGCCCATGGTGGCCCCAAATATGCACCCTTCAGTTTTGCATGCTATTCATTTGTACCATGGTTTGCCACAAGACGGATCACTAGGCATAGCACCAGGACTACCGCCAATACATACTTTACCACCACACCAGCTGGCGCCACCGGCCTCTTTTTCCTATTACCCGATTGCCCTTCCCGTTGGACATGCCGCAGGGTGGCCATCTATGGTTAGTATGACAGTTTCTGAGCGCAAGTTCGAGCAAGCTGAAAGGAGAGAAGCTGCATTGAACAAATTTAGGCAAAAGCGCAAAGATCGGTGCTTTGAGAAGAAGATTCGGTATGTAAGTCGAAAGCGCCTGGCTGAACAAAGGCCGAGAAACAGAGGTCAGTTCGTGAGGAGAACGAGCGACAACGAGATCAGTGGAGTTGTGGATGAGTCAGAAGAGGAGTATGAAGAGGATGAGAACGGGTCTAATGACGCTATCACAGACATGTCTCCAGAGAGGTTGTCTGAGAACTCGCTCAAAGCTCCTTCGGGTGTGAGAACATGTTGATTAAATTTTTAAAGTGCTTTTGCATACTTCTTCAATTCTGAGGTATCATATTCGATCATTGAAGTTATCGAGTGGTCATGAGTGTCACACCCAGCGCTTTCTTCACAAGTTTTGCAATTAACCTGTAGATCAACTCCTTCGAGTTCGTGTTTTTTTGGGAAATTTCGTATACCATTGCCAGTATTACGTTGCTGACTCCCAGCTTACTGCACGGAAATATTGCCTTTACAAGGAAGTTTACGCCATAACTGCATCGGTCTTGGATATCCTTGGCTATCACTCGTTACGAGCGACGAGGTATGAACGTATTCCTGAAAGTATGTCTTGCGCAGCCTGTCCCTTCAATGTCAAACCCAATGTCGGCGAGATTGGTGATGGTAAGTGAATTGACGGTTGGAGGCTATGTTAAGAACACCGGGTGATGTCTCTGTCTTGACGCTTTTCAAAATCTACCGCTTGTATTGGAGAACCTCAACTCTTGTATCAATTCTTCAATCCGTATCGAGCTATTTTTACACAAGGCTTCATCTTATACTGTGCGCGAAGTGCATCTTGTTAAGCGAATGTGTTTGTGCAAAATTCGCTGGATGCAAACGTCCTTTCTGGAGCGCTGACTTTTAACAGGTATTTTCAAGTTTTCGCATTATTTACCTGGGTCTTCAATGTCCTTAACTGCAACAGGCATGTCCAATTGCTTTGGGTACTTCTCTAACGAGCATGGAGGTATGAAGTACGGGTGTAGTTTTGTAAGGTGAGACAGTCACTGGGTCTTGCTCAGTGTTCCGCTCGACAGGAAGAGTGTATCAGTTTTGCATAGAATTTCTCATTTCCTTATCCATGTCTTCCGTCCTATACCTCGGTACTTCCTTATCTGAGACAAGCAGATTCCTATCGTGTCTTCTGATCGAGTTATAATCACCTCAGTCTTTATTTGTTGATTTTGGCAAAGTTTGATAAGTAAGAAATGCACCCGGCAAGCTTGTAGCTTTGTTCGATGAGGATGAATGCAGCTGTCCGAATAAAAGAGGCTGAATGTGTTAAACAAGCACCTGTATTTTGCCTCACCAGGACGTTGCGTGTCACGAACTTGTAACAGGTCGTTCCCGGGGTTACCCATAGATACGTGCCAGGGAGAATGATCTCTTGATTGAGGAGGTAAAATTTGGCAATCGATCAGTCTCTCGGTAAACAGAGGTAACCCTGTAACAATATTTGTTAGGTAAGTTGCCAAGTGTTTCATTCTTCTTTCGCAAGTAGAGCTGTCTCGACTTGTGTAAGTTGTATCACTTTTCGGAGGTTACCATTTGCCGACTGCCTTAGTTTAGCACTATCGTGATTTGACATCCTTGACATATACGTGCAGACGTCTCCAATCATGATTTGGACATCTAAAAAATGTATCAAGTTTCTGCCACTTGATGCTGGTACAGCACAATCCAACCCCATCCCGAGATTCCTATTGATGAAGCCTTTATAGTACTGCGAAGCACACGGATACCCTTGTTACTAGAAATGTTTAAGAACAAAAAGTTCCTATTGTTTCTTTGATCTTCTCCCCAATTGGAAAGTGCTGCCTTGTGGCAAGACATCACAAACAAATTTAAGAAACGAACACGTGAAGTCCTCTTCTTAAGGCGCCCACAGTGGATGAAATATGCCCATTTCAACCATTGTACTATTGTAGCTCTGAAATTGACTTCTTTTGTAAACGCAAAATCGGTTTTATATTTACTCTCAAATTTCTGTTTCGAAGAGTTTTTCTATGCATTCACCCAATCTGACTAACTTCGCCACACATGTCTTTGAAATTTTTAATATGTCTGCTATGGTTGCACATTGTCGAGTAGCTTGAAAAGCGAAGTGGGAAATGTCTGGAAGTTTTGCTACCTTGTAGCGCTAAAGTCGACGAGCAAGGTAAGTGAGAGATGGAAGCGATCCGGCATGGCTAAGACCCGTTCCTCACACATCTGACGTTACTCTCACTTCTTACGTTACGTGTGAACTTTGCTTATCTCTTGGGATGAGGCAGGAATGTATGTGGTGAATAAAATAAGGTCTGGATTACCACGAACACGTAATTTTCGTTTTAACCCATAGGGTAGAGTAATAATGTATGTTCGCCAGACTATCAAACCTTCGTGAAAGGCGCATACTTCAGTGTCGTAAGTAAACCATGTACATGTCCACTTGCTAGTCTGTTCACCACTGCCCGCGCGCATAGTCTGGCGTGCAGCACACGTAGTAAAGACGTTTGGGTTATCGACCGAGAAGCACAAAGCACAATTCTGTATTTGACACGGACAAGATTCAATGTACATTGAGTTTCTTTATTTGAAATCAATTCTATCAAATATACATTCTGTGTAGTAACTTGCTTCCAACGCGTGAAGCTTCCCATTTCGAATCACTTCAAACTATTTTTAATAGCATGGATAGTAAAATAGAGAAGAATAGTCTATCCTCGTGAAAGTCTTGAGCCCAGAAGATTAATTTTAAAAGCAAGGAAAGGTGAGATTAATGTTCTGGTAGAATAAGATATAAATGTACACAAATCCTCTTGGCCACTAGGTAAAGCGATGTGCGATCAAATCAAAAGTTTGGAAATTGAAGATAGGAACATACGAACAAAACAAACGAAAAAATGTGTGGTTGACTTTCTGACTTGAATAACAATCACCGTCGAAAATAACCGTCTATTTGAATTTATCGGTTCAAAATGCGAAAATCTGTCACTTAAGATTAATCGACATATTTACGCAGTGACTTTTGATGGAGAGGTAACATTACAACGCCTTGACTACGACTTGATGGAGTACGTTGGTAATCTCTGTGGATCAACTAAACTGATCGCACATAGTGCTTTACTTTAATTCAAGCATATTCTTCAGCGCATATTTCAATCTCTAATTTCGATTTCTAATCGAAAACGTCAGAAAGACACAAATCTCATCAAAATGTGTACCGGTTTTGCAAAATGTTAATCAGCTACCAGGCAATATTATTCGTATATACATGCAGACGCAAAACAGAATGTTGACAAACAGAACTGGCGTGAAGGGTTGCGCTCCGGTCTTGTATTGCGAGAGTAGGTTTGAACTGCTAAGTTGTTTTTAAGTGAAGGAGGACTCCTATTACACCTCACACCTTTTTCCCTCTTCTGTATATTTAGTTCTACGTGATTAGTTCAATATTAATTTTTGGCGTACCCAATGATTGACCGCGGCCTATCTGTTTCAGGCTGTACCAGGCGCATGCCAACCACAACAAAATCTTTTGAAACTTTCTCATGATAACGGATCTAAAGTGCTAGACGGACGGTTAGAAGCCCGATCGTAAGCTTGCAGTCAAATCTTCCCATCAATGAGGCGGGACTATTCACGACGTATTCATTATTTCTAAAAATTCTTCACATGTACACATTGCCGTGGAGGCGATACATGCTTTCATAATCGATTTGTAAGGAAGGTCTCAATAGTCGGAAAATCTTCCATACTGATTGAAAAAAAAAACAGCATCCTGCCCACATTTGATAGACAGTGATTGACTGAGAAAAAAGTTGACATCAACCAAGTCCTTTTTTTTTCTTCACTTGATGAACTCTCGACTAATAAAAAAGAACTCTCTGACCTCAGCTGCTTTTCTTACATATCCAGCCACTGGCCTACTTCAACGAAAGCTTTCTGTGGTAGTACACATATACTCCATGCCTGTCTGACATACCCAACTATCGGAAGAATATGGACTCCAAAACAATTGGGAGAAGCAGCAGGTGATAAAAATGACAAACACCTTTTTTCTCCGATGAACAAGTGTTCTCCATTTAGGGATTAACTTCTCGTTGTGTCCATGAAAACTCTCCCATTTTCTGAAAAACGTATCTCTTGTTCTTCCTCAGGTTTAGGTAGTCCACCTACAACACGTTCACATGTGAACAAAATACATCAATTCTAGCAAGCAAGAGATGTAGACAGAGAAGCGATATCTTCTTCAGGTGACCATGCCTCACAGTAGAGGCAGAGCACCAACACGAGGCAAATACCAGAGACAGAATAGTAGTTACATGCCAAAGTTAATAAGTATTCTCTTATGTATGATGCAAATGCTGCGCATAAAATCACAAAGTTCATTATGGAGGGAAACATCAGATCCTATAAGGCAGAATATGAGAAGCACAGTACCTCCTGTGGTTCCAGTGTCACCAAACAGAAATTTTCCACTGGTCCTTGAGCTGGATCAAGCTGAGGTGTGGTCGAATCATTTGGACCACCCTCTGGGCATGGAAAGCCAGGAGAAGGGCCTACGAATTGAAGCCTTGAGTTTGGAGAGCTTTGAAACCATGCTCGTTCCCGCATCTGAATCAACAAGATATTGCTCTCATAAATGTTGACAATGTAATTTGTAGATACGACATTAATTTCAGACCCCTGTATGCCCTCCAACATTTTGCCTGTTCTCAGCAAGATCATAGGACCAACCAGTTCGATTCAAAAAGTGCATAATGCTCTATAGCATCCGATGTTCGCCTTCAGATCAAGAACTGGATGCTGTTTATACTAGCATAACTAGCTTTTTTCGTTTCGATAATCAATATTTGCTTTCCAAACCTTAGATGCATGACATAACATTTTTGATTCATAAGAATCTACTTTGATAGACGAGTTTAAATACGGGCTAACTGGATATAAATTAGTACATACCTTCAAACGTACAGCATTCCTGTCTGCCTCCCCGATGACATCCAGAGTCCCGCTGATGCGAAATTGCTCTCGGGTATCCGTGAAATACCAACAAATCTATTCACATATTTCACCTCAGTCTCAAAAGTTAACAGCATAGCGGAAAGAAATCAAGAAGAACCTAAATTACTGAAAGATTATTCTTCACCTTCACGTCAAGGATAATTCTGATGTTTAGAAGTATACATGCTATTGTAATATCCCTTTAGACCAGTTTTTAGACGAAGAACCCACACACTAAGCAGTTTGCCATACTAGAGGTACCCAAAGAAAGGAATATAGGGAAGCATCTGTTTTAGTTAGAGAAACTGTGCTTAAACCACACCTCTCCAAATGCTTGTGCCTTAATCTCCTCGATCTGCAATTATTGACAGGTATCAAGAGTCATCTTTCCCATGCACGGTAATAGCGGAACACAGACAACTCAAAAGGCTGATACATCAAATTGGAGACTAAAATAAGTTTCAAAATATTTTCCCTTACTTCGAAAAAGTATCATACAGCAAAATGTATTGAGTTGAAAAAACCGGAGAAAGTACACCATAAAGTAGTAGTCATCAATAATCAAGACATTGATATCCTTGCCTTGTGCGACCTAGCATCCGTTGTAAACTGAAGCTTCTCAGTTCCTTCGATCAGTCCTCTACATCAGACCAAAAGGTTGTTGGTTTCGAGTTGCTAACATAATATGAAATTCTTCATATCAAGACAGAACATTAGTAGACAGTATCCAACTTAGTTTAGTTTGCCATATACCAGTCAGCATAGCCACACTGGAGGGAGAAAAGAAACATGTTGTCTGAACCTAATGCGCAGGACAAAGACTATTTGACTCCACATTGGAATGACATGTGCTTTCTGATCGAGAAGAAATGCTAGACACATTCCATATCTTGAATTAATTCTGCAAGTAGATTTCCGATGCTCCAATATATATATCAAATCCTGAGGATCCAAATTTGAGAGATTACCTTCTAAAGTTCACTTAATGATCCACAGACTATGAAAACATACTGTAAACTGTTTCACATTCGCCTTATTGGGATCGGGAACACCAGTGACAGTGAAATATTGAAAGGTAAATCGCCAACTTTGTGCAGGCTTTATGAAACATCTTGAACTGAGCAAAAACATGGTAAATTTAGAACTAAAAATCACTTCACAAGGTAGAGAATGTTTCAATATTTCACACCGATCGCGCATCAGATGACGAACTTGATGAACTGAATCTCTTTACATGCAGATTACAGGCCAATCCTTGAGGCCGAAATGGAGACAAATCACAGGATCATTCAGCACCAGGGAAAGACAATGCAAGAAGCTTACCTGAAGACCACCGTTCTGTTCGCAGGCTTTCCATTCTCCCTCACCGTAGCCTGCAGTGGATCATTCCTAAAACTTCAACGAAAGATCGGAGAGGAATCGGCATGTGCACAAATTGGACAAAAATGGTAATGCAAGAGAAGCTAATTCAAAAACACTGGATTGTGCATGAGAAATGTCTCGACAATCTAGAGAAACGCGACCTGCGATTTGCTCAGAAAATAGAAGACAGAGAAACACACAAGAGAGAAAGAATGATACCAACTGGAAGTACTCTGAATGTTTCAGATGCTTGTTGGCTTGAATGGACTCCAGCAGCAGCTGGCGCCAGGGCGTTATCGCTGCCATGCTTCTCCCTCGCTGCACTGCACCGCAGAACTTTAACACATTACTGAGCCAGTTTACTTACTGTCCGTCCAGCTTCAGAGATTCTTCTTACACCCTCCTGCTCAGACTCCTGCGAATCTGCCCGGTTTGCCTACTCCCTCCATCCCTGCTCCTGTGATCTTGTCAACCGCGACAAAGTTCAAGTTCCTAGTCGCTTTCCATGATGGAATTCCAGGACAGTACGTAAGCTGGTGCTGCTGTGAGCACCACAGGCGCAGTGTGAGGCTAGGCGCTAGGTGCTGGGCCTCGCAAGACATATGACAGCATGCCAAGTGGGGGTTCACGAGCTCTTGCTCTAAAGTAGCTGCTTTCGTGCTCTGTCGTCCAATGCGGGGTCCGAATCGATGTGCGTGTCCGATGTCTTCATCTGGCCGACATCAGCCCTCCCTCTTTCCCCTCCCTTTTCTGCTTCTTCGTGTAACGCACGGGCCGGACGAGGAAGGGCCTGCCATCTGGTCTTGCTCTCGTCCCCCTCTTCTCTTCTCGATCCATTGTCCGCTGTGCAACATCTACCCGTTGCCTTTTCTTCCTCTGTAAGATTCGGAATAGCATCCTCCAATTTTCATGATTGTTGCGTATTTCGTTCTTCCACATTGAATGCTATAAGCTTTTTACGAAACTGGTGAGCAGATTAAATATTTTAACTTGCGCAGAAGCGAGCGCAAAAGCAACATTGTAAACCGTTGTAAAACATTGTAAAAATATGTATCCTGATTATCATAACAGAAGCCACCTCTTGGTATATGATGTTGCAGAGTTTCTGCTTAGACACCTTCGAGACAGTTTTATTTTTTATACCAATCACTCACTATAAAATAATCAAATGTGTGTCCTCGAGCATATTTGTTTTAAGTGTCCATGGCTCGGAGACATTCAAACAAAATTGCAGTAGGCTTCAAACCATCTGCTAAAGGTTGTAACAATCCTCAAATGGCGACTACGTTCGGTCCTTTTCTTCTTTGCATAGACGCCATGACTTGTACCCGACAAATAGACATGGCTCATACTCGCCCCGATTAAGTGCTCTATTCTCCCATTGATATGACGAGAAATTCCAGTGCACTCTTCATCATATATTTTACCATAAACTTCGACTGACGAATGCTTACAAAAAGTATCCTTGGATCCCAAAATCGTAAACATGAATATCATACTAAATATTTCACTTTTTTTTTCCAAAAATTCCGTCTTATCTAAGTAAAATACATCGCAAAAAAATATGATAAGTTAAAAACATAGGTTTCATATCCGTCTGAAGTATTACAGACGATATTCCATTCATTTCCATGATAGAAAGAAAGCAGACCGCGTTTCCATGGCAAATCGCGATTGAATTGTAGCAAATACTAGAAAATCCTTTCTTGGGGCATTGTCTCATACTTTGGATATTCATAATATATATTTTAAAAGATAAGTATTACGAACATGTGAATTCATTAATGTTTTTACTTAAATGTATACTTATAATTTTTGAAATTTTTTTTCATTTGTCAGTTGAAAAATAATATATCTTCTTGACCATGTAAGACTTGATCATTCAAATAAAAATTCGAATATACTTCAAAATCATTCGAATATACTTCATTTAAAAGATCTTATGATATAGAAAACTTGACATCTTTGTTGCATAGGGTTTCTGATTGTTTGATATCTACAGGTGGGTCGAATTTTGATGACAATTTTTTAAGTTCTTATTTTCAATAAATGATGAATTTTTTCAAATAGGATGATCAGATATTGAGTCACCTATTATCAAATATGCAATTATCTAATGTGTTTGATTTATAACACATATATCAATCTAAACATATAGTGTAGACTCTTCATTGAGAAATGTTTTCAATTAGTATAGAATTGGAATATCTTTAAATATCTTTCCATAAAAATATCTTTCCAAACAATTTTTTAGAAACTTATTTTTCAATTTGTAATATTATCTAAATTTATGATCTTATGAATCTTATGATAAATATAACTTATTAGACTGCTTACTCTGATAAAACCAAATAAATTTGTATTCAAAAAATGAAATTTCTAGATGTTTTATTATTTTTATAATTATAAGTTCATGCTGATGATTTTCTCAAGGTTTTCTACCATTCAATATCAAAATTACTAATTGCTTATGATTATCAATATAAGAAATATCTTCATATATTGTGGAATAAATTTCAACTTAGTAACATGAGTTATTGCATTAATTTATATTTATGATCATGCTTTTCAATAATTTAAATTGATAGTTTAATATTGAGCTTTTGTTCATAACATAAAAAAAAATTCATTTTAAAAGAGATAAATTTTAATTTAGAATAAAAATTAGGGTCAATGTATACATTTAAAGTATCATAAATTAAAGAAATTTCAAAGCTTTCTAGTTACAAATAATTCATAAAAAACGTTGTGAACACAACCAAGTTTTCCATTATATTGAAATCTTTAATCCTTTTGTCATACGGTTTGAGATGTGATACATTTAAATCTTATAATTTTGTATGTTACTCAGTTAATTTACAACCAATTATGTTTTATATGTTCAGGCAATGCGACTCTCATAAGTATTGCATTCACGTTATCATAAAGCAATGCTATTATTTTTGAAAGATCGATTGTACTTCCTTTGACATGCGATCTTGGACTATGTTATTTGATGCCATGATCAACCAGTTTTTTTAACACAATTAAGGAGGAAGCTTATGTCAATGTTCACTGATCCATTTAATTTCATGTTCATATGAACCAGACTCGCTAGGACAGCATGAGGAAGAAGAAAGTTAGTTAGGAACTTGGATGTCAGAAATTTAGTAGTTGCATCGTTGATTTGATAAATGACATTTCCACAAAGCGATTCTGCTGCTTCTTTATCTACTGTATTGTCTTGTTTTGAGGAAGGATTTTAATACTTTTAAAACAACATCAGCGCTTGTGGTAGAGCATCTTGACTGAATTTAACCTGCATTAGTGCTAAATAGCTTTCAGATAATCTTAATGTTCGAGATAATGATCTCTCCTGCTTCCTAAATAATTCTCACTTTTTAGCCGGATCACAGTTTTTTTTTCGAGTGTTGTGTTTGAAGTAGATGCAAACCTTTACATATCACGTTCAATGCATCTCATCTCATCTCATTGTCTTTGTGCATTACAGTGTACAGAACATCGATCTCACACCGAGTATCTTAAAGTCTTAGATTGAAGACATGTGGTCTTAGGTTGATAGTCAATCCTATTAGTAATAGGACTGACTAGGCTCGAGCCTTCTATCTTTGCATGTAATAGGCTATTACATGCAAGGATAGAAGGCTCGAGCCTCGCGATCGATGTTCCCAGACTAGGCAGTAAGAGTCAAGCAGAAGGGTATTGAATCCTCTCCTCCTGGAATTCGACAACAACATGTCTGATGTTGCTTGCAGATATATCACAAGTGCGCGTTTGACGTAAATGGACATAAGAATTTTCTACAATGGAACCAATCTAAGTTAAGAAACAGAGGCTAGTGGAGGCTATAAAACAATCGTAACGAGTGTCGTCTGAATTGTACACCAAAATATATGATGATGTAATGTAAACTGTCTTGACATATTCGGTAATGATTCAACGATTTACTCAAACAAAAAGGCTTTGAAGAGTATATTTATAATATGACTCATGCATATCTAGTTCGTCTTATTAGGCGAAAACCAGAGCAGAATCGTCCACTCATTCTTGCAGACAGTTATACTGACCACTCCTGTAGCCACCCTCGTCATCGCCCAAAATGCAGAAATTCTGTCACAAGCGCGAGGGTCAACGACGTAAATCGCTCCCGTAGGGTGTTGTTCGTGCGGTCGACTCCCTATGAATGTACAGGAGAACTCCCTAGAGAGCACTTCTGACCTCACCAATCATGAAGCTAGTTAATGAGACTGGTTTGGCTCATTCGTACCGACGCTTTTGACCCCACGAGGTATTGACGTTTTTTAGTACGTAGATTCGACAAGTTTCTCATCTGCCTATAGCTTCATGAGCCAAGAGGTTGTCGCTACGTGTAAAGCAAGAGTATGGGAAACAATAAATCACTTTCTTTCTCAAGGGTGGGAGATTGAACTCATTATCTCAAATGTCAAAAGTCATATTTGTATATAATATTAGAGTTGGCTTGAATGACATAGGCTATATTGTTTTCTTGACTGATTTTTTCTTTGGATTAATCATTCCTCTATAGAAAAAAAAAACGTATTTCTCGAAACGTAAAGTGAAAATCATGTCAATTCCAAGAAAAGTTAGTAATCATGTGGAAAAAAATAACTCATAACTCATAAAATTTTAGGTTAATAAATCATACTTAGTTTAGTATTTTTATATCTCCCAGTTATTAATGTTGATATGAGCATGATATAATAGCCTTATTGATCTTATTGTACGGACTCAAGAGAATGAAATCATATAGTCAAACACTTGACATTATTGTAAAGGTGCGCCAAAGCGAGGTTGGATACGAGTGTTATGAGTATATTGCTTTTGAAAAATCTTGTTGACTGGGTTATGCACGTACGATACTCATGAAAATTGACGTATGGCAAAGTCCGCAATAATAGTGCCACCGTAATGCCCATATTATATTGGTTTGACTGTTGTCGGGGGATGTGTTAACTATGGATGACAAACATGAAGTACAGATGTTTATCCGATGACATAAATCAACTCAAGTATGCAAAATTTGATATTATACTCACATTAGTTTTGGATGTAACTTGTGTGTGTCAGTTGTATTATTGATAGAGAGAATGTTGAGTATGGGAAATTTATTTGAGAAAAAATTCATCTAAATAATTTTTAAAATAATTTTTAAAATAATTTTTTTTATGGAACATATGCATTTTGTTAATGAAAACAGGAAAAAAATATATGATGAAGTAAAACTTTTTGTATGGGTGGATTACAATACAGGTCAAAAAGCAAATCATTATTGAGATAATTGTACATTCATATGAACATGATGTTACATTTTCTAAATGCTTAGGTGCTTTCAACCATACATCATGTGTGTAAAATCAAATCAAAGTAATTTGATCCATTGAATCAACTACGAATAATATGAATATGAATTATTTATTAAGGAAATAATCATATTTTCATATCTCTATGATGTTTTCATTAGAATTGGATAATGAGAGAAGAAACCTTATTTTTTATTGACTATATAATTTAGTTTTACTTATAGAAACATAATATAATTAAATTCAAAATATGTAGAATACTTACTGATTTTTAATCTTCAATTCATCACAATAATTATAAACTTTTTTATTCTTGATATTAATTTAATGGATAAAATAGTTTTTTATCTTCATAAATTTTGTTAGATAACAAAAATAAATAAATCATAATTTATTCAATGTATCAAATTACTTTGATTACTCTAAAAATTTTATCTTTAATTTTTTTTATCAAATTAATCTAAAAAGTTTATTCACAGTTGAGTGAATTAAATTTTTTTACTTTTAGAATAAATAAAAAATTTAATCATACTATTGAAAATTTCTTAAGTTTAATTTAAATTTTGTACCTCAACATCACATAAATTACAAAAATTCTAACAATATATACACATTGAACAAACCAAGAACACAAGAGACACACGTATAATGTGGTTCATCGTTAAGAGCTACGTACACGGATGAATAACCCTGAGAGAGTTTACTATTTCAGTCGAAAATATGATAGTACCCATAGAAGCATCAAGGTATATATACCCCACGTAGGCGACCAAAGTAAGCTATAATTAGCTACACATGAGGTAACCATTAATCGTAGTTAACCTCAACAATAATTAGATACATAAAATTGATATGTCTCATGAAAAATAATTAAATTTCCATATATTAATCCTATAAAATGATTCCTTTTCTCTCTATCTCTCTCTCATATATGTAAAATTAAAAAATTGAATTTTTTTTTGTTTTTATGCATTTCAAAATTTCAAGTATTGAAATATCAGGATACATTTTCTTGTTAAATAATATTTTAAATTGTAAACTTGATAAAAAATAATAATATATGTTTCTAAAAAAGAATACATTATAATTTATATCATATTATCAATGTATTACTTGATTATGAGTTTTGAAAAGTAAAAACTAAATCTTTTTAATATAAAAGAATATATGCAAAACATATAAGTTGAATCCAAAGAATTCTCAAATTACTACTGATATTTTAAAATAATTTGAAAATTTTTAACCCTATAAAAATTATATTAATATGAATTTTAAAGTATAACTCATAATGTACAACTTATTAAGGTCTTTCATCATGTTGAACTATAATTGCAATAGAGACATGGAATTCTGATTATAAATGAAAATATATTGCTAATTTTTTATGTTGATGGAGATTTATGTTTCGTTTTTAATAATAATTTTTTACATATTTTTTTTATAATTTTAAAGTGACATAAATAATTTTATAAATAAATGATTTTGAAAATAATTTCATTTGAAACCTGATTAAAGCTATGATATTTCAAGATAGATATTATGATGTGATTTTACTAATCTATTTGATCTAAGTTGAAAACAAAAAAAAATAAATTTTAATATATCATTATGAAAAAATATTTCGTCTTCTCATCATTTGAAAATATACATCTTAATTCATACATCATAACAAAATGACATTTCATTTTCAAACCATGTAGAAAATTGAACTATGCTTAAAAAATTTGTTGATAATTAAGTAATATTTTGATTAATTCTAACTAGCTTAATCATGAAAAATTAGTTCAATTTGCTTGTTATGAATTAAAAAACCCATTGTAGCTCTTAGTGACAGAATTTGAGTTTTTGAATAAAACATTATTATGTTACTTGAATAGGATGAACCACAAATCTCAAAAATCAAGTACATGGGTGAATGTGTGTGTGAGTTTGTGAATTCAAGGTGAAGCTTAAGTAGTAAATAATATAGTTGCAGTATTTAATTCTTTGAAAGTCCTCGAAAACACTCATAACATCAATCAAATAATACGTCTAGATTCTGATATTATTTTCCAACTTTGATATTTCATAAAACAATCTATATCTTCAAGATTTTCAATTTTGAATTCAGGCATAATTCATCCTCTTAAATACTCAACTCCTTGACCACTTTTTTTTGGCAATATATCAAATAGTTTGTCAAAGCTTCATAAACCTTAAACATCAAAAAGAAGTTTAAGATACAAATAGTTTGTCAAAGCTTCATAAACCTTAAAGATATTGCCGACTAGCTCGGAATGATCTAAACTTATTGATACTTAAAAATGAGAAATCACAACTTTGATCTAGTGAGATCAAATACCTTTGAATTCCTTAAAATTAAAAATCAAGAAAAAACATGATATAAAATTTATATATTTTACCAAATAATTAACAAAACCATTATCTAATATCAGCTCATTATCAACGGATTTACGGAGAAAAGAGATAAATTTACCTCTTGAAGATAATACTGTTTATCAAAATCGTTATTAATGAATACATTACAAGAAGCCTTAAGATAGGATGTATCCAAATTCAGGTGCTGAAAGATGGAAAATTTGGTAAGCTTAAATACACAGCGTTCATACTTCACTTAAATATGCATTATCAAGTTTCAGACTACATCATGGGGATAAATTAGCACACAATGGGATGTAGATAATATAGTATTAGCTGTATCAAATTATCATTGAAATTATTTAGTAGCCAAATCTCAAACTGATGTAAATAGAAGCATCAAATATTGATCATAATAAAATCAAGGAGGTCATCCATTGGAGTACATATATGAGAGTATGTATAATACTCTCTCATAAGTTTATAAAATCTATTTATGATGTTACTCAATAGATGACCTCATACTCAAAACTCCATCTAATCTTCACTCAGATTCAATAAAAGTAAATCTAAACCATGCTTTATGTGTCATGAAGCATGAACTAGATACATCATTAATATAAGCACCAATACCTTGGATCTTCATTATCATTTTAATATTCATGCAAACCTTGTCAAAGTTGAGCTTCTTGAGCTTAATTTAGGTTAAAGATTAATCTCATGTGTAACTATTTATAGTTGAGTTTAGTCGTTTACATTAGATATATATATATATCCAAAGTCTGTGTATTATCTGATACAACACATATTATATTATCACGATGTCATTTACCCTTGGACGTAATCCTTGAGTGTAAACCACGTTGAGTGTTTCTATGTTGCTTTGCTTGAGTGTTTCCATTGTGTCATTGACGATTTTTATGTTTATATTTATGCACTATTCGCGTCGAGAGCTTTTCAATGATATCAGGTTTGCCTGTATTAAATTGAGAGTATTTTGAACTAAATAAGTACGAATTGATTATTCCTTGGGAGAATAGAATCTTTAGGACACAATTGATTTGGCTCGAACTCTGCGCCTGTGCGCAATGGTCGACCGTGACACACCGTTGATTGCGACTGCAATGTCCATCACCCGCAACAGCATTGTCCGCCACCACCGTCGAATGTCACCTTCATCGTTGATCGCCCATCGACCACGTATCCACCGATCATGACTGTGTCCTCCTTGACCACGTAAGTATTGACCACATTGGGAGCGACTACGACTGCGTTGTTCAGACCACGTCGACACCGACTACGTTCTTCACCTACCACGACGGTGTTATTTCTGACCACGTCAGAACCGACCACGTTAGTAACAACCACGATTATGTTCACCCAGACTACGTAGAGGGGGCGGAAGGCGACTGCGACCACCGAAGGGAAGACGACCAGCGCGGGAGGGCCGCCGGTGCGAACTGCGCGTGGAGGTGGGGGAGCGGCACCGCCCGACTCCGCCGGGTTGGGGGCACCGCTGCCCTACTCCGCGGGAGGGCTGCCGCAGTTCGCCGCTGCGAACTGCGCGCGGAGGGGGTATCACCCTAAGTATATCACCGCAAAGTTCTATTTGTGTGACTCCATTCAAATTTCTATTCAAGTAAACGAAAATACAACAAATTCGGAACTCGAGAGTCCTATTGCCATGTTTAGAGACGCTGGCTATAAATAATTGAAAATGAGTAGAAACGGACGAGTACTGTCTGAAGTCCATCAACCAGATACCATGAAAATCCAGCTCTATGCAGAGGAATGGAGTGAATTAGCAGGGAGTTCGTGGCAGGATTGCTTTTGTAGCTCACATTATTCGGAGTTTCAGTAGGCAGAAGCAATTTACTGGTTGAGAAATTGAGCACGGGTGAATTAGCAGGGAGTTCGTGGCAGGATTGATTTCGTAGCTCACATTGCTCGAAGTTTCACTCGAAGTAGGCAGAAGCAATTTACTGGTTGAGAATTTGATCACGGGGCGATTTGAGACGGGCGTGGTTGACTGTCGGTTCGAGGCTAGACTGATTGTGAATGATTGTGAATGATGGCGTGACGTCGGGCGACTGGAAGGTAACTGGAATTGAGCTACTACAAAGCAACGCGAATCCTGCTATCACGTGGGCTGACTTCGGTCGTCGCTGACGTCTACGCACTGTGAGCGATGTCGATCTAGCGAGCGAGCTCATTACTGATCATTACTGCTGGGAGTACAAGAGTCTGAGCGACTCGTAGGAGCACAGTTCTCATAAACCTTAGATCTGAAGGCGACCATCCCGACCAATCTCAGTACGGGACGTGCAGTCGTCTTATTTTTTCTGTCTGAAGTCCAGCCCAGCGTCATGGCTGCGGCGTCCGTGGTCGGCTCGAAAACGAGGGAGTTGAGCACCACCGAGAGAAATTGGGTCTCTCTCCAGAAAACGGGGACAGGAATCGTGGTCGCAGCTTTCTGGTTCGCTCGTCAGCTGTCGACGGCAAGCGTCCAGGCCGCCGTGATCGAGCTGGTCAATCAGCTGCCTTACCTGAATTCTCAGGTCCGGACCGTGGACAAGGGCGGCGAGAAGAAGCTGTTCTTCCAGCTGAGGAAAGATCTGCCCACGCTGGTGGAAGAGGTGAATCCCTTCACGGAGGGAGAGGGGGAAGGAGTCGGAGGAGAGCAGGATGAAGCCAGGGAAACGTGGTCGAGGATCGTGGATCTGGAAGCGAACAGGAGCTTCCCAATTCAAAGCGATGATTTCTCTCGGGTTTTCCAGGTGGTGCTATACAAAAACTTGCCGAATAATTCTGTGCTCGTGGTGCTGCGGTTTCAGGCCAGCGCGTTCGATTGCCCGAGCTTGGAGCCCGTAGTGTCCAGGTTCTTCAAAACTCTACGACAGGTGGTGGAGAGAGAGGAGCAAAAAGAGAAAGTAGAGGATTTGATGAGAAATATGACCCTGAACGATGATACAGTCGGAAATTTCACCTACCATCCTTCGATGGAGGATATGATCCCCAAAGGCCTCGGGGACAAGAACATTCTGAGCAAAGGTTTCGAAATCATGTCCAATGGTTTAAAGGCACAGTCGTATCGCTATTTCGCATTCGACTCAAAAACTGTGAAGAAAGAGCAGAAAACTCGCCATATCCGTGCTTCTCTTTCTCGTGAATCTAGCGACCGTCTCATTGAAGTAAGATCCTCTTTTCTTTCTGCAGCTTCGACCGACAATAAGCTTGACTGATCTCCCTTGCCTCATCGTTCATTTCGTCGTCACGTGCATGGTTCGGGCTCGTATTCCAATCTCTATGATCGTGCCTCCACTAGTCGGTATCCTATCTTGCTCCATGAAATTCGTTCATGTCCACTAGAATCAACCACGAGGGTCATTCTTCGATTGCTTATAAGTTGCTCTTATCCTTCTCGGCTCTTGTGCCTCTCATATCTTCACGGCTGTCCGTCTGTTACGGTTTCTAAACTTGCAATCTCCAAGCTGTGTCCGGTGTCCATTGCTAGAAGAGCAATACACTGATACCGTTTACAGTCGTCAGTTTTTTCCATTCATTTACACTCACCAAACAATCGATCAGGAAGATAGATGATGAGATTAACGGGGCACACCATTTTGTTCGACTGCAAGCAATTATAAGATCCATTCGGTATAATGGTTGAGGCTTTTATCTGTCTCGGCGAATGTAGAATTCTATTGTCAAAACAGAGACTGATGTACCTGCTCTCCGAGTTGGTAGAAGTAGCTGAAAGTGCACATCACTTCTTAGATTGCGACTTATTTATGCCGTCAATGTTCGTAGTGAGCCTTATTGATGCATCAGAGTAAAGCACACCATTGACGGGCAGAAACATCGGGAAAGATTCAAAGGCAAGATTGTGGGTAATTGTGTGCAGGCGTGCAAAAGTAACTCGACAGATCTGTACGGAGCATTCAGCACCGCTTTTTCGAAATCTCTGGCAGACCACAAGCGAATGGGAAAGAAGGGGGAGCAATATTCCTTCGTTGTATTGTTCGATTGCAGAAGCCTGCTGAGCCCCCCGCAACCGCAATCGCTCATGGGTATGAAAAGTTCATTCCTCTGATATAATCACAGCACAGGTTCCGCACTTTCAATCGACGACGGTATTCTGCACTGCTAGACTGACTCTTCATCCCTCGTCCTTTGTGTCCAAACGCACCGATCGAATGTAATCGTGAACTGATGCGAATCTGTCTTGTCGACGATGATACAGGATTCTATAATTCGGCGATGCTGGCCACGACACAAGTATCCGAGAACTCGAAAGGAGTCACCCCGTTTTGGAAATGTGCTGCTGAAGTGACTAAACACTTCCAAGCCGCTGTCAAAGAGAAAAAGCATTTTAAGGACATCAAACTCATAAACAGTTTGATGGTGACGGCAATGAACTTTCCCAACCTCACTCCCGAGGGCTCACTCAGAACTGCGACGTACAGCATATTGCACGATCCAGCGCCCATGAACATTCCCAAGGAGGATTCTGAGTACTTGCAACTGAAGGACCATGTTGTGTATATTTCCTGTCATGGAGCAGGCCCTTGCGTTGCGATTTATGTTTTTCTGGAAGATGGAGCCCTCAAGTTCACTTTCTGTTATCCTTCCCCCATGTTCAGTCGTCAGCACATCCAGGCCGTCGTTGATGGCGGCATGCACCATCTAACTAGCTCACTGTAGAAGACACAGACATTTGTAACTGGAATTTTTTCCAGAATCTAGGAGTAGCACACTTGTGTAGAAATCCCATCGTCTTCACAATCGAGATGAGCAGTGTTAGTAACCGGGACAAGGTTTCGTTTGATAAGGCTACGGTTCTCATTTGATGTTTTTTGGGACTAGAGTTAAATAAGCAAGGATTATGTTGTCGATGGATGAGATTAGTATTGTACGACCTATTCTTATGAGCAGGCCTCTTCAAATTATTCATTTGACTAGTTTATCTATTTTTCCCTAATTTTATCATTTTTCACAATGAAGATTTAGGTAAATTAGTCATTCGCATGGTATATTGTTGAAAAATATGTAAACGGTGCACCCAACCCGTTGTTGAACTCGTTTAACGCCTGCGGATGACTTTGAGCAAAAAATATCAATCAAAGGTTGACGAAAAGATTGACTTTGGTATCTTGTATAGCAGAGTCTGCCATGAGAAGCGAAAAGATAATACACGACCAACGAAACCTGTTGCAAAATCATATTGTTTTAACTGTTTTACACAAACCAAATAATTTTGAGTTGCGTCATCAAAAGAATATGATGACGCAATTTCAGAACAGTATTGCATCAATCTCTTCAGGACTACACAGCAAATGTCCTATAATAGTCTGGAAGATGCATGTGAAAATCAACTAGCTCGGCCGTTTTGACTGGTGTTTCGAAGAACTTTATATTTTCATCATCGGAAAGAGCAAGATAAATCGTCCATAATACTCAATGTTGGTATGGTAGATGACTTCGGTAATTTTGAGGACAAAACAGATTCTTAAAGATCCAACGTGTCTCAGATGAATGAACACCAATCGTCCCGGTACATGATCGCAAGGCTTGACACCATATTCCAGCTCATATTTGTGTTGGAAAGGGGTGACAGATCGGAAGTCCAGACTTTTTGCTTTTCTACGGGTTGGGAAAACAGAGCTAAAGGAAGAAGTTTAATGTTGAGAAACAGAGAGGAGTAGTGGTTGAAATGACATGGAAGGGAGTTCTGTACAGAACACACCATAGCCCCGCAAAAACATTACTATTTTAATACCAATTTTTCTCCGTAAAATTATTATTTTTTGAGAATGAAATTAGTTAGACTGCTTATCTAGAAATAGAACAATTAAGTTGAAGAGGATTGTTGATAAGTGTCGCGTTTTGGTCACTTGCGTTTGAGGCTTTTCAAAGTCTTCACAATTTCATCTACGGCGGTGAAAGAGCTTACTAGAGAGAGTCGGACTAGCATTGGAGGCTCCTCATTATACCCATGGAGAGATAGATGCACTGAGGCGGCTAGGATCTACTGAAGCTCCATCACATTTCTACCTGTATTTTGTGGAAGTAAAGCTGCAACTGATTGCACGCGTCACAAGACAGCACTATCGCTCTCGAAAGTACGCAAGAATTTGTGTATTGATGGTGCGGACTATGGTCAAATCCCTACGAACGAATATCCACTTAATAACTCTAGAGGACCACAAGGCAGTCTGGTTCAAGCAGTACTGGGCAGGATTATGTATTCGTAGACCTCAATTTCTCAAAGAGCCAAAGACTGACATTGCGAAGTAGGTAACACAAGCCAAAGCTGCACGGGACCGTTTCAGCGCAGCCACATGATAATACATGTTGTACTTTACACATAAGAACAGAGCCGCTTTAAAACGAAGACCTGCTACTTCGAGCGGCCCCTAAATCTAATCTACCCAAGACTACAAAAAAGCAGTGCATAGATTTGGTGGCAGGAACGCAGCCGTACTACCTCCTAGAAGCGTGGTGTATGTTCCAAGCTAGTGCTGACATCACACCAGGAATTTATAAAGCGCATTCCAACAGCTAGCAACAAAAGCCTAAACAAGTTCACAGATTTTTCTCATCAAGTAACTGGAATGGTGCCGTGCTTTGTAAATCTCAAGGTCTGAGAACTATTCACAGTAATGTATTCGTGATTCGTGACTGATTCACGCATGGAGACTGCGCCATCTTGATACTCGCTCCTTCAAAGTATCCATGCAAGATCTCGTTGTCGCATCAGGTACAGGCATTGTGCCGTTGCAGTTGCCTTCAGCAGACCAGGTGGTCTCCAGCGTCCACTCGTCGAAAAGCCGAAACCTACTAAAGGAGTTACACTTACTCGGCCTCGCTCGTTCTTCTTCGTTTCCGACACAGATCTTACTTTGCTTGGCGGAGTAAAACTTGCTTGTGCCCATGACCTCCTCCAATAAGTGATCATTCCTAAGTATCGGAAGATCGAAGCCTCCAAGACGGCGTTTTAGCACCGATGTTCGAGAGAAGCAGAAAATTTCTGGGTGCTGCGGAAACGACTGTCACGATACATATACATGTTTATACAGATCGACAATCCACTATGAGCAGGACAGAAATGTGCAGGGAGCATGTCTCATTGTTCAGGGCCAAAAATGGATATAGTAACCCTTCCACCGCATATCCGCTAGGAGTTTTTTAGCCTCAAGTCTCTGATGCTTGAACTTGTTCCAGTTGTAATTGAACATACTGGAGTGGTTATAGTGAACCTCTACAAATATTTCATCCACTATTCCAACCATTTCTGGATCGTTTAGCCACCTCGTCAAGATAGGCCACTCGCTATCCTCAATATCCATTTTCACAATAACTGTGTCTCCGGCTGTGAGCTTCAGCTCCTCCTTCATGAATCGAGTAATATTGACAGCAGATGTGTCTACATCATCAGCATCCGAAACGAACTTGTTGTACACCTTGATTCGCTTGAGTATCCAGGAGGGAACACCGGGCCTGGCCCTCGTTCGTCGGGCAGCAGGATTTTCGTTGACCCAATTGTCCTTCTCCGAGAATGCTTGTGGTATCTGAAGAAGGTCTAACCTCCTTTCAAAGGCATGGATTTCGGTAAAATCACAAGGGTACATCTGTATAAACCATTGAATGCTGGAAGCGAAGGTATTCGACCCCAGATCTAAGAAAACCCTGCGATTGCGCCTGTTTAAATCTATCTTGGTGCCCAGGAGCCAGGGCAGAATGTGTGTTCTATCCTCCACATCGTTAGCAAACTGAAGAGCAAATCCCCTTCGAAAGTTGTTGACTACATCTAGTCTCTCGATCAGCTCACCTCGTACTCTGCAAGCTGCCGGTTGTCCGATCCACTTGACCTGAGACCACGGATTTGCTGCCTTCTCGTAATCACCATCATCCTCGAAATGTCCTCCTGGTGATCTACAGTCTCCGTTCCCTCGCCTTCCCTCAACTTGAGTCCTCCACCGAGGTTGGTAAACATTCTCCGCTAGTGGCACACTACCTTGGTGCTGCAATGCCGGAGTTGTATTATCTGAACGAATGACGAGATAATCCAGCACGATCCATGTGACCAACACCCAAATCACACCACACAGGATCACATTTGTGGGACACCGCCTTAAAAGCCCCATCTCGGCTGAATCCCTGAAGGATTACTCAAGAACTACGAATTATAACGATGTGGTCTGCTACTCCAGACTTACAATTGGTGCTTAGTTTCCTGTCCGCATACAACCCCAGCAAGCGATACCCTATAGCCCTGCATTACAAAACAGAACAGATATTGCAGCATTGACAGTGGTTATCAGACATGTCGCTGTTTCTCATAGATCAGCAAAAACTCATAAAAACAACTCTTGTGTAGACTACAAACAGATAGTGACCGTTCACGCAATGCTAGAAATATTCGAACTCTGTTAGTTAGATTCAGTAGGCTTGACAATGTACTCAACTGTGGAAATGAATTACTTGGTCACAAATTCTCCAATTAAATCAGACCCTCGAGAACGAGCGTGACAATCAAATGATGATGTCGGCGAGAGAGACAAGCTGGTAAAAGATTCCACTGATGAGCACGACAAATGCGCCGACATATCATTAAAAGAATGCTATTTTGACCCCATTCGACTAATAAGCACGACGAATCTTCAGGAAATTCTATCAAAACCCCGAAAATTTCCACACATGCAGGAATATCTAAGTGTTTCCTTCAGCTCCAAATTTCATAGTTCACAATCAAGTTGAACCTCAACCAGCATGTCAACACCCAACTGTCCAAAGGGATGTGAAGAAAAACCCCGTTAAAAATATGACTAACGACAAAATCGACAGGTTGGACCCTACGAAACGAAACTGGTAGCAAGCTACTATGTAAACCATCAAGCTCATCCCAGTGACAAACGACTGAAGACACCATGATGGCTTGCAAAGACTGAAGCGAAGAGCTACAGATTCAATCAAGGTATCTGCAAATTATTGGCTGAAACAGTAATATCATTTGCTATCGCGATGTGTCCTTGGGCTTCCGTGTGGCCCCATGATCTAGTCTCCACAAGCCGCTCCTAATTGCTAGGAAAAGTTCTCTGGAAGGCAGGAACAGAGACACCGTGATGCAAACGATGGGAGATTGTGTGATAGGATTAGACGTAAATTATGGACATCTCATGATCGATGACCGGCCGATAACTGCGCTACAACGAATCTACAGGAAAAGTCTTTGTTGCACATGTGAAAAAATTCCTAAGTTAGAAGAGCTTGACCGCAAAAGCCAAATTGCAGATCTCAAAAAAAGGTGAGCAGGTCTGCCGACAGGGGAGGTCTTCACAATGACCAAGAATGTCATGCGGCAATGCATTTTTCCATCTCCTCGTTTCAATAAGAGAACACTACAGAAGAGGCCCCAAGATAACAAAGCAGAATGAGACAACTCAAACCTTCCGGTGAAAACAGCCCACGAAATTTCCAATCACCATCATTTCAAGCTCCTTGTGGTCCTTACCATTTCAAAAGACAAACTCATTCTACCTTGATCTCGAATATGTGGACAAAGTATAAGCTAAATTTTGCAGCACATTCCGCTGATTCACTCATCATCTCGAAGAAGCAAAATGGATCGCTGAAGACTGAGGACTAATCGCTCAGGTAAAACTTTCAACACAAATCAAACGGCATGGCTGCGGTGAAATGCAGAGATCGATATGTGGATTTCGAAGACAAAGTTAAAATTAACTCAAAGGATGTACAAGAAAAAAGCACTCAAGCCGCGATCAGCTCAAGACAGACCACATAGATATAAGCATTTCTACCAAACAAGATCAAATCGTTACGCGGAGGAGATGGCAAAGAAGAGCAGAAATACAAGAAGCACCCTACAAGCAAACGAGAGAAAAAACATTCGGAACAATACCGAAAAAATGCGGCACCGCAATGCAAATCTACGAAGTCGAGCATCGGCGGGGGAATGGAATGATGACAGAGAACGTACCAGCACCGGAGCAGCATTCCTTCAACAACAAAGATAGGGGTCCCTTCGCCATCCACAAGGCAGCGGCGACGTACGAGAATCAGATGCACAAACCAGTGACAGCGACGAGAGCGGGATCAGAATCAGGATAAAGGCAGAGCAAGGCCTGCTGCATATACTCGTCACAGCGTCCCGGGCAGATGTACAAAGCGTGGCGCTGACAGTCGAGCTTCGCTCACGTGACAGTCGGTCCAAGCGTCAGCTTCCAGAATCGGTCGTCAGGGCTTCGGCTGCGGCCGAAGACGCCGTCGACGACGACGAAGGTGGTGGTGGTGCGACGAATCGAGAACAAATCAATGAGGTCGTGGCTTTCGATGGCAGGCGACGATGACCATCGAGCCCCGCAAAGTTATAAAGTTGACGTGCTCGAGAACTTGTACGACCATGAGATCTCAAGTACATCCCGGGCCAGCTGTTGGATAGCGGTCCCGTCTTTCACGAGCCACATACAAATTGGATGGGGCCGACAATTGCAGACATCCCCTCCCTCCCTCTCTCCCTCCCTTCTTCCTCCACTACGGCACCCTAATCACCGGCCCATGACGTGAGCCCGGATCCATCACCATCGCCCGCTGCGCTTCGAAGCCCTGCCCTGCCCTGCCCCGCCCCTGAAAGCTTCGCATCGCCATCGCCATCGCCGATCCCTCGAATCTGCTCGTCTCCCACGTGCTCTCGGGCCAGACAGAGGTCGGTAACCGCGATGAACCTTCCTTCGGTGCTCGTGGACTCCGGCCACCTGCCTCCCGGCGACTCTCGCTCCCGTGAGGGAGGTTCGTCGAGCTTTCACGGCGGGACAGCGTGGCGGGCCGGGCGGGCAAGACGGTGGTCGACTCATCGTGAACCGCAGCGAATATCTGCCAGATCAGCCTGTTGTGCCCGTTCGGTCGTCGTTTCCCGCCCTCGAGTAGAGTCGAGCTTGCTCGCTGCCTTCGTCCGTCGGTGATGCGACCTCGTCCGTTGCCGTCACACGTTTGGCGTTCCGTGCTCCGTCGGCGTGTGCGGACCTCGTCGCCCGCTGCCCGGCGGGGCCCACCTCTCCCACTGGAAGCTCGGCGAGGCCTGTGCCTGCTGTGACTGCGCAGTTACCTTCCTCTCTCAGATGTCGACCGCGCCGTCCCTGTCCTGCTCTGCCCTCCCTCGAGCCGCCTTCCTTCCTTGCCCTCCCCCCGGTTGCAGCCCAAACTGGCCACATTGGGAAGCCTTCTGATTAATTCTTCCTCCTTCTCCTCATGGAAGATGCCTTTCTCGGACACGGTTTCCTACCGTGTTTGGAGCATCTGCCAATGCGCAGATTTAGAGTTGAGAACTTCTTGAGTGATCTCTCCAGAATTCGAGGTTGAATGTGATGGATCTCGGGCATCGTTGTGATACAGGCAAACATCGAGTTAATATGATGTAGTCATTCGTCAGCCCATAACTGATTGAAGTCTATATCTATAACTGGTCAGTGGTCACACACGCTTCATAGCCTCCTTCGGGAAATAATTTTAGCAAGGCATTTCATCTTCCCCCTATTCAAGCTTTCGACGCCGTCTGTATATGCGACCCATCTAATGAAATTCAAATAAAACAATTTGTTTTAATAAGTCTGCGTGCCCATATGGAAGATACATCTGAACCCTCGATTTGGGTCGCATTGAAGCACGCTTCAGAAAGTTGTATACTCCATATATCTTTAGAAAGTCACACAGCTGACTCCATCACATTATCACGCTTTTCTCACTTGTATTAGTTAGGGCTATCATGTGAAGGCACTTTCCTTGGATCAGTGATGTGCCGTGTTGATCAGAATTTGGTTATCACTTTCTAGTTGATTCAGTGCACAACTTTATTGGTGAGGATTCACGTGAAAGCCATAGGAAAAAGAAGAAAACAAACAAGTCAGCGATGTGAGGATATTCATTGATTTCTTTATTTTCTTTCCTTACGATTAAGATTTGGTAGTTTTAACATTCATAAATCTATATCACTTTGATCATGGTTTGAAGTGAGTGAGTGAGTGAGTGAGTGAGGTGTGATATATTGAGATAATTTGTCTTAAATTAAAATTCGTAAAGATAAAAGATATCAGGTGCAAATTGTTTATATCATTTTTGTTAAAATATGTGAATCTATCTTCATCAAATCTTGTAAGTAGACTGTAAAATAAAATTCCTTGTTGGTAATATTTCTAAGTTGAATTTGTTAACATTTTGTACTAATTTTATATAATATTGAAAGATTACCTTTAAACATATAATGTTGTTAAGATTTAAATGTTTGTTTTAACGTATTTGATTATGAGTTTATGATATTTAATTTCTGAGTGATATGACTTGTTGTGAAAAATAATGTGATGAAGTTTTATAACTTGAAAATTGATAAAACTTCATCCTTCAACCTCATTGAAAAATGTATTATGATCAACATAGTAAAATGTATAAATCTAGATTTATGACAAGCTTCCCAAAAATAAATTTATCTTAAATTTTTGAATTCAATGCATTTTCAATTATAATGTGCCTTGTAAAACCTACTATTTTTATCAATATTAAACATTACTCTAGAAATATAATTTTATTGTACATAAATTTTTCATTAAAATCAATCTTCTAGAAATCTACTTATCATATCACCATGTACAAACATCAATCTTGATACATCCAAGATTAGATTCATTCTCATTGATGATTATACGTACTACATCCAAAATTGCATTACATAAAACAATAGTTTTGAACAATTCTTATGATTTCTTGCATCATTTATCTCGAAGTTTATCATTTAAATTTACCTTTAATTATTATTTTGATATTTGATTATAAAACAAGAAAGTTGGTATTCATTGTAAATAAATATCAATCACATTTCACAATTGTTTTACTAATCTATCCATTTAATATGTATTAACCATCAAAATTATTTTTATCTAAAATATTTTTCATTCATAAAACAAATGATCATGACAGATGTCTCTTCAAAATTGCTTGATATCTTATTATCCATAATTTTTCAAATTTAATTTGAATCAACTAAATAACAATGATATTATTATGATGATTTTGTAACTTATTTTCATAAATTTGATATTGATTGAATAATTTATATATATATATATATATATACAACATCATAACATGACGTATTTTTTCAAGAATTAGCTTCCAGTCAAAAATTTTTTGATTGATTGGATTTGAAATTTTGTTAACTTCATGTCTCCATCTCAAATGTAGGGACAAGAACACTTTCAAAAAATTTGTCCAGTGACATATAGTAATTTAATTATATATATAAGAATTAATTGTATCTAATAACATTAATCTTAAAAAAATATTATGTAAGAATTATATTTAATACTATGATATGCCTAAATTGATATAAATAAAAAATTAACAAAAAAATTCCATATCAGTATGAAAAAATGTTTGTATGTGGAGGCTTGTTTTATCAAATTTTTTAAAATATACTTCAATTTTTTGAAATTGTTTTAATTTTAATATAGAATGAAGATGTTATGTGAGGGTATTCCGGAGTACACACATTTATTGTAACAACAACTTTTGATAACCATGATGGAATATCAAAACATCAGCGGAGTTAAAGTTTAATCAAAATATTTTGAGATCACAACTTGAAGTTAAAATTCATATTTAGTTTCGTAAGTGAAAAGATTCTATTTATTTAATCAATAAAATATTGAATTTCAAAAAATTCAAAGTTTAATATTTGATCCCAATAAAAGACAAAGTAATGTTTCTCACACTCAAACTGTAAAAAATACATGATGTATGCATAACTTGTATCATATATGCTATCATATAAACTAGTCAAATTTAATTATGGCTAATATAAAAATTATCAACATTTTTGTTAATCTAAAATACATATCATTATACAACAATGTGTTTTATAATTCATTTATAAACATGATTGATTTTAATTTTATTTATTTATGAAAATTTTTAATTAAAAATAAATTAAATATTTCAAATAATGAATTTTATTTGATTATTTATTATTTTGTAGTAAATTAAGATTTTTAATTTTTTGAAAACAATGCTTTAGAGTTCAACAATCCAAACATTTGATAAATTTTTTTCCAAAACTTTCACTAAAATATACTCAATTTTAGATATAAAATGTCATTACATTATCTCATCAACATTTTAATTGAAACCTAAATGTCATAGCAAAACTCAATACAATCAAAATTCAATAAAATATGAATCAAAATCTAGATTTGAAATGAGATTTGATATTTTTATGTTTTTAAATAGCTTGAAACAGTTCAAATCTTATTTTAAAGTTTGAAAAGATTTGAAATACTTCAAATATTATATATTTTATTTCATTTGATCATTTATTCTGTATATTATTAGATTTTTAAAGGGTTTTCAAATTTATTGAACTTTATAGTAAATGAGTGTTTCAACAAAGCATTTATAAATATGAATATTCAAGTATTAATCATTTTTTCTACCATGTAACACACAAACTTAAACTTGTTAAATTTTTTGTATTGTATTTTGTAACTAATGAAAATTTTGAAAACTAAAAAGTTTGCACGTAACACATGATTGAATGTTTTGTGCAATTGTTGACATCAAGTAGTGCATATGAAGCATTATAAGCTATCTCAACATACATGAATATGTCTTTTTTGAAAATAAAAAAATAATTTAGTGATAAAATTTATAAATATCCTCAATTCTGATAGTTGAATTTTATTACATTATTTTAAATTAGAAATAAAAAATCTTACTCAAATAAAATATATAGGTCAATGAATCAAATGATGTTTGAATCGTGTTATAATCTAATAGTTGTGTTTTCAAAAATAACTAATATTAAAAAAATAAATTATAAAATGATTATAGTCATACAATTATGATGCAAGTGTCTCTTCTTACCAGATAAAAATCATATTCTATAATGTCTGAATTATTGGAGCCAAATGTAATAAGAAAACATGAGCTGATTGCAAAAAATTCAGCAAAAAAAAAAACTGAACTAATAGAGCTAGCAATTGAAAAAAAAGTAACAAAATTAAAAGAAAAAAACGAAAAATATGAAAAATCTTCAAAAAGTTGATTGTAGCAAAATCTACAAAAATTATCATTTAAAAAATAAGATTACCAAGTGATTGTATAAATAAGTATTATATAATACACAAAAATAAGCTAAAATACAGGCTCTAAATTGTGAGACATCATGTCATAATATGATACGCTTCTAAGCGTTGCTTCACAAACATGTCAAAACTTGCATTTATGAATCTACATAATTTTGATATTAAATCAGTAAAAATTATTATTTGAAAAAAGATAAATTTTTAATTACCATAGTAAAAAAATATACTAAGCTTGATCAAAATCAAATGTAAGTGATTGAAAAAACAAAAAATTTGGTCAAAAAAACTGAACTGGCTTTAGCAATTGATTGGATAAGATCCTCAGTCTTCAAAATCTTTTGAAAGAACTATAATGCCAAAGTGTCAAAGAACTGTAACAACAAAATGTCAAAATAGTCAAAATTTGGATAATAATAAATTTTTGTGTAAAGTTAGACATAAATTGAACAGAGGCTAACAAGGTAAATTTTGGATGAGAAAGTACGACTTATTTGATAAATCGTCTCTTTTCATCTAAACTTTTAATTCAATTTGTTTGACATTTAATTGATAAATTTCACAAAAAAATGATGGATTTTTAGCAACCTGAAATAGTTTAGTAAAGGAAGATGACGAAAGAAATTATAGAAAAAATTCGTTAAAAATCTCGAACATATTATTGTACACTCAAAAGTTTATAGATTTTTCCATATCCTAACATTTAGTGTTAATTCAATACTGCAACCGTGATTCAATCTTAAATCTCATAGATCTATCCTAACACTCATTGACTTCAACAAAAACAGCAGTGAATTATACACCTTTTTGTTGCATTTGTAGTACGACGACTAGATAATGCATTGTTGAACCAAACTATAAAAGCATATAACCTTTCCGGAATTAAAATGAAAGCAAGTCACTGTAAATGACGAATGATCGGATCCATAAAGCGTTCATGTAAAGTTTTTGAAAAACTGTAGATTGTTAATCTCTATTATAATATGTGGATAAGGAAAACCAAGACGTGAGGTTTAGCTATCACTCAAGGGCTCAAGTGTACGTAGTGTGATGTAAGATTACCTCCAACGTATGTAATCTTATATCCACATCTCGTGTATATATCTCAAGGATAGATTCATCCGGAATCACAAAGCTAAAAGCCAACAATTCAAACTCGTTCAGAGTGCATAAGACAGTATGTTCATGTTACAACTTATCTCTCAACAAAATTGCTTCCTGCTGAATGCCCAAGTCGCACAATGCCAAATATCAGGTCTCACTATGTTTCTAAAAAATGTCCATGATCTGCCTATTAAATAGCTTACAGCTTGATAAAACCCGTGCATAATAGAGGAATCAACCAGCAGTTCGAGTTTCTGAATCAGTGTTGAGCTCTAACTACCATACCTGACTGCAATGTGGAGCGGAAAAACTCATAATCAATGCAATTTGAAGTGAAGTTTTAAAAACTGCTCACGATGACAAAAACTAACTGCTTGTGAACTTTGCAAATACAGCTGAGTAAATATTTCAAGCAGGTAGGGGCATGGTGTTTTCCATGAGATCAATAGGATGACTCATACGACTTAATGGTATTACACTTTGGACACAACAAAACGCAAGCATGATAAAGGAGAAAAGAAAGCATAGAAGGTGGAGGACGAAGTTCATCACGTTACTTTGGAAGGACGAAGCGCTCTCAAGACTCAAATCTTAGGCGAGTCAAAGGAAAAGCTGGAGCCTTCACTTTGATGCACTCCACAACGATGATCATATCCAAACATTGCATCCTCTAGGCTTTCTGCTCACATGAAGACCTGAAGAACGGGTATAAAGAGAGGGAGCAGCAAACTTACGAGGGAGCAGCAAACTTCGCTATAAACGCAGATGTCACACAGCAAGCCGCGAGCACATGCTGAAGGGAATCAACTGTGATGGTGCGGACAGAGCAAAGGTATACAAAGGCCAGAGTGACAAGAATCCACTGGGCAGACGTCCGTTTGCAACTCTCATGTTGGGAAACTGGGATTTTGATCATGGCGGCCGAGATCGATACAGCAACTCCTCTGGTTGTATTCAAAAATCTATTCACCGAGGTACTGATGCTGAGATTCACTATGTGGATCGGTGGCAGGGACGAGAAAAATCACTTTCAGCTTCTCTCTCAAGCTATGGAGGACAGCGCCGCACAAAATGGTTTGCATTCACTTGTTCCACTTGCGCTTTCACGGATGCTCGAATTCTGCAAGAAGTAAGTAAATCTTCCCGTATTGGTCCAGAAGCGGAGCAACCCGACAATACGAAATCATGTCTACTTGCATGGCTACAATTTCTCCATCGAGAGAATCAACAACATTCATCATCGAATCTGCCATCCTACCAGCTGACGACAAACATGCTATCGAGCGTAGGGTATCTGGGATATCATAGTCTCCACTTTTCTGCATCCCAGCAATGTGTGTCGAGCAATTTGTCTAATTTAAAAGCATAGTCTGCGGCAAGAAGCTTCCCATATATAACAGGTTACCTTGACATTAGGTGCATGATCTGGCAAGTGATGCTTATGAAATTGAAATGGGACTGGCACGAGACAAATAAGCGAGTACCCCTTAATCATCTTTTTAAGTGCCCCTTCATCCGTATGATGAGCTTGGAGCGATCCCAGTTGAAACAGGATTGACTTCCTCCGGTTTTGGAAGAGTCAGATCATCCTGTTTCGGTCCATTTCGGAGTGCAGCATCGATAATTTTTGAGCTGTTACGAGACCTTCAGAGAAAGTGTTGCCGAGTTGGAAAGACAGGAATACGAGACATTACTTTCTCTGCAGCAGGACTTGCGAACTGAGAGTTATGGAACTGCAAAAGAACATCTGCCTGCTTGTGGTACTGATGCACGTGCATAAAAACCTTCATGAACCCTTCTACAAGCGTAGGAGACGCGATGGCATCTGACATTGACATGGTATCAATATATTCATCTCTACTTACGAGAACCTTACAATATATCTATTTGCCAGCAACCCCGGACAGAACAAGACATAACCAAAACTTGAATTTGCAGCAAAACATACACAGAGGTTCTTCCAGAATCGGCAACGCCAATTTTGGAAATCAACACAAATTGGGACATCAGCAAACATCAAACATGCCGCCGTAAGTATGACAGTCGAAAGAATACTCTTACTTGGCTATTCACAATTTCAGTCCGAAACCGTGTCCTCATTTGAATTCCACCTATTGTTTCCATCGCATGTTCTGTCGCACACTTCAACGCACCGAAAAGAACATGCACACGCTATCTTACGAGGACACATCCACCGTCACGATGTCGGAATCTCGAGAATACTCTGGTCTGTAATCGTCCAGCTCGTCAGCAGTTGCAGGAAGTGCGGGACTGCTTATCAGTAAGGAGGCAGTTCCCGTCTCAAATTTGGCCCACCAACGCTATTGTCGAAGATCACTTACACGTACACCGTTTGTCATGTCCACTCCAACATGAAGACAGACCAACAATTGTACTACAGTAGAGGCTGTAGAGAACTGACTCATGGGCATCAGCACACCGGAGGCTGGAATCTAACTGTGTTCTAATGTTGGCTTGCTGACCACGAGACTAAGTTGCTGAGGCTCAGACTGAGAAACACCGACGACGCAACGGGACTGCATTTGCAGGACTCCAGGAGTCAGCGCTACCGTGAGCTGGTTTTCCGACAGCAGTCAATGTATAGTTTACAGATGGAGCAGCTGTAACAGACGTCGGCTTGGCTGCAAGCCTGCGACTGTATCGAAGTGATCATGATTTACGAGTCATGTTTGCAGCCATGGAAGAGTTATATGGTGCGGAAGACGAGCAGCAGCTAGATGCGTTGAAGCTAGCAAAGAGGCCAGACTCAAGTTCCAGCATGCTCGGACCCTTGGTTAGAGTCTTGTGCACAGAGTGATCTGCTCACTATGAGCTAATTTGCACCGGTGTTCGAGGTGTGACACTGGTGTCACAGCGTTCGGCAAAGGTCAACGATGTGACACTAAGAGTATCACGTTGATCGTTCGACAGAGATTGTAAATCTCTAGAGACAGGATTGCAGGCACGTTCATGCTAAATAGACTTGTCTGTCTTCTTGTTTCATCTTGAATCAGATGGCAGAGCTCATGGAAAAGAATCATATATTCATTAACATAAACAGACTCGTGGAGAACAAAACAGTTGCTATTACTTAAACAAGACATCGCTTTAGAGCACAAAGGTGACAGCTGTCATTTAAGATCTCTATCATTGCGTCGATTCATAATCCCGTCCGGTTGACAGTTCTCTGTAGATACATCAGCGTATAACTACACCATCCAATGCCACATATATGAAACTCAGTCACTGCAACATCCAATTCGTTACAGCTTTACGCGGCGGTGCTGCTCTAGATATCTTACGAGTAAGAAGTCACGGGGTGACCTGAAAATGAATGATATTGCAAGTACTGTGGAACAATCTACAAGAAACCGGCGGAAAGCAAAACTAGGACACTGAGAGGCAGTACTCCGCCAAGACGAGGGAGAAGCGAATTAGAAGCATTTGGTGTTTCAGCCTGAGGCGGGGAATCAGCTGAACCTGCAGGCACTGCTATAGAGAATTTCTGGTACAGACAGTGACCGGGTTTGCTACAGAGGAAGTAGTATGTCGAAGTGCTGTTGATAACAACGCTGTCATCACCTGTTTCCCATTGCTGAATGTAGCTGGTGGTGTCACAAGACTCATACTGAGCCGCGGTCACGCTCCTCACATTGTGATCCGTGGAGTTGTACTTGAAAATCAAATTGTCTCCTACAGCCACAGTCGTCTGCATGGCCCACTCAGAATAATTGAACGTAGGGTCGATCGTCCATTGCTGATCGCCGCCGACAATGACGTCCTTTCCGTATCCACCAGACAAAGCTGCTAAGACGCCCAAGGCTATCAGAAGTGTTGTGAATGTCGTGCTTGCCATAGCTGAGATAAGATCAGGCCGATGTATATACGGCTTCTCTTATAGTTGTATAAGCTTCGGCAATTCGAAAATTGACGAAGATACCTTCGAAATTTTTATTCAGCAGCTTTTGTGGCCAGCTCCCAATGACCGGACCCTTCTTTACCTGGAGACAACTCCAGCAGCAGAAGAGATGGAACGACGCATGTGACAAGCTTCCGCAGGTTCAGATTCCTAATCTGTACATTAAAGGCCCATGCACGAGATGCAGCCGTCCTGCACTGCGAATGCTGTCGAGTCGCTGATCTGAGTCATTCACATTGGCTGTGAGCAAAAGTTCGCTCGAGACAACGGAATCCGCTGCAGGTTTTAGAGCTGAATCTGCAGCAACGAGACTGGCTAGCTAGAATGGCTCAATTTGAAGATGAAGTGAGTTTGAAGGTGATTCGCCCAGGTGCATTCAGCTATATAGTGATGGTTTCGGTGGAACAATGAACGACGGTAGGTCAAAGCAGAATCTGTTGTTCCACTTTTAGACACAAATGTTTTACTGTGCTGCTCGGATGACTTGGTAAAAGTCTTTTCTGGTTGTTCCTATGAGGATCAACGATGAGTACACAGACATGCATGGGGCCCAAGACAATCAAAGCTCCTGGAAGTCGTCGTATCAAAGTGCGTTTTGGATGAAGAAAAATCTGGCGAGGAAATTTGAACCGGGTCAAAAGGACCGGTTGTGCAGGTACAGTCCCGATAAATAAAAGAATCAACATCCTACTTACTTCAGAGGTGGCATAATCGACACAAGACGCAAGTACCTGTCGCCAAATGTAACTGCTCTCCACTTCTTCTGTCGTTTACACTGCACCAAGTTCTCTGGTTGAGCTCTGCTTCGGAAGTTTCAGAGAAGTCAAACAATGTTTAAACAGGCCAAAATCGATCGTATGAGTCGTAGTCAATGCTGCTTTAGGCGCACCACTTCGCACATCTTTCGACTGAACCCAATGTAGTCGCAATGAGCTGAGAAGAGACTACGGTTACCGTGGTATCATGATTACTGTACAAATCTGAAGACTTCTAATCCTTCAACTGTTCTTCGCTACATTATATTATGACCGGAGACCACAAGATCAGGCTGAAAGATGCAGATTGCTAGTCAGAGTTTATTAAGTGAAGAAACGTACTCCAAGGGTTACGATAAATCTTAACTCTCGGAATCCGAACCCAGAATTGAGTGATAGAGAATTACACTTTAGATTATGGTACTGTGCATTATCAATGATTCACTTAGATCCCCAAAACTTTTTCCGGAAAAAATCTTCGGTCTGTTTACAGGCATTGCGACTTCTTCAGGTGCATGAGAAGATCTAGAAGAATCTCTCAGAATGTCTTATCTTCAAGATAGTTCTGAAGTGATCCAGTGATAGTTCTGAAGTATCAACTACTTCCCATGGGAGATAAATGTATGAGAGAGTAATAAATGGTTCGCTGGGATCAAGAAGTTCAAAGGAAGGATGTGATGTAGCAATGATGATGGTCACCCTCAGCAAGCACACGTCTTTATGTACATTATCATATTTATTGAAGTTGACAGCTACTGAAAGCTATTCTATACTTTTGTTTTGAAGTGATCCAGTGCCATGTAGGTTACCATCAACTTAGGAAACGAGATCAGATTGAATTTTACTTCGAGAGGTAAAAATCTGTGACTATTCTTATAAGTTGGATATAAGTTTGAGCATCCATGAGCTAAATGATCACAGAGACATGTGCAGATTTTCTATGCTGGCTACAAAAGCAACTTACCGGACAGAAAAAAAAAACATTCTGTTTGGTTAGTTTTGCATGTTTTGCATCAACTTTATCAAAGGTCTTGGTAGGGTACAACGAGAAACTTTTGGAGAGAAGTGATACATCACATTCGGTTTAAAAACGCTTGAAGAGAAATCATGGGTGCAACTTTTGTTTCTTCTTGGTAAAATACTATTCTCAAAAAATATATGACGGAGACTTGTCCTCCTCTCAGCCAAGGGTTCTCTTGGAACTAAGATTTGTCCCGCTCGCCCTATTCAGGGTGCTGAAACATGAACGATAATTTCTTCCCAGATATGAAGACTCTTTGACCGATTCTTGCAAAACTGGTTCATTCGAAACAAAATTAGTCAAACGTTGTTCTTTTCAATGTTTTCATTAGTGCAACATCTTCAAGCACATAGACTATCTGCTGCTCATAAGAGTTAAACATATCCGACTCTCGAACTTTGAATACACTACTAATATAAGACAGACAGCGAAGGTCACTGTCCTTTGAATCTCGCTAGATAGAGCTCATGATATTGTGCGTTACATAGATATCCACCACACAAGAGGTCGTTCTTTGCGAGGCTTCAAACCAAAGGAGCCAGCAGTGGTCACATGTTAATGAACTCGTTGGAAATGATGAATGAATGAAAAATTCCAGTACGCAACGAAACATCAGAATGCTAGTCCGTGAGCTTGCGCAATATCTTCGCCATGATCACGTTGAAGATAGAGCCCACAGGAATCGCCTCGATCCACTCTTTTCGGACAAGAGTTTGGAATATTAGTATCCTACTTTATGCACTACTACAGAAACCAAAGCTTCGTTCAAGAGCTGAATCCAGTGATGAGAAGTTTTGTGGTTGGAGAAGACAACTGTGAGCCGACGATGCGAGAAAAGAGGTCGTAGAGATGACGCCACTCCTTCCGCCCACCTCTGTCGAACATGAAGCAATGTCCTCCATCGACAGGTCCCTTGTGGTTGTTGACCACGGCTATCTTCATTTGATATGGTTGGCGGGTTGGTGTGCTCCGGGCCCTCTCAGGTCCCCGTGCAAACCATAAACTCCATAGCCTCGTAGCATCATTTGGTTTGGCTAAAATTGAAGCGCTAGAGTTTCAAGTAGTAGGACGCCTGATATTAAGGCGCCATTCTATTTCAGTCAAAAAGGGTCGTAAATGTGAATTCTCACTCGGTGCTTTCGCGAAATTCGCTTTGAGTTTGCGGCTTCAAAGGGAAGAACACGAGCGGTTGCTGAAAAGCACGTCCAGAAGTGATCATGGCGTCGTATCCTTCCTTGAATGATGGTACGGATTCGCAAAGTTGACCTTTGACAATTGAAAATTTGTAATAGAAAATATTTTTTGAGCGAAGAAGAACTATGGACGTGGCAGCCATTGATACTGCTCCCAAAAGGAATCCCCACATAGTGACTACATATACCCTCAACAACCCTCTCGTATACTCGGGCTGGAATTAGATCTCAAATGTGGTCAAACAGAAATGTCAATTTTGAAAGCTTCAATGAATGCTTGATGGGACGTCTGTACACCCTGATTGTAGTTATCTGGTTCTGCTCGCTGATTGTTGAAACTGAAGACAGGGAGCGAGATTTTACAGGCCGGCAAGTTCCGAGTCGTCCCTGGCATTAGTCTTCACAGTCCTTTGCGGAAAGCGTGCTTCGTTGAAAACTTGAATCTTGAGTGTACTGTCAGGCGAGAAAGTCCATGACACTGCCATGCCAGAAAGCGGAATCTATGGAGCTGATTAAGAGTCAAGTTCAGCAGTTCCCCCAAACCATCTACCACTATGGAAAAATGTCGGAGCAGTCATGCCCTCGAGACTTTGTGGCAGGGGGCCGTGACCGCCTCATTTCTGGAAGCGGTCAGAGGGCAGAAAACGTGCTCAGATTAAAGGTCGGCCATTGGCATCAGAAAGGCTTTCGGCGCTTGTCTGATGGCAGCCACAATTCTTGCAAAGTGGATTTCCAAAAGTCAAGAAAAGACCATCCCAGGTACCACATTTCACGAGAGGTGGTTGTCTCCTCCACCAGGACAGTATTCATTCCACTCAGGACCCACCGCGACCATGTGTCACCATCGTGACCTTGATTGATTGTGTACTCATCGCAGCAGTCGACGTTGCACTCGGGGTTTCAATCCGGCAGCGACAACATTAAATTCACCGAACCAGCTCGAGTCGGTGATGCTGGAAGTCCAAGCTCCGCGGGATCGAGATATATATAAAAAAAAAAACAAAGGACGTCCGACGTGCTCCTTCACGGTGGTCCGAGAATCATTACCCGAGAAGAAATTCGTCTCGGAAGGAACACGACTCTCACATCGTTTTGCCTCGTGCTCTGTGTTCTCCTTACAGCCACCACAGAAAGGAATCGAACGAAACCAAACCACCCCGAGATTTCCCATCATCGCTGTGCGGTCTAAGTTCCTGGCGTTTGCTGTTGTTTCAGGTGATGGAAAAATCAGCTCGGGTGCTTTGACCCAGCTTATTCGTTTCGTCCACGACACCTCTGAGCTTCATGCCTTTTTTCTTCCTGTTAATCAAATTCTCTGTGGGGGGTCAAAGATAACATCTTTGATAGTGACAACAGTTCAGTGTGCTGCAGTTTGATTGAGAAATAGGACCGCCATTTTTGAAAGACCACAGACCGAGAGATCTTCCGTGGAGAATTCAAGAGCTGTTGCTCCAGGTATGGAAGGATACTGAAGAACCAGGGCCTGCGACCTTTAGCGAATCAACAAGCAACTCTGGCAATAAACATAAGTTTTGTGTGTGTGTGGCGTATTCTGAAACCATGGCTCCTGCTGAGCGGTGATTGTGGCATCTTGGTTCATCCCAACAGAGAGGATGACTTTCTTGAGAACTTCGTCGGAGTATTTAATCTTAACTATAAATTTCTTCCGGAGTCAAGATCATCGTTCCACATGCTCTGAATAGAAATTTCTATTCAGAGCATGTGCACTTGAAAATTTCTATTCACAAGTGTCTCGCATGCAACCTCAAATAAACATGAGTGCAATATAAACTGCTCGTTTTCTATGAAAACGAATGCTTCCAGAACGACCGTCTGTAACTAAGGGCTTCTTTCAATCGGGTTGGAGAGGATCGTCCTGGAGAGGTCTATCTGCCCAGAACGTCAAAACCTCGAATGACACGGAGAAAAGACCGAGAATTGTCTCGAGTTAATTTGACCCGGAATCCAAAAACCAAACCCAATCTGAAAAATGTGTTCCAGTCGTGAGCTCTCAATCTATATTCTCGTCACTCAACTTAAAGATGGTATATCCACAAATATATTAAATACACTGCATGAACGCAAGATCACTAAATTGATCTCGTGAGACGGTATCGTGTATATTTAAGAGACGCAGCTTCGCATTCGCATGGCAATGACTGCTATGTCAGATACTCTCCTATATCAATAAACGGGTACTGGTCGTGTGAATCAGAGCAGACCTAGAGCTCAAATGTTTGACGAGTGACTGAATTTAAGCTTCCTTGCGCAACATTGCCTGCTTCTGTGGAGAATCATTCAGAGACTGCGCTGCTCTCAAGATCTTCGAGCTGAAGGCCAGGTCGGAGCTCCATACGTCAACATTCTACTTAAGTGTCGTGAGTAGAACACGATGGGTAGAGTGGTTCTTGTGATATCAGAATGTTTTTGAAACTTTGCACCTCAACAGCGCACTGCTATACAACAGATGATCTAATAAATAATTTCCAGTACCATATCCAAGACAATCAAAAGGAAGAACAGTCCTACCGAGATACTATAACACAAGAACGCTCAGAGGTGCTGAAGTACGGATGGGCTAGCAGTGCAGTGCATTGTGTTCTTTTCGGACAATGTTGTTGCCACCACTTACTCTCCTCTTACCGATCCAAAATTTGCAGCTCACAATTCTGCACGCTTCTATACGAATGTCCCGAAATGAAATGCGAAGCGACAGATACTAGAATCGGAGTCATTAATGAAGACAGTCTGTGGTTCCTCAAGGAAGACTCTATAAGTTAGAGCAAGGATCTGTAACTAATCGACGAAAAGAAAAGCCCATGATATGATGGCTTAGCAGAACTTCAATGTAAGTTGAATGGAATTTCACATAAATCGCTTCAGCAACAACACAGAGCTAGTTCTTTACTCATATCTTCGTGTTGAAATTCTCCAACAGTGCCGCGTGATCACTTCAATTGCCATCATGTTTCATCTTGACCTTCTGTTCGACTCCTCTGACAATGCTTCAATCTGTCCACTCTTTTTCACTAATTACTTGTACTTGCTGTGGAAAAAAACTCAAGTCTGTAATGTATGCGATGTAATAGAACCAAAATCTAGTTGCTGAGGTATATAGGTCCTTGAGATTGTTGATCTCCGAGTTACTTTACTTTCGAATTTGACACCATAATAGTAACTGGAAAGAGTAAAATTAAGTTAACTTTTGTGAAGAATGTACTATAAAGTAGGACTTTAGTTTTGATGTAGCGCGCTTTGATTTCTATATGAGAGTCAATAGGAGTATTTAATACCGGAGGTGTTACATTCAGATTATCATGATCAATTGTTCCAAAATAATTCGCTTTGTCACAATTCTAGTATCCATATTAGTATGAAAGCTTGATGGAAGATAAAACTTAACATGTCGTATTATAGAAACTAAGACTCGTGTGCATGGGTACACGAGTCTTTACCTTTATCGTTGAAAGCTTTGTTAATAATCTTAACATGATAAGTGTTTTGAAGATGTCTTTTTATATCCCCACATATGATCATCAGACGGTTGTTGAGTAAGATTATGCATTGGGCCAAGTAAGATTATGAGTACATTAATATATATGCTAATGCTGGAATGATACGAGCAAAATGCAGTGTATCTGAAGTTCCGAATGTGATTGTTTACATAACCAAAATTTTTGCTTTTCTATAATGAATGATTATGGCACAATCATTTACCTTCTTATTCCCAAAAATACATATTAATTCATAGAATAATCTACTTGCGATATCGTGTGCTTTCACTTGAGAGAGTGTTGTTGGAGAACAATTTATTTCAAAATACACCTGTATCAAGGTAGTGCTCTGACGTTTGAGATGGAAACCAAGGGATTTCCAAACCCTACCGCTCATGAAGATATATTAAACGTGTGTTGATGGAGATGACTCGGCTTATATTTGTCAATAATAGAAGAATGTTGTTATAGTATCTTCATGTTTTAAAGAAAAGTACAAATCTGCAAAGCATATAAATGTTGGCAATCTTTGCAAGGACTGTTGAAACTTTTACAGTCTTATACTGTGCTCGCTATCGTAGCTATGGAACCATACTAGTTTGATGGCTCACATAGCTAATGTAAGAATTGAAACTAATCTGAATACCATACAAAACATGTTTAGGAACACGAATTAACTCTTGAAGTATGTTGAAGTTTCTATTTTATATACAACTTCTTCGAGATATGACATGAATATTAGATTCCTGACTAATATCAAAATTGTGTAATAAAAACAATACTTGAAAGAATAGGAACAAATGATTTTTTAGAAAATGAAATAAGCAAATATGTGTTAATTTTTATTGTAACTCTTCTGTGCAACGAGTGAAATGATTCAAATTGACTTTAAAGTCAGAAATTGGTTTTATAATGAACTTGAGATAGATCTTTGTATTGGGGAAAGATGAATAGATGTCATGATATAGTGATGTTTTAAAATAATTCACGAGAAATCAAAACATAAAAATTTAAGCAAATGATAATCCAATATGACCTCATAAAATATTTAGACATATTTGAAACAAGGCTCTCTCCGAAGAATGATGAAATTCTAAAAAGCTCCATGAATTATAATCTTTGGGTTAAATAAACTTCCATCTAAAAGAGATCATTTCGCTGAAAGCTACTTCGATTGATACATTCATGTGTACATGTTTGAAAACACACATGTACACATTAACTGTATTATATACAAAAGGATTTCGTGCACTTGTTGAAACATAAAAATAAAGTATATTGAATATTATTTAAAAATCTAAACAAATGATACATGTATATGAAAATGAAATATTCTATATATATATATATATATAAGTATTTAGATAATGATAATATAAATATATTATTTAGACACCATATATGTAGTTTGATAATGAAACTTATTTTGCTCAATTCAGCATTTAAAATTTCACTCCGACTTTATTTGACACACCTGAGTTATATGACATCAATGGAGGACAAAACAGTATACCTGAGTTATATGACATCAATGGAGGACAAAACAGTACAGGAAAGATGGAATGGTTAGATATTTAAATTTAAGCTGTTGAGAGTATCTAAATGTCTTGGTTAAAGAAAAGTGTAGAAAGTTTACATTCTGTTCATCAAATAACTGAATAACAACCCAAAGAATAGATATTTGTTGTATGAAGATATGTCGTAGTATTATCTAATAGAAGAAACAACATTGCAAGAGCTACTACTACATCTACATGAGTTTTTGTCCGTGCTTTTAACACCACCATCACCAAATCTTTTGATGATAAGGGTCGATCATCATGCCAAACACATCCTCATTTCAATGAACTTGGATAATTGATGATCTTGAAGTTGGGAATCGAATGATACTTAATGAAGTGGACACATCAGAGAAGGTAGATAGAAATCATATTTTTTAGAGCAGAAACATCCATAATCACATAAATGTATACAACAATTAGACCAAATTGAACAGTCAAAACTAAATTCCACGATGTGCTGAAGCAAAGCCTGAATTCAAACTACCTCTCGATGGTCATCTTACATATCTCTTCCAGGAGTGTGGTGAGCTCTGATGGCGTGCTAAAGAATGGGGAATGATCGCTATCGACTGTGAAGACCATCGTTGGCGGGTTCCGATCTATACTCACCTGCTGATCAGATGGGGGAGCAAGACGGTCTCTGCTAGTTTTAATGTAGAAGCGGGGAACTCTTCCATACCTCTCTGGGGTCAGTGTAACAGTCTCACGATAGACCACGTAAGGTTGCGGACTCAGCAACGACAATGCCAGCTGAATATCCTGCAAACAGAAATTCTCAAGAACATCAGAACAGGGCCCATTCGTTCCCAACTAAAGCTCAGACGAAATCTCTTGATCGAAAGTTGCTTGTGCAGTTTCCAACGGACGAACCATTCATAGCCACTGACTGTGATACTGTGCATTCTTTCAGGTAAGATTCTAATCTACTGTCTGCGTTCTGCTATATACTGCCAAGTATGTTAAAAGTGATTGAATTAATTTCATGATGTGAGCATATGACTACCTTTCGCAGGATTCTTTTCTGAAAAGATTCTGGCTTCTCAAATAGAAAGACATTTCACGTACCTCCTCGGGACTCTCACTGTACAAAAAGTCTACAGCCTGCTTCAGATTAAATTCGACAGATGTGGGTGGAGCTGATCTGCCATTTGCATAAGCCAGTTTTTTGCTACCTGGAGGTAGCCTCGCAGGAGTCTGCAAATTTGTTGACGGCACACATTTCAACCAAAATTATATCAACTTCAGTTTTAGATAACTTGCACCTACCATCACTTCAGAGGAAATTGGACAGAAGAACTTATAACAGAGATCAACTTGCAGGAAATTGACATTCAGCACTTGATATCACAATTCCTTCTAACATAATGTGGCAAACATTCGGTGAGGGTGAGCAGTACATTCGGTGGCAAACTGCTGAGGAAACTTTGGTTATTGAGAAGCATGCGAGCGACGACAAACACTGCCTTTGCAATCTTCTCCGGGTACTGCTCCATAGCGTAACTTATTGTGATGCCCCCTAAACTGTGTCCCACTAATAACACCTGCGCACACAAGATCGGATTTTGGATTTGCAGTATGGACTCCAGATGGCGAACAGCATCACATAGAATTGTGACGGCTTTAAGAAATTGAATCATCCAAAATCGTGTCATTCAAACCGACAGACATCGGATATTGCATTCCAGAGAAGAACAAAGACCCCGAAGGAGTGGAATTAAGAGCATCCCATCCATTTCAAGTTCCAGCGCAAGAACAAGACACCGCAGACTGCAAGGTGGAAAGCATCCCCAGATACCAAAGACTTTGGAATTGAGTTGACTCACCTGCTCAGTGACACTCTCTAAGTAGTCCAGCAAAGGTTTGGCGAATTCTTCAATTGAAGACACGGAGTCGGCGACTGCTCTGTTCCTCCCCATTGCAGTGAGATCAATCGCAGCAACTTTGTAACCCTTTCGGAGAAGCAGGGTGACCACCTTGTACCAACACCACGCTCCGTGGGAAGCTCCATGTACCAGCACAACATGTCTGGTTCTCGCCCCTGTTGTCTCCTTGGCAGTCTGCGGAGAGCAATTAACAAACTAATGTATCATAGGGCAGAGTTTCCACTACTGAAGGACAATCGTGCCCTGGAACTTCACACGAACCAAATCCAGGCTTGATCTAATGAATCATATCATGGACTCAAGTGAAAACCTTCGAGTTCCGGTGATACCTCAACTAGACTGCGGTGCTCATCATGCCCAGGGCTTCCGCTGCTATGCACAGACATTACAATATGAGCTCTCAGCTGTAACCCGATGCTTCAGAATCCTTCCCGTTGCTGAAAATTCAGAGAAATGAAAACTGGTCCGAGACGATGACGGACCCGGGAATGGTCACAATCACTCATTCACTCACTCACTGCTCTAAAACTCTGCTGCCAAAATCTTTGAGCATGTCACGAAGACGGATCAGGACCTGAAATGCCAAGGCTGACTCGGTCCCGGCTTCTTCGCGCCGGGTTGTTCTCATCGGGAATCATGTCACGAGGCCGTCTGTGGATTTCGATCTATAGCGCACATGGAACAAACACTTTCCATGCCCCAGAAGCTGAACCTGCTGCAAACCATGGCAACCGATGTTCTGACAAATGCGTTTAGTACGGTCGTACGGTCGGCATTGAAGCCAAGGCTCAGCAGGCTCGAAAAGTGTCATGTCTCCTGTGCGATTGGCTATCTTCGAGTTGTCGGCCTGGAGCGTCAACCTGGTGGTCTGTACCGCCATGCTTTTCTTTCTGTGTAGATCTCGGTGGACTTTTGCTCGGACGATTTGACTGCATCACACAATCTGGCCGCAAATGCGTTCCATGCTCTACGTCCCTGAGTTTATGCTTGCGGCCCATCGCTAGCTCTCCCATGTACAGGTACTCTTTGGGCTCGCATTTCCACCATTGTCTTGCATTTGTTGAAACCATGGACTTTCCTAAGTCAGTTCATTCCAACTTGATTAATCGCTGAGTTCTGTAACACGGAATTTCTCATCCAATACTGCACTCAATATTGTGACTCTGACATGCATGACAGACCAGGTCATGAAAATCTTCATGAAAAAGCTCTTCGCGGGAAATCCAGCTCGTGGTGTGATATTTATGTATGGTTGGAATATCAGCCAACTTAGTTTAAGAAGTTGCTGTCACTAAAATTCGACTCCAAGCATGATGATGGCTTTTCTTTGAAGGTCATTGACGAGCAATAGAAAAACCATACATATAACTTACTGACGCATGTAATCACTCTTATATTTAATCTGTAAAGCCTTAGATCTAGTTTGTTTTATCGCATCAGCACACTGAGCACATGTCGAGTTTTCTGTGTTCGATTGTGATGTGCACTTATCAGGAACAAGCACGTCACTTTTAAGTGAGTGAAAAGTTAGCCAGTAACACTAAAATTTCACATGGATTATGACTTATTTTTATAAATGTATCATATTAAATACATGGTTTACACATACTCCTTTGCAAGTAAAACCACCGTGGCAAAAAAACCAAACTAAACGAATCCAATTCCCGCACCAAACCTCTTTGGGTGCAAAGAAAAGCGCAAAGGGCATTTCTTTGCGCTACCACAGTCTGATCCAGTTTCGTGGCGAGTAAAAGATGCAAATGTAAAAGTAAGTGGCGAGAGCTGGGCTAGTATCTCCTTCTAATCACCTTTAAGGTACTTCTGACGACTTCTCGTAAAGTTTTATAAGCCCAGGCTCTCCAAAAGAAAACGCTAGTCACAGGGTAAGTTCCACTTAATTATTTGCAAAGTAAGTAAGAACATGTGTGGGAAGTTGTCATAACTAGTACTATTTTGAATGCTCATGTGTAAAGTTGACTACTCAATTTGTTTGTAGACTTAGATAGGTATAATAAATTTCCTAGCATATACTGTGTTATTATTATTATTATTTCATTAAAAAGTCAGTGAAATATTTAGAATTGTTAATTTCATCCTGAAGCAGATATTTTTCACATTGAAATCATGAATCGAATTCATAAAATTTTCATTTCGAATATTTTAATGTGATGGTACAAACGATTTCTGTTATTTCTCTTCACATTTGTTTTTAAAAAAATTTCCGATTTATTTGAAAAACCTTTTATCTTTGGAATATATTTAAGACTAGATATATAAAATGATTTAATCTCAAGTTATTTTTTTAGGAATCACTATTCGTTCATAACATTTTAAACAAACCTTTCTGACGATGTACAGCAATAGGTTAACTAACATCAAACATCTATTATTTTATGATACAAGATTACATTTTGGTGACAGAAAACATCCGAAAAATTGTTGAAATATGTACTTTATTGCGTTGCATTTTTTCCAGAAAATGCATACGTGATGGTCGTGGCTCATCAGTCTGCTGCAGTATTTTCCACAAGCATAGGTGATAACATAACTGCGATGATAAGCATCATATTTAAAATAAAAACTGAAGTTTTTTAACATCACTAACTATTCAGGTCAATACTCATATGTATCGATCATTATGCTAGTCTTCTTTATTCTGGATGCTAAACATGAACACATGTTTAGCAATGCATGCTACTGTGCCTCGACAATAGAAGGTTTTTCAGCATGCTCCCCTCCTCCACTGGTAACAATTCCACAATGTCTTTACTCCAACATTTGTGTTCGACGAGGTAACATCCATCTCTCCATCTTCTGCAATCGCATTCATGTTACGTCCGAAACAGTCTTCGTCCATAGCTATGTCACGTTGATCTGCAATCCACTTACATTGATGACATGAACGAGAACCGCCACACATCTCGATCGCATGCCTAGGATCACCCCAAGCATTGAATCTAGCACATCTCACATCGTTGTTAGCGAGAGTAAGATGGGCTACACACTCCCAGAGTTGTGATTGGGGATCGACATCAAACGGATTGAAAAATGCTATCTCTCCAGGTCTACTCACTTCCAAAGTAGCTGATCTTCCAGGATTAGAAACGGAGTGACATTCAAGCACGGTCTTCTTGCTTGCAAACGTCTGAGAATAGTGGATCATGTCAGAACACGGAATTGAAATTGCACTCTGGGAATTGGTGCTATTGATGAAGTGAACTTTGGCCTCCAGCTTGAGAAAAGTGGAGAAAGTCAAAAGCAAAGTGATGATAGTCTTCAACATATTGACTGCAGATATCTAGTGATGATCCCAAATGTGACCTAACAGGTGAAATTACAGTGCAAGATTAGATATGGAAGCATCAGAAACTCATTCACCAAAGTACAGAATCCTTGAACTCTCTCTTCCAGACCATACTAAACAAGTTGAAACTTTATGCAAAAGTTCCCATTTATAGTAGATGTAGATCTCTAGCTCCGATGAAGATCTCTTCTATCATGCATTTGACTTCAAATGATTATCAATATTTTTACTAGCATACAAATTCTATAGAATTTGTATGCTAGTCAATATGTAAGATGTAACCAAAACGTCTGTTCTAATTAATTTGGTCATGATTTATGATAGATTTTCTTATTTCTTGTTTGATGGATTTATTCTTGTTTATTTTAAGAATTAATGAAACATAAATATATTTCCAGTTTAATCGCTATGAAAAAAAGTAAAAAGGAAAGAAATGACATGTTATCAAAAGAATTTGGAATGAAACAATTGACTTGTCATCAACAGAGGTTGGAGTTAAAGAAATGACTTGTTATCAAAAGAGGTTGGAATGAAACAAATGACTTGATGTTGAAAGAATTTGGAGTGAAGTAAATGACTTGTTATTGAAAGAGGTTGGAGTGAAGGAAATGACTTGTTATCAACAGAGGTTGGAATGAAACAAATGACTTGATGTTGGAATAGGTTGGAATGAAGGAAATGACTTGTTATCAAAAGAGGTTGGAGTGAAGGAAATGACTTGTTATCAAAAGCGGTTGGAATGAAACAAATGACTTGATATTGGAAGAGGTTGGAGTGAAGTAAATGACTTGTTATCGAAAGAGGTTGGAATGAAACAAATGACTTGATGTTGAAAGATGTTGGAGTGAAGTAAATGACTTGTTATCAAAAGAGGTTAGAATGAAACAAATGACTTTATGTTAAAAGAGGTTGGAGTGAAGGAAATGACTTGTTATTGAAAGAGGTTGGAGTGAAGGAAATGACTTGTTATCAAAAGAGGTTGGAATGAAGTAAATGACTTGTGATTGAAAGAGGTTGGAGTGAAGGAAATGACTTGTGATTGAAAGAGGTTGGAGTGAAGGAAATGACTTGATATCAAAAGAGGTTGGAGTGAAGGAAATGACTTGTTATTGAAAAAGGTTGGAGTGAAGGAAATGACTTGATATTGAAAGAGCTTGAAGTGAAGGAAATGAATTGTTATCAAAAGAGGTTGGAATGAAACAAATGACTTGATGTTGAAAGAGGTTGGAGTGAAGGAAATGACTTGTTATTGAAAAAGGTTGGAGTGAAGGAAATGAGTTGTTATCAAAAGAGGTTGGAATCAAACAAATGACTTGATAATAATTGAGCTTGGAGTGAAGGAAATGAATTGTTATCAAAAGAGTTTGGAATGAAACAAATGACTTGTTATTGAAAGAGGTTGGATTGAAGTAAATGACTTGTTATCAAAAGAGGTTGGAATGAAACAAATGACTTGTTATTGAAAGAGGTTGGATTGAAGTAAATGACTTGTTATCAAAAGAGGTTGGAATAAAACAAATGACTTGTTATTGAAAGAGGTTGGAGTGAAGGAAATGATTTGTTATCAAAAGAGGTTGGAATGAAGTAAATCACTTGTTATTGAAAGAGGTTGGAGTGAAGGAAATGACTTGATAACAAGAGGTTGGAGTGAAGAAAATGACTTGATATCAAAAGAGGTTAGAGTGAAGAAAATGACTTGATATCAAAAGAGGTTAGAGTGGAGGAAATGACATGTTATCAAAAGAGGTTGGAATGAAACAAATGACTTGATATTGAAAGAGCTTGGAGTGAAGTAAATGACTTTTTATCAAAAGAGTTTGGAATGAAACAAATGACTTGATATTGAAAAAGGTTGTAGTGAAGGAAATGACTTGTTATTGAAAGAGGTTAGAATGAAACAAATGATTTGTTATTGAAAGAGGTTGGAGTGAAGAAAATGATTTGTTATCAAAAGAGGTTGGAGTGAAGGAAATGACTTGTTATCAAAAGAGGTTGGAGTGAAGGAAATGACTTGTTATCAAAAGAGGTTGGAGTGAAGGAAATGACTTTTTTATCAAAAGAGGTTGAAATGAAACAAATTACTTCATATGAAAAGAGGTTGGAGTGAAGAAAATGACTTGTTATCAAAAGAGGCTGGAATGAAACAAATAATTTGTTATCAAGAGAATTTGGAATGGAACAAATGACTTGATATTGAAAGAGGTTGGAGTGAAGTAAATGACTTGTAATCAAAAGAGGTTGGAATGAAACAAATGACTTGATATTGAAAGAGGTTGGAGTGAAGTAAATGACTTTTTTATCAAAAGAGGTTGGAATGAAACAAATGACTTGATATGGAGAGAAGTTGGAGTGAAGTAAATGACTTGTTATCAAAAGAGGTTGGAATGAAACAAATGACTTGATATGGAAAGAGGTTGGAATGAAGTAAATGACTTGTTATCAAAAGAGGCTGGAATGAAACAAATAATTTGTTATCAAGAGAATTTGGAATGGAACAAATCACTTGTTATCAAAAGATATATATTTATTTATTTAAAATAAAATTAACAACTATTTTGTTTCTTTTTACTGAAATGAGTTGAAATGAAATAATTGATTTAATATTAGAAAATAGACATCAAATAATACATGTTTAACTCATTTCATTTATCATAATTATCGGATCATTTTCTATGATAAATAAGAATTTTCTTTTCCATTTCGTATCTTCAATGACTAGATAGATCTAATATGTTAGAAAATGTATGTTATTATATTATGTAAACTTCAAATAGTTATAGCAAGTTGTTTGATTTTCGTAGTAGCAGGTTACTGTTTACACTAAAATATTTTAACAATAGTCCTTGCAGTGTTCCTTTGAACCTTGGGTATTACTATAGAATTATATATTTCTAATTTGTAGAAGTAACGCTTGATGATAGGGAACTGTTACAGCCAAACACGTCGCATCTATGATTGATTTTTTAGGACGTGACTTCGTGTTCCAGAACTGTATATGAAATAACCACGCTACGGAGTATAAACCAGACCATATATCAAGCACGTACTCCACCCATATTATTATCGAGATGTAATCACACACACGTCTGTGAACGGAGAGGGATGCGATCCACATCACCCACAGGTAGACAGTCAACAGTACTGCATTGAACTGGACCTCAGCTCAAATGTTGAGAAGCGTACGAGCTAAACCAAACCATCCCTTTGATGAGTGAGCAGCGACTTGCTGCGGGCCATAACTTCATCTGATGCTAGACCAACTGTGTTCCAGATAGCCAATGGCTGGACAGGTCTCAGACTCGAGTCAAATCTAAGGACTCGTGCATCTCTTCCTCAGATCATGGATTCTAGATCTCCTGAAGAAGGATTTTATGACATGCTTAAAAGAATAAGTACTGTTTGTGAATCTCAAGCATTACGGCCAATTGAATCTATCATTTACAGAGAAATTCCGGGTCCCTGTTACTGACCCTGTGACTGTTGTTGTTCATCTCCAGATTGTCCAGAGCAAGCTTCGAGGATTAAGCTATCGAGGAGGCGGAGTGGACAATGTCCCTACCCTCCCGACTGAAGGGGTAGAGAGCAATTTCAGTTTCTATTATTTCTGATAAGCACCAAGACTTCTTCACTTAGAAGTGAAGAAGTGATGGAAAGGAGAAATCCTGTATGCGATATTGAAGCTATCCATCCCCACGATGGCGGAATATCTCAGCCTGGCGATTCGCTGCTATGCATTCTTCTCCGTGTCCCGAATGTCGCTAACTAGCTCGTCATCGCCTCGCATCTCCTTCATCAAAGCTTTCGCTTACTCGGGCTGGGTCCGTGAGTAGTAAATCACGTCAGCATTGAGCTGCATCTTTGAGGCATCCATGCTCGTAGTCAGGACTACCTTTGTGCCGGCACAAGCTCTGCTGCACAGAGATACCCCAGTAACAACCTTTTGCTTCTGAGCTCAATCTTTCAGAAACTGCCCATCCGTAAATTTTCAGCGATCAGAACTCTGGAAATATTCGGAATGGATGATCGGAAACAGGCGACTGGAGTGATAGTGCCCGACAGTTTTATATGCACGTATAGCTCGCGAGTAAGACTTGGCCCCTTAATCTTCGACCATGACTCAAAAGGGAGCTCTGTCACAGATACGCCAAGGTTCACTTTCTTCTGGCTCCTCCCTGATTGGATAACAAACCGAATCCTATCACGAGTCACGCTCTGTGTTTCAGATTGTGACGTACGTGGATCTAGCATTTTATCCTCGCATCTTGGCCGAGCTCTTACAACCATGCATATAGTTAACCTTCTGAGGTCTGACAGGCGCTTTTCTTTCGTTCTCTCAGATGGAGCCTTTGCAAGCTTGAAAAGTGTGAAACCACCTTGGCCTTGTCAGGTAAGGAAAGGTCCGTCTCCGATACGATTCTCTTCCGTGACTTGTCGGACGAGTTTATACAACCATGTCCTGTACACAAGACACAGTGAAACTCTTGCAGGTCGACAAGATGGATCGGCAGAAGGGCGAATTGGTTCGAAAAGAGCTGAGTTCCGTTCATACAGCAGACAGATCTAGAGCACGACGTACTGGCTGGTCAACTAACCCGAGCTCGTGCTTGTGCTCTTGGTTCTGGACTGATGTTACCCATGGACCATACACTACGACTGTAGTGACCGTGGTCGGTCGATCTCGATATACACGCCCTTCTCTGGGTTCACCACTCATCGCTCGGCATTTGGCGGCACCTTGGACCGTGTGAAATATAAGAGTATCTTCTTCGCAGTGACAACTCACATATGGACAGTTCTGTAAAGCAGCCGTAAGCCCGATTAGTGACAAGGTATCAGCTGAATTGTACTTGCTGTGCAATAAAAAAGTCCGGACTTCATCATACAAAGTATTACTGCGCATGGTAAGAGTGTCTTAGACAGAAAGCATGAAATGACCACACTAGATTCGATGTACAAAACACTTTTCTGAAATGTCAGTGACATCGTATTCTACTAGGCCAAAGACAGACACTCTACGTTTCAGAATCACCTCATGAACAGAGAACTGACCTTGTCAAAAGTGTCCACTCTAGGAAGTAACGGTAGGATACGTAGTGGCTTGTACTTGACGCTTGAGGACAGTTTTTGGTGAGGCTCGGAACAAAGACATCCCGAACAGTTAAAGAAACTCGCAAAGAGAAAGAAATCATGATAACTCTTCTTTCACTGAGATGTAAGGTTACAAGCTAAGTCTGGATCACTTCAGTTTGAATCTGTCGAAGTCATGTGGCAACATCCTAAACCAACGAGATTTGCACCTCTCTTCTGCAATTGTGATCTTCTACGTATAATTTCCCCATTGGTTTTTGGTAAATATCTACAACTTCTGAATTACTTGTCACTTGAGAGGATTGTGAAGTATTGTCCTCCTATACCTATACCGCACCTTCTCTTGACGGTCAGTCATCACGAATTTAATAACCTTGTATGACTATAGTATCAACCAGTGACGAAGTTGGCCTCCTAATCGAACGCTGAGTTTCGTGGAAATCATGATGACAATCATATTCTGCTCTACTCTCAGGACTTCAACGACGTGGCCATACGAACCCAGATTCTCAACGCGTTTCTTGTAGGTGTCCTCAACCACGTATACGTGTCTGAACTCGTGGTTAGCAACCGACGGACATGCGGCAGCTCTGGAACTAAGATCTTTTGCAACGAGGTCATATACTCCAGACAGTTGGCGATTCCAGACCGTACCTCAAGGCAACGACGTTCTGATACATACAGCCAAAGCTCACGCGTTTAGTGAAAGCTGACAGGCTTAGTGGCTTAGCAAAGTGTAGAGAAGAGGGCGACGTACACTTTGGTCGAAGTACGAATAGATCAATGACAGCTCGAGCTTTGAGACAAGACTAACTCATCCCGAGTCTCTATATCTTCGAACGCCCTCGGATTAGTTAGCAAGTGTTTATGCAGTAGCCTGGTTCTGCTGCATCCAAGGGGACCCACAGTTGACTCCATCAGACCTCAGACGACATGGTCTTTCGCCGACAGAGACAATCGTCTTACCATCCACTTGGCATGTCAACCACGGCAAAGGGTCCAACGTTACCACGATCGAGGGAGAAACCACGGGCAGTATTCTGAGAATCCTCAAGTCTTCTCCTTAGGCCTTTGCTGCCAATCATTCTCTCTCTGATCCACCCAATTATGTTTCAACGGCCGCGAGGCGAGGCCTCCACGATCTTTGATAACTCCGTCTCTTTGTGATATAAATATTTATAGATCTATGACTCCGGCATTGCATGGTACCTCAGATCTGTCACCTAACTCTTAGCCCCAGCGTCACAGGAATGAAGTTCTCTCAATCACCGAAGCTGACCTTCACGGTCTAAAGATCTCTCAGATCTGGTAGCAGATCGGATCGTGTCCTCGTCGCGTGTGATGAGGGGTCAAAGAACGAGATTTAACTTGGAACTGAACCTCACTCAAGCACGCAATCAGCTATGCACCACAAGGACCACAGTTGTGTGCACGGAAGTGGGAAGACTTGGAGACTTTATTACAAGTTGGAAAGCTGATCATGGCATGACAAATGTGTCGTAAATGTTTAGGTCCAGCGACTCCAGCCACGCATCCTAGCTGAACCAAAAGGACCAAGCACTGCACCAGTCGACGAAGACCGTGTGGAAATCCCCAGGGCCAAGTTTCTTCTTGTTGGACTTTGTGAATTCTTCACTCCATCGATATTCGTAGTCAGCGGGCGCTTTGATTGAAACGAGTCCGCAGATTTCAGAGGTTCTCTTGGTACAGGATTGAACTGGTTTCGGCTCTCAGAGATTGTATATCATTTCGAAGATGTTGGTAAGCTGACGAGGGTGACTGACAAAGGGAGAGTGGTCGCTACGGATCTTGAAGACTCTCTCGGGTGGGTTCCGGTCGATCGTGAACTGTTGGGCAGCAGGGGTACTCAGATGATCATTCAACGTAAACACGTAGAATCGTCGAACGCTTCCATATCTAGCAGGTGTCAATTTCAGAACCTCGAATGATATCGCGTACGGTGTTGGACTCATCGACAGCATTGCAAGAGTCACGTCCTGCAAGCAATATTTTCACCAACATCTGTTATTAGTCCAGGCTACACTTGCACCTACCTCAAATCTGCGCCTCGAAAGACAATTCCGATGACTGACAAACCCGTACCTCGCATCTCAAACTACGTCCACGTTACACATCCATATTATGTTCTTTTCTAGCTGATACTATGTGCACATGAATTCTGGATCGTAGTTCATACCATGTTCCGGTAGATAAAACCATCTCTCTATACTGGAGACAAGAAACAGCTTCAGAGCCCTGACTACCTGATCTGGAGTTTCGTTGAAGAACATATCTTGAATATAAGATAAGTTGTATGAGAAGGAGGTGGGCGGAGCTGACGGCCCATTTGCATAATTTAAAATCACAAAATCTGAAGGCCTCCCCGGCTCCGTACTCTGCGTGACAGGAACACAGATTTCCAATAAAATGGGTTCACATGCTGCAGAATTTAGCGCAATGTCACGTGAAAATTTATCCTTTTCAGACCAATGAAACAGACCAAATCAAGAAGTAAGAAACGAATGGCTACAAGGCTTGGAGAAGAGCAAAAAGCTGCTGTATACTGCTGGATGCAAGTACCTCAGGTGGCAGACTTGTATGAGAGCTTTGGTTGTTGAGAGGCATGCGCGAAGTAACGAACACAGCCTTCTGTATCTTTTGGGGGTATTTCTCCATTGCAAAGCTTACAGTGATACCACCAAGACTGTGCGCCACGAGAAAAGCCTGCGCATGGACACTACCTCCGTGCTCAGACAAATTTGGATCATGCATTCCAACATGTGTTACAGAAAGAGGAAGGAGCAACGTTGACTCGACGATCTAGCACAGGAATATGATCTCTATGTAAGTGGAGACGAGATTCTAACCTCCAGTTGGAACAAGCATTTCTTCTTGTATACTACAAGTAAATACATGAACTTCTAGTTTAAATTAAGTGAACATTTTTTGGGACTGTACGTGTGCACAATCTCTCAGTCTTCGAAGGACATCACTATCGAATTTTCGAAGAACAACCTTCGTGCTCACAGCTGGAGAATCTCATATATAAGTCAGAATTACAGATCGTTTGATTTTGCCACTCGACCTCACCGAAGGAAGCAGCACGATTGTGAGCACCGAATCAGATTTTTCAAGCAGGTGGTGGACTACTGGTGACCATGTTTAGTTGATTACATACCTGTCCGTTCAAGTTTTCCAGATAGTTTAATAGAGGTTTTGCATATTCGTCCAGAGTAGTTACAGTGTCGGGGTTAGTTCTGTCTCTTCCCTGTGAAGTAAGATCGATGGCAGCTACGGTATAGCCTCGCTTCTGCAACAAATTCACCATCTTATACCAGCACCACGCGCCGAGACCAGATCCGTGAACAAGAACAACATGCCTGCTATTTGATTCGGCTTCTGTTGTCATTCCTGTCAGCACAATACGTTCCAAATTCAGAAACTTTGCAGGAGGCTTCCATCGATGCAAGATTCAAATCAGTCAAGCTGAACACGTCTCATGCACACTAGAAGCCTAGACAGCGTTGATTGATGTCCATGACATCATGTCTTGCAATTGTACTTGTGAGAGTAGAGCCAATCACCATGCAGACCTTCCGAAGGCAGGCTGATTGGGAATGCAGCATGATACGTAGCCGAGGTGAAAAACACCAGAGTCCATAGCAGAGAACTTTTGGGGCCCATTCTTTCGGTGGAGATTCACAAGCTCGCGACTTTTCCGCCCCCACCAGCTGTTGCTTATTCCTGTCTACGAATGACCAGGCTCGACTGTGACAGTTTATCCACCAGCTGGTTCTTCTCCGCGAGCAGAAAACTTTTTCGGGTAGTTCACTGACTTGAATTTGTTCCTTATTCAGCTTTGTGATTGCATGGCCCCATACCCGTAGAAACTAACCGCCAAGAAACCGTCTACCAAGGTGCCGATGAAGATGTGAGTGGTATCCAGGTTTTTATATCACGAGATTTCTACCTACCGTTTTGTCTCAGACAGCTCCAATATTCCAAGGAGATAGTGCTCACTGACAGCCTTTTCCTGGGAACTGTCTTTAGCAAACCTTGAGTGTGTAAACGTTCCGCCCAAATCTGCGCCTCCCTCCCACACACCACAACATCTTCGACACATCAGGAAGCAATTCACACTCGTGTGCCGTATGCTGTATACATACCGCCGCTGAGTGTTGTGACGAGAATGTGATTCTGTGCACAAGGCTCTGGTAAACGATCGAGTCCTCTGACTCTGGTTCCACTGACTCTGGAGGCTTTGGACGTTCAGGAAGTTGGTAACAATCATGAACCTGCAGATTGTTCATCAGGGCGTTGACTTATCTCACGAATGTTGAAATGCTACGGTAGGAAAGACCGCAAACCGCAAAGTAGGTACGTACATGGTACTTGGGTTTGACCTCCGCCTAGACCGGAGCATGTGACATACGAACTTGTACGTTTTGGGCCCCATCCACGATTCCCAGATTAATCTTCCGTTTTATGAGCAACAAGCGCAGTAAGGGTTGTATGAAGCTGGATTTCTAAACTATCAGATAAATCACATATTGCAATACCAGAAAACCTAACGTGGATAGTTTTAGAAACAAGTGAATGTGTGCCGTTTCGGTTACATGTGTGTTATATAAATACTGTAAGATGATATGATGAGAGTGCACAAGCCCTCCGTTGGGCCTGTACTGTAGGAAAAGATAGAGTCCTAAGGCGTCAGTGAGTCAGCAGACTTTGACCTCAGATGATTTTACATATAATCATGGACCTGTAGATGGTTGATGGAGGAGGCGTTGACGTAGGAAACAATGTCTGTTTGGTTGTTGTTGTTGTTGAGCTCATAACGCATAGCCATCCGAACTCGGCCTGGTAAAACCTAGACTGAAGTGCAAGCTTGACCTACCGATAGCAGTCGTAGTAACTGCCATGAACATTTCACGTCACCTCCATATTTTACATTATAGTCTGCTGCTCTCGGAATGAGCTGTCTGGAACCGATTCTCCAAGAACCAGCATGTAAGTTTCCATACTTCGTGTTTCAGCCGAGTTGTCTCAGCATGGGCAACTTACACTCTGTCAGGCTGGTGCCAGTTTGGTGATTATAAATAACAAACCATGAAAGGAGAAGAGCATGATTTAGACATGCAAACCCCCAACAGTAGCTCCAAAGCTGACAGTAGATGTCATATCTTAATATTATGATAGTTGAACAGCATTGACGATTACATCCATCGTCTACCCCGTTGCTTCTACAGTATACACGGTAGTGCAGTTCTGCGTGACTGCAGACGTCAGCAGAGTGTCTTCCACGGCGTTGTGGTCTGGGTCCGGAGATGAGGTCTGCACAATTCATGCGACTTACTGGAGAAATCAGAATAAACTACGAGATTATTACGAGAACCACTTCCACCAAATTTGCGATGGTCCCAGCTTTCTCTTGAACTTCATTGTCGTTGTCTACAGTACTCTCATAACAACTATGATCCATACTGTATCAGGCACATGCAACGCAAATTTCTTATGCCCAACTTCGTGTACTTAAATGGTTTTCGTGCGAAAAGCTGCTAAAAGGCATGACAGCCTTTTCTACTTTATGTCTGAACAACAGACCGCCCCTTGGACTACGTGGAGACTTGTGAAGCACTTTCGTACAAAATACAAGCATATCATAGTGTTGCCTTGCAATCTAAGAAACTCTTCAGTCGGTCATGATGTTCTGATGATTGGAATTTGAATAATCCATTTCTGATTCCTGCTTTGCTTTCCGACACAAAGAATCTGCTAAGCGAACTGTTTTTCCAGGAGTAAACAGGCCGTGTAATTACATGCTTATACGTCGAAGGTCAAGCTTTTGCGGATGCTGATTCCCACACTTTGCACACCCACGTTTGCTACCGCCACAAAGGCTAGCCTATTCTTGTCATCATGGCATTAGATTCCACCGTATCTACCTAGAGTTCAGCAATACCAGATATGTGGTGAAAGTGGCTTAATGTTTGTATGTATAAATAAAAATATAAAATATCGTTCGATGTGTAAATTAGTTCACATGCTTTAGTAAAGATACGTCTAGAACCTGCGGTTTGTTATTTGACTGCACATCACAATTGCACACAATCCTCGACGTGAGCGTAGTTTCATTCATATATATATAACATTTGTAAACATTGAAAATATTTTTGCATCAGAAAATAATCTTCAAAATATATTTATACTCATTTTCTAAAATAAAAAAAATTGAATAGATTATTTTATATCAAAATTCAAATATGGGAAATATTGGTGTAATTTTTAATATTCAAAATAAAAAGAGTTTGTACACTTCTGTTACAATTCAGTGAAACAAAACATTAATTTAGTTAAAACATCACAGAAATAAATTCAATACTTTTTATATGATATTATACCTGAAGTCATTCATCAATCATACCTGAAGTGATTTATTTTATTTTATTTTATTTTAAAATAAATATTAATTAATATTAATCTATAAATATTCTGACTTCTTATTTAATTACAATGTTCATTTAGAAAGTCCAAAATTTCATACATACTTAAAACATCATCCACATATAATTATTGCCACAAGATGCATAAACTAAGTATTCATAATCAGATGAATCACAAAGACATAATAAAATTTCATATGAGTGGGTTCTTGGTTTGTTGTCAAATAGTTGAAATGATATTATTGCTTTTACAATTTGAAAAATTAAATTTAGATGAACTTTAATAAGATAGAGACAAAAATTAACTCCAAAAGAATGAAATTTATTATTCATAGCTAAAATCTTAAAAAAATATCACAACAATTGTTGTAGGGAATTGCTAGGCACACACCCCCCTCCTGTGCATAGATCCACTCGTCCACAAAGCACATTTCTGCGTCAAAACAACAAAAGCTAAACATTTTTGCGTCAAAACATGCCAGCGCTTCGTCAAACAAGGGGGAAAAGCTGTTTACGGGTCCAAACATGCCGGCGGTTCGGCAAACAAGGCGGTAAAGCTGCAATTTTTGTTTGGAAGATACTTAATTGGGAACACGTTCGAACGCGGACGGATCCCGTCGAGTGCTGTTGTTCAGCAATTAAACGTGCTATTAAGGTCACGGGCGGTCATACCTCTTGGGGGGTGTGCCTAGCAAGGGGGTGTGCGCCTAGCAATTCCCTTGTTGTAATGTTGAAGAATATTGAGTTGTTGAATGATTTTTTATTTGCACTGGTTTAGCTTCACGGGTTCCTACGTAGCATATGGAGTTTGGGTTCATAGTGAATGAACTCAAACGCCTAAGAGGACATCGAATGAGCGACGAACGAGGTCAGATAGACGTTTATACACTTTCTTTCAGCACATGGATTTAGTGCATCCGCGTGTTGGATGAGTAAACTACCAACAATCAGAAAGCCTTCAACCATGCACCTCGACTACATCTCGGAGAATACACTCTGACCTCAATCTCAATCATTCGCTGATGTTCATATGTTTCCTACTCCCAAACCTCGGTAGTACCACATGCCTATGTCTGCGGTCTTTCAGCAAATGAAAAGTCAAAAGTACCAGACCATATCTCTCTTATTACAGAACGAACATATCTGTTCACAAATGGAACTTCAGAACCCAAACTAAGACGGAATAATCACATTCACTTCCACTGCAAGAGCTTGAGAAAGACAGAAAACTAGAAAATGTTACCAGTTTGCCGATAGAGGCTACGATTCGGCTACTGCAACTACAAGCAGAGAGAATGCACTGGTAATATCGCGAACCGAATACAGACATGTCAAAATAAACCTGTGTCCTCCTTCAAACAGGGTTGAAGAAATAGACTCAAGCAGTCAGCATGACGTACTTCGGAAGACTGCGTGACAGACATTGGAAGCACGAAAGGCGATCGGGATCCGTTTGATGCGATCGTGTGAAATTTTGTGCAGATTTTGTGTAGACAGAGAATATTGATACTCAGCATTTCGTATCTCCACGATCATTTGTGACGCTGATGAACAGTTCATGTTCGAGTTCTTTGAAGGCCGCTACTGGCTTTCGACAGGTAACAACAACTTGAACTTGTGTAAAGCTTTCCAAATCTACGGATGGAAGGTTTCAGGCTAAAACCAGCAGAAGTCGGAGGTGGAAACCCAGTACAGACTGTGCTTTCAACAAAACGTAAAGGTGATGTCCTCATCTTCACTCGTGCAGCAGATTCAAGAGGAGAAATCGGGACCTACTAGCGACGGGAGAAGCTGTAACCTGAATCGATCAACGCTCCACGCTTACTCGATTCAGCCAGTTCAACTGATTGTTTTGTCCAACGCGGTTTTCTCTCTGCATCCATATCGTTCCGCTTATAAGGAACAATTACAAAATGTCGAAGTTTGGTATCTTAAGTTGCACCCTAATTAACTCTACCACTGCCAGTCGCCAAGGACGAAGCTGTAGCGAAGTCATTCCGGCTCATAGTACAGGAGAGAGCCTGCAATGAATCGTGAAGAAAGCAGAAAACTGCCGAACAAACCCGATTTATCGGAAAGTGCTATTATGACGGGACATAAAACGGGCACTAGAACCGTGTGCCCGTGTGCCAACCTCACACAGACGGAGAAACCAGCCGCTTGATAACATGGAGAATATGCTTTCAAAACAGTCTGTCCGGCACTTCAAATCGCACAAAATGTCAACGATGGAATCCTTGGCCGATGGTCCCCATTTTTGCCTACCTACTCCTCCGAACCAGGAGGAGAAGGTTACTCGAAGCACAGAACCAAACTTGTTCTGGATGAATTGAAATATCACGACGGACTGCAATCAGCCTGCTTCGTTCGAAGGTGTATATTCATGTTCTCTTCTTCCTTTGGATTACCTCCATTCACGGCCTTCACATCTTTCGTTTTACAAAGACTTCTTACTGCCTTCTAGACAGTGCTCCCTTGTCAAAACTCGATTAGTGCATTCCTGGTGCATCCTAAACACGCTGGTAAATTGTTACGTGTTAGACTTGTGACACACCTAAAGAAACACTACTTTCAATGTACATCTCCAGCAATCAATACATCCGTCGAGAAATCTGAATCAAGATTACAAGAATAGTTCCTTGAGTTTTCGGTTTCACCCGATTCCTTTTCGAAGGCAGAAACTCAACAGGAGCAGGGCATACGCTGCAGCCTCACGTTGGTGACTGTGTTTTTTTATATACTCTATGACGCTTGCAGTCCAGTCTGGTTTTATGTTTTTCACCAAGGCTATTAATTGCCGTATCGGCCGTTCGAAGGTCAGGACAACCCAAGCACTCACAGGAGTACAACACCATTTCCCCATTTGCAAATTTGGTTTGGGCGGTAAAACAATGAATTGGTCGCAATTAGGTCCTCAAGAAGATGACAGTGCGAGCTTTTAATCCGAACCTACCTCTACCTCTACCTCTACCTTCGATTTATCGACAAAGAACACGTTTACTGACTGACACCATCACATCTGACAAATCGTTCATATTCGCTGCCTTACTATACGTCGGTTCCACAAGCCTAGATATCTACAGGGGTAGCTCGACTAACTGAGACTCTCTGAGACGACTGAAACATTCAAGCAAACGTGTTCCATAACCAGTCAACCGTAAGAAGGTAATTCAACTCGTTTGAGCTATGGACAGGAGCGATGAGCAAGTCAGAAAACTGATTATGCACGTCACAAATTTACCCTAAACATTACATAATTCTGAACACTAACTGATTAATGCACAACATCTCTCCTATCCATATGCCCATGACAAGTCCCAACGAACCAATCTACATGCCCTTCCTTCGACCTGTATTTTATCATGTTCCACATACTCTCGGCGACTACTACACGACTTACAAACTAGGGGGGAAATATTTCAATTCACATTCAGACAGTGACTCCTGTCGTCTTATTTGATTTAAAAACAGTGAGGGGTAAAATGGTAGAGGTGGTGCTAAAATCTTGATGGCTTTGGCACAACAGGTGCATACAAGGAACCTCCGAAGGTAACTAAGTCCTCAGCAAGATGTTTTCAAATTGTTACAATAGCAAGGTCTGTTTTTGTGTCATCTAACAGAACGGCAGTATTCTCAAGGAAGTAAAACATGAGCCAAGCTGAACAAAGTGGCTAAGCTCATCCCCGCAATGATACTCGCTTGCCCTTTCTTCGGCACTTCAGACTAAAAACAGAGGACACAATTCCCCTCTGCTCGCATGTAGGAAATCTTCAGCTCCTCGCGCAGAATGAGGTGATCACTTGATCCAGACAGATAGAAGTTCTGACTCCGCATCCCGCGCTCCGATGACTTGTACCTTCCCAGGCTTGAATTTAGCACGTTGCTCTTCGACAGCCTGTTTGAAGCTTGCTCAGAACTATGACTGTCCTGCTTAACTTATATTGTTCGCGCAAGCATAAAAATGATCTCCTGGATCTGAAGTGACCGACTCCAGGGCATGGGCAGCTACAATTGCCCCAAAACTGCTGTGATGAGGTCCCGTAGTGTTTTCGACCTTACATAATAACAGTAGATCGTATGAATCCAAGCCCCAGCCCTGGTAGGGAGATGACTTGAATCAAAAACGTTGTCTCAGCCGGTGGGATGCTCTTGTTCCTGTTGTTCTGATTGTTGCGCCTGTTCTATACATTCCTTGGCTCGCTGAACTTTAGATTGTACGTAAAAACTTCCCATCTTCGCATTTCTTTCGAAAAGGGCTTCGTATTTCTGTACCACAAAATTTTTGGAATCAGTGCGCATGCTCCATACGAGATATACAGATTCATAGCTACAATCCATCACAAATTCAGTCACAAATCCAGCGCAAAAAGAGAGAACTGAGTTACCTTCAGTACTTCCTCCATGGGGGTGTTCTCAGAAACGCCTAAGATCATCCTAGCTTCAGATATAGACATTGTCTTACTGGTTCTCTTCGCCATATTTTGTACTGTTTCTTGAGCTACGCCTGATTTCGAAGCATCTTCACAAATTCAGACAATTCGAGTTGAAGAACGTGAGAAACATATAAGGCAGATGGAATTCAACTCCAAACCCCAGTCAGAAACGAAAAAAGGCAAATGACCATAACTCGGTAGATGGATGTGCCTGAGGTCTCTGAATCGGATGTGTGGAAACAAGAGTAAGGGTGTCAGCCATAGAAAACTGCAATCTCTACGGCGAGTTTATGACCTAATTTTCACCGGTCGAAAATTATGAGCGAATTGTTTGATCCTACTGAGCGAAATTGTATTCCTAATAGTACTAGGAATACAGTACATACTTTGAATCGCTTGACGGTAAGCTTGAGATACAGCGCGAAGAAGCACACCCGAGCCGAGGACGATCAAATTCGCTAATATTTTAGCGGCCTGAAGAAAACCAAAAATTGAAGTTAGAGTCCGCAACCTCCGAAAACCTTGAGACTCACAAGATTCAGACGGCTTCTCAAAGTTCGAAATGCAAGTACTACATCGTGATCTTCATAAATCTCCTAGCAGCCCCGTGGTCATTGATTTCGAAGTGAAAATTCATGGTCATCACCCTGTCAAGGAAATCCAGATTTCCTGAAGGCAGACAGTAAAACAATTGCCATCGCAACTGAACTTTCCCCGGAACTCGACAACAGAGCCAATCAAAGAATTATCAACCTGCCAATAATCAAGTCCTCAATTCGGGACACCCAGTAATGTAGCAAAAAGAATGAGAAGACCCCATCACATCGACCAGGGATGAATCCAAAGGAGTAATCATTCATTCGAGGAACTGTGAACACAGAGTTAACAGCTGAACTCACCATCGCCCCTAAAGCTTGCGACCCGACAAACCCAGAGAAAAAAAATGGCTGTGATAAGGACGGAAGACTTCGGGCACTCCTCCAAAGCGAACACACTCGATGCAAATTCAAAGTGTTTCAGTCAGAATCTTCCATCACGATCGTGATCCGCATGACCTCAGCATCCTGGATCCTGATTTTCCACCGGTCAAATAGAAACCAGAGAAACGCTTGGCTGGATCGTTTGATAGATCGAGGAGGAACTCGCTCGGAGCTGCAGCGAGTGGTGGAGTTGGTGACAAGTTAGGGTTGGAGCGAGCAATCGCGTGCCACGAGAAGTGCAGACCGCTTAAACCTCTGCCGATGTTCGCGTGCGCAGCAGAGGACACGACGAGCGAGCGAGCTATTTCCAGGCGCCGTCTGCTGCTCAACCCTTCGGCCTCTCCACGACCCACTCTCTTTTCTTGTCCACCACTTCCCCGGGGCCACAAAGGGCTCCCCTCCCCTTCCTCGGCAGTAGGTTTGGCATCTTCGTCATCTTCGTGATCCTCTGTTCTTCCACCCTCCGTGTCGGATTTTTCCTCTCCCATTCTCGTAGCCACATTTACAAATCGTAAGAATCATAAAATTTCGAGGCAACATTATTCTCTGTAAAACATGATACTTGCTCCGTGAGTCGTGAGTGATATATCACAAATACTTCAAAACTATCTTGGGCAATTTTTACAACGTCTATGGATGTGGAGACATTGGTAATTTTTTATTTTTATTTTTTTTCACACGCTCTGTCCATTGTTCTGAACCAAAGGAAGGTTGATGCTATTGATAACATTGGTAACGAATCAAACACATTTTTTGGAAACTATGTGATAGTTATACTATTTGACCCAAAGAGTTATGCCATATTGATTACAGTATGACATGTTTATTGAAGTGATGGTATTGGAATATAGCCACAAACTGCTCTGCTGCTATAATACTTGGTTCTCTTATATACTACTGGTGTGGTGTGGTGTTGTGCACCCAGGTTTTGTAGTTGATGTATCTTTCTCACCCCTACAATATGTAACCTTACGTTTATTTATTTATTTCTTCATATATACACTTGCTTGATTATCATGACATCCTGCTAAGGAAATGCAGCTAGAACGAGGTTCGTAGATAAGAAATAAAGGCACTACCAGCACACATGTCCGCTGGTCGGTCTCTTGATTTGATAAGACAAAGTTCCAAACTGACAGGATTTATCACGATTAGATTTGCTGTACAGTTATAAGACTATGTAAGCTAGCAGCTGCTTCTATGCAGACGAAAGCTGTTCGAGTGCCAAATACGCTCACTGTTTTACGTTTCACAAATTATGTTTTAATTTTCTGCGTGGAATCTACAATGTTACATGCAGTCCAACATCGATAACTTCTAGAAACATATTTTCTAGCGTCTCACTAACCTCAAGCATGAACTCAGCAGGTTCTTCGAGATACGTCCACAGAGTAAAGTGGTGATCTGTTGAGACAGATGTATAGTTTCAGTGGATCCAATAAGATGTGTTCGACGGGCGCATATAGCGGCCGCTCAGTCTAAGGTCTGAAATTTCGGATTCACGTCCGGAGGAGTAGCTCAGATCCCATGAATGTATGTCCAAAAGGTTTACTTGGCACCTGAGCTTCGGACCTGGCGCACAAGGCGGCCGATGTCTTTGTGGAGTGGTGTTGGTTGACGTGAGAGCCACGTGCGTGCAGCATGGTTCGCTCTGGATGACATCGTCCGTGGACTGTCACTGGAGAGACTTCCATGAGCTTGGAAGCTTTTGCTTAGTTCTTACGTCAGCGACTTCTCTTCTGGAACAAACATTAGGTAGCAGTAAAGTTGGTCTACCTGAGCGATCCACGAGATTCTTCATCCCATAAAAACAAAAGCAATTATAATTGTGGATCTTCTTCTAGTTGCCAATGTGATTGCAAACAAAGCTTGAACAATCTGGATGATATATCCGAAATTGACCGTCCTTTGGTGCACTTCAAGGTTCAGAGGGAATCTTGTCATTCCATTTTCTGGTCCCCTACAAAGAAGGGAATCGAATGGTTCGACAGTATTGACTCTGTTTAATCGACGGCCTCTTTATTGCAAGGTTTCAAATTGTCACCTTGTGCGGAAGGAACAAAAGGGAAGTTCGAGAGTAAAAACCATAAACTAAAGGATGTACTGCAGAACCCTCTAAGGTCGAAGATAGAAAGGAGAAATGGAGACACGGATTGTATGGCAGAGTGCTAGCCATAAACTGGCAGTGTTACGATAAGCTTCTGTAACCAAGTAATCAGCTGAAAAAGCAAGGGGCTGGAAACTTCTCCTGGACGTTCAGTCTGTACACCAGTTTCCTTGCCTCAGCCGAAATCCAGCATGTACATCTGGCCGTTTTCAAGTTTACACCATATTCGTGCATCCTTCCACCCCATATCATATTCTCCCAAAAGTCCCAATCTGCTCCGAAGACACTATTTACACGGTACACGCTCTGACGAAATAGTTTTGTTTCACCAAGTTGCTTATGAACATCGGTATAACAACTGAAAGATGTGAGTAAGGCCTACTTTGTGTTATATGTCTCGTAACCCATATCATGCACCGTTCTGCTGCAGTTACGTATAAGCTAAGTAAAAACATCACTCCTTCAGAACTAATTTCAATCGGAGGACATCTAAGTGCATGGAAACTAACGTAAGCGTAGATTTACGTTATGGTGCCACTTTATATGTGGCACCTTCTTGTCTTGACCTGGACTCTATTTCAGTGTCCCCTTCAAGATTCTAGTTGAAATCAATCAGTGACTTCTCTTGGAGATTAGAAGTTTACTTCCTTACTGCTCATGTTGAAATGCTTGAGACAAGACTGCAACAGACCTCTGTCACAATTTAATATTTGTGTCTTCAGCAACGATAAGAAGCAATTCTCTTTTCAAGAAAACTGGGTACTGAAGACGTCGTTAAACTATGGGCCCTTACAGTCACCCGCCAAACAGTACTTCAGAATGCATATGCCCCCTAGGAGAATATCTCCTGGACACAAGACGGGTAAAACAAATCATTCTGCTTCACATTTATTTTGGCCGCTATAATGTATCCCTCATTCTGCTAGAAATGGAAGGCATGTTACGAGTTACGTTTACCCACTGAAATGGAAATGAAGTAGCCGACAGACTAACTTTTTGAGGCATAGAAGGAGACTGATCCAGAAGACCTATATACATCAAACTGCGACAAGGTTATCCATTCATCCACCATCTAGTGAAAGCCCCTTGCCGAGTTAGAAAAGTTACACCCTGATGAATTTCTCTTGGTTGTAAAGCGACGATAGAAATGAGATTCTTAATCATCTTTGAACAGAAAACTTGTGAGAGGGAAGGATAAAGTTTTCGGTCGCAGCAAAAGTTACGTCGACTTGACAAGAGGCAGCAAACCACTCAAATCTTCCTCTACAGAAACAAGACTCCCACGTCCCACATTCATGTCCCTCGGTGGCAACCTCAAGACGACGAAGATAAGATTCTATAAGTAATCCCTGAAAAGAAAAGCTTTTGATTTAGAGGGGAGTTACTCACCAAGCAAGACAAGCGGACAAGTTATGACATTTACTACATAAAAGGCAGACCATACAGGAATGATTAAGAAAAATTAGCTAAACTAAACTCAGGAGGGCAAGACGGACAGTTTGAGGGCGCCCCAGTTGTAGATAGGAGGAGAAAGTGGAAATGATAGAGGCAATACCTGCGTCCATCACTGTCCCACAAGGAAATTTGAAACCTCCATGAACACAAACCCTGACTGAAAAAAATTAGATCAGGCTTTTGTACAGAAGGAACCTACTTCAAAAAAAGCAGTTACATAAGGCAAGAAATAAAGGCAATATTTGTGCGGCTAAAGCGAGCCATCCTTTATTCACAGATTGAGACGATGGTAACATTTGACCGTTTCCCCCAGTTCAGCAGCCGGAATTCAATGCCCAGAGCTGCTGCCCATAATTGGAGCATATTATGGGATCTGTCTGTAGTAAACTCCATTGTGAGGTGAAAACTTCCTTGCTAAAAACTGGAAGATCCACTCTAGTGTTATATACGGTAAGCACTCACATGCACATGAGAATTTCTCCTGGCCAAGTGATACTCCCTAACACCTCCTTCTTAACCCATCCCTATTACTTGCACTGTCCATGTAGGGTCTATGGGCTTTTACGAGCATGCCCTATGAATACAATGTCTATTTCTCTTCAGCAGACACTGCTCAATGCGTAAAATCCCTTCCTTGAGTTGCTGTGCGAAGTTCCTCCTACCTCGGACAATATCATCAAGGTGCTTACTCCCGCCCAAACTGCTTGCCAGAACTCCTTCTGTCTAACAATCAGTTATCTCGACGATTGTTCATCTTCAAACACGAAGAGTGAAGCGGTCTACTACTCATCCTCGTGCTCAAGATCTTCTACCTCCAGAGTCAGATCCGAAATCCCGGCAGCTTGAAGAATTTTGGTTACTTTGCCACGCACAAGTTGTTTGTCAGTTCCCAAAGACGCATGCAACCTGAGTGTACCCACCAGTTCGGTATTAGTGTAGCTCCACACATGCAACTTGTGCCAATCATGTACCCCATCAACTACTTCCACTTTCTTCAATGCTTTCTCAATGCGTTTCTCTGCAGACCTGGGAACCCTTTGAAGTAACAACTCGGCTGAGTTTCTGACGAGCGGAACGACGGATGATACTATAAGCACTGATATGAAGATAGAACAAGCTGGATCTGTAAATAGCCAACCCTTGTACTTGATAAGCAAAGTTGAAATCACAACACCAACGCTACCCAAGGTGTCTGCCAATATATGTAAAAATATGCCCTCCATATTGTGATCTATGTGTTGATGATCACCATGGTCGTCATGATCTCCATGGCTGTGACCGTGGTGGTGATGATCATGCCCTTCGTGGCCCCCGTGCTCGTGACTATGATCGTGTGAGCAAGGTTTACCACCATGGTGATGAGAATGCTCCCCTGAGTGACCTTCGTTAGCTTTATGATTATGATGGTGGTGATGATCACTGTCAAAATCACCATCGAGCTCTCCAGATATATGAACGAGCTGTCTAAGATGAATTTTGTCCTCGCCATCGTTGTCAATCCCACTATGATTGTGTCCATGGTAGTCTCCAGAGTGACCTTGTACATGGTGATTGTTAAAGTGCCCGTGCCCGTGCCCATGAACATCAGCCTGAGAAGAATTCGGTTGAGAGGCACTCTGGTCATGATGATCGTCACACTCCATAACAACCTGCTGATGCTTGAAGGCCGAATGAGTATGTACCCCGTGTCCATGATGATCATGGTTGTGTTCTTGGTGTTCTCCCAAATGACCGTGCCCATGCGTATCTCCAGACGAAGAGTTAGTATGAGGATGGTGAGGATGAATAACGACCATCTGGTTCTTGAATGCGGACGCAGACCGCATGAGTACTGGTCTCTTAGCTAAGACATGAACTTTATGGTGAATGGGCCGTGGAGACTTCGGTTCGGAGGTGGCAGTACCGCTGCGTGGATTCTCCTTTAAGAATCCTCTCTGATCCTCGTGGGGCTTTGGATAAGTAACAGCTTGTTCATTTCCCACGTGTCCCTGGACGGCAGTAGAGGCGACGTTGTGGTGGTGACCATGTGAGCAGCTTTCTGAATGAACGTGTGCATGTGTAGAACCAGACCTTTGGGGAGCTCCAAGGTGGTTGTGCTCCTGCCGTGCAGACTGCTGCTGGTGAGCGAGCTTATCCTTCGAACCTTCTTGACCATCAGCCGTATGATTCCCCGAAGAATGAACCTGATGCTTCTCGTGATTACGAGAATAAAGTGAACCTCCTGCCTGTTCGTGGACTGCACTAGTTCCGTCATGTGAGTGAGGACTAAATTGAGAGTGGGCACTGGCCCTAGTTTCATTAGGTTCACTATGAGAAGAGGTTAGTGGAGATGATCTATTGCTCGAGTGGTTTTCAACTCGGCTCTGGGACGTACCCTGTAAGTTTAGAATGGGAGAGTCTAGAGTATGATGGTGAGATTGAGAAGGAGATTGCCAGTAGGAGTGGACTACTTTGGGAGGAGCAGAAGTCTTCAGAGAGGTATGATGAACATTTGCATCCCTATCATTTTTGGGAGCAGGAATTGGCACAAAGGTGTCATGATGTGCATGGACGTGAACGCAAGGGCCACTCCCGTGGGCATGATGGTGTGCCTCATGGAAGAAAATCAAGCCGACCACGTTAACCAGCAGACCGCCCACAGAGACGATGAGCAAGCTTCCAGTCGAGATCTCGGGTGGCTCCAGAAGTCTCTCGAGAGATTCCAGCACAATAAGAGAAGCAACCAGTATCAGAAAAACCGCATTAGCGTATCCAGAGAGAACTTCAAACCTGCCATATCCAAACTGGAACTTGGAATTGGCCGGAAGACGGGAAATATACGAAGCATACAGACCAATGGCTAAAGCAGCACAGTCAAAGAGCATATGACAGGCATCGGATATAAGACCCAAACTGTTGCTGAGGAACCCGAAGACAAACTCAACAACCATGAAGGACGTGTTGATGAGTAGAAACATGGCAATTTTCCTCGTCTTTACATCTGTCCAAATGTGATACAGAGGCGTCTGGATCATGGACATTACAGACGCTCCAGAATATTCGCGCTCAGACATTGAATTCCAGTCGAGTCCTCCGGAAATGAATGCGGCAGCTCGAACCCCAATGGCTAGAAGAGCACAACAAACTACAAAGCCGATGAGGGAAAAATTGGAACCGTGCCAGAGCTCTAATATACACACACAACAAGCGGTGATTCCAAAATGCATGGTGCCAAGGGGAGAAATCAGCAGCTTCTCCTCGGAAAAGAATTCAGCAAAATATGCCCCCACCATTCCGAACGCTATCATGCTGAACAAAGGCCACAGAACCTTCCCATCCATAGAACCAGCTTCCGCAACAGCCGCCTGGAAAAGTGCAACCGGGAGAAGGACCATCCCGGCTGTTACATATGTCAGAGACTGCAGTCGTCTCTTAGGAATACTCCCCAGACTCGTTCTGCTGGGCAACAATCTCTGCACAGAAGAGAGCAGACCGGCACAAAGCGGAGCAATTATCGACAGATACTTCGCGCAGTCTTTCTCTAACTGCAATGCCTCCTCTCCTCCAGCAGTTCTAGAATCTCCTGAGGAGCCTATTTTGGCAGATCTGATCAATCTGGCTGTGACAAATGTTCGAGTTTTGGTCACAGGAACGAAAAGGGATGAGAGTGGAGAACATGAAGACACCGCCCAGCCTTGAGAGAGAAAGTACAATCCGGCGAACAAGGCAACAGCTCCACGAACCTTCGCATTCCCAATTCCGTGGACCTTCCTTTGCGCTTTGATCAACACTTTGCCTACAACTGCCCCTGCATAATCTGCCAATATGGTCTCCAGAGGTCCCACTACTGCCAAGCCTCGCATTCGGAGCATAAACGAAAGGGCCAGAAGACCACCGCTCAGCAGGAGCAGCAGCCACTGAGATGAACCGATTGCCCGACCTTTCCATGGCCGCTGTAGCAACCCTAACACCAAACTGGCGACAAAAAACGAAAGAAATGCAAAATTGACGACACTCTGTTCCTGCGATCTGCTTAGCCATTGATGCACAGCATAGAGCGAAGACAGTTGCAGAAGGACAGCGATCCACAACCTTCCTGTATGGGGCCTGTTATGAATTACAGGGGTGGGGGTGGTAGAAGGAGAAAAGGCCATATAATATTTGCTCAATCTTTGGCTGGGTGCAGTCCCCAGAGCTGGCACTTGCACACGCAGCGGCGGCAGTGCCCCGCGCTGAGCCATCTCTGCCCTGTTGCTGAAAGGTTGGTCGGTTTCACAGGGACCAGACCTTTCTCAAAATCTATCTCCGCTGCTGTTCATCCTCGTTCAGCCCCTCCTGCGCATTCTGAAATCTGCCACAGGGACGATCTTCCCTGCGTTCCCCAAAAAAACTCGTCTCCCCAAATTCTCCTCTATGCTCCTAATCTCCGAATGTAGAACCCCTAGATTCGTCTGCTGTTCTCTCCCGCAACCCCACCGGCACTCCACCAGTGTCTCTGCCGAATCTTCGTCGTTGACCCCGTCTGCTCAGAAGATCTCCACTCTCCAACTCCACCCCACTTTCGTCTTCCGCTGATTCAAAAACTCCACCACTTCCATGCTATCCTTTGGCACATACCCATCCTCCCCACAGACCTGCACCCCTCCACATTCTTCAGTCATTCTCCCCCGAATGCCTGCGTTCCTTCCTGCCTCCCTGACATCCAGCCTGAATGCTCAGTTTCGCCTCACATTCAAGCTCTCTCCAGCAAGCTCCTGCTGCAGCTGAGCCAGTGAGTGAGCTCACGAAACTTCCCCAGCCGATCAGCCCTCTTCCCTTCCATTCCCTTCCCCCTTCCTCCCACCTCTGCACGCCCAAATCCACCTGAGCATGCACGTTCTGCCTCAGCAAACCCACCAAAAACGAGAGATGGACTGTCTCCCCGGCCCTGCTGCACACTCCCCTCCCTCCTCGTGTACTGTGGACTCCATACCTCCGCTCATCTACCGATCTATCATAAACCCCTCTCCTTCTTCTTTAGCTGGGACGCTACCTCTACTTCAACTGCAGTTAACGGACCACCGCAGATTTCCCTGCCTCCCTGCCCCCCTCCTCCTCCTCCTCCTTTGCAGCTGCTCTACATCTGTAGCTGGAAGCGGGCTGCTGCTGCTGCTGCGGGCTCAACCGTCAAGTATGTCGTCATGCGCTGGTAGATCCCTGGAAGATCCGCAGCCCTTTCGAGCATGGACACGGTGCAAAAGCGTGGCCGGATGAAATTCCTCCCGGTCTGCCACAGTGAGGACGAGGGCAAGCGAGACTTTGGTGCGATCGCTTCTGGCTTCTGGGTGGTGGGAAGCCAGAAATCCATCATGATGCTCATGCTTGATTGACCTCGATTGACCCGGACGTCATTTGCAGTATAAAAATTAAGAGATGCAAATGGAGCAAGAGGAGGCGAAAAGGATATTTCGGGGTGTGTGGTGGGGTGGGGGAGGGGGGGAAACTTCAGGTCGTCCTACGTCCTGCATCTTGTGTCCGAATATGGTAGAAACATGCTCGAAGTAGCATCAGGCAGCCCGTCCTGTGTCCTGCAGAACGTAGGAGCTGCATGGATTGGTCGATCTGCTACTCGTTCGCCGATGCAGTATTTTTGGGCATTTTTTTACCTATTTTACAATCTGAGGATATGTGAGATGCCCCGTGAAGACGGAGAACATAGACGCAATGAAAAAACGGCTCTCTTCGAGACCAAGTTTACCAGAATTTGCCAGAACTTTGCAACGAAGAGAAGGTGCACCCCACTAGGGTGTACCTTCTCTTCGTTAGCTTTGGGGTGGATCATCCTCCCGAGCGCGAGAAAACTGGGCACCGAGGAAATGTAGCGAAAAGGATGGGAAGACCACATCGAGTTCTCCAGGGAGATTTTCGCACTATGAGTGCAACTTCTCAAATCTCAGAAGTGACCCCAAAAGTCCAAAGACATACAGCGACGGAAAGAGTGTACATAGTTTCACTCCGATATAGTGGTCAATTTGTTTGCAGCCTTCTTCAGTGCATTGTGTACATCCCCCCCTACGTGAGATCTTGTTGTGTGGAAGAACTCCCTCATTCGGCTATAGATGCTTCTCACTGAAAGATGGAGCTTACTATGGGCCATTTTCGCATCTCCTGATTTGGCTTAGGGAGCTCAGGGTGCAAGATGTGAATGTATATCATGAGGCGATGCAGGCCGATCGCCAAAGACCCATCGATGGATGCAGGGAGAGAGTTGGGAAACCCAAGGCAAAGAACATCGTAAAATACACATTTCCACACATATTCCTCGTTTAATATTCTCTGAGAAAAAGACATTATTTATTTGAATCTGGGCACCGGAAGGCAGTGACGTATATGACTTCCGAATTGGAGCAGTTGCAGTAGATTTACCTGATGATGGGATGGACAACTGTCAGTCAGGGCCTCATGATCAGGCCCCAATGCGTAGTGTGGTCTTCTTGCACAGAAAAAGGGCGTGGGTCAATGAAAACCCACAGAGTGGGGACAGACAACAAAGGCCCCCTACATACAGAACAGGGCCAACCAAGGTGAGAAGAGGGAGCTGTTATTGTCTATAATGATTTCGTGCAGTGTGATATGATATGGACATGCTCAGCTTACAGTATCTGGTTCCCTGAATATTTTTAGAATTCTCGACATAAATTCGTGTGATGAACAGAATACCCGGAGGTTATCCTCATCGCGCCTTGCCGTCACGCTTTTACCTGGAAACCAACACTATGGTATAATATGACGGCCCTGTAATTTAAAAGTAAAATTTAATAAACATTGTCCGGTTAACACACCGCCAAGAGAATTTAAACTGTGAATCATGTCCTCTAAGAGCAAAATCTTACCCAGTACACTATTCTGGTTGCTTTTAAATTATACTCTTCAAATTTACTACAAATGTAGAAATAACTTAGTCTGATGACTCTTCTAAATCTATAAAAATCACATTTTACAACAATGTACAACTACATAAGGCTTTCCTTATGTAGCTGCATATTGTTCACAGTTGTTAAGTACAAGTCGTCATCAGATAGGTTCTTTGACAAAAAAAAATGTGTCCTCTTCTATGAGAACATCGTCATACTGTGCATGACCTCATATACTAATTGTTTTCTTCCCCCAACGTCACGGTTTCCTGGAATTAAATAAAGGTGTTGAATGAGGATAGGAAAGAGAAAAACCAGCTATGATTGCCAAATTATGACTGATATTAGTACATACCACTGTATTAACTTCAATTGATCGGCAAAAAAATAGATTCACCAAAAAAAATTAGGATAAAGTACAAATAACTATCAATAACTTCAGAATCACATAAGTTGTTTTTCAAATGTACGCAAAAACGAGTAAGATTGATGTCAACTAGTAATCTTAAGATAAAGGGTGCAAGAATAAAATTACTTGAAATACATTGTTAAAAAACTACGCATGGTGTCCACTGAACATCAATTATAAATAACAATTATAATCAACAAATCAGTTTTTGTGTCTGTCTTATTTTCAAATTGGGAAAAATGCTATAGATAAATTAAATCTCATAATTAAGCTTACATGTATAAGTTACATGTAACAGTACATGTTAAGTAATTAGGGCGGTTATTTGTAACATTTTATATACATCTTTCTTAATTTTATGTTACAATGAATTATATTCAACATTTTCTTCTTCTTTTGAGTTAAAATTTGAAAATAGTTATGCATTGCTATTCCTGAAATTATGTCTTTTAAAAATATGTATACGTTTTTTCAATTTTGAAAATTTATTGAAATATCTATGTATTCAACATACAAATTATTTCATTGTGACCACAAGATAATTTGATAATCATCAAAAGATGAGTTATTATCTAAAAAACCAACATTTTTCATTCTAATTCTAAATTAAATTGAATACTCTTTCTTAACTTCACATCACAATCACATTTGTACTTCTGTTAATGATGAGCCAAATGCAGATCCAAACTTCATTATATAAATAACTAATGAAATATATGTTTAAATACATGTATGAGCTATATATTATGCAATGTGTAAAATGTAATTTATATTTATCTGGATAATTTTTTGATAACATATTTGTAACTATATTTATCTCTTTATTCTATATATGTATATCTATGTATGAAAAATATTTCTACAATTTTTCATGTGTAGATGAGCAAATTGAAGACTATCACGCGTATTGTGTCTTTGCTGAAACCAAATTTGACAAAATGTTGTTTTGTAAGATCAACTTTTTGGAAAATATGCACAGGTATTTTTTCTCACTAGCATGACAATAAGTTCATAATATATAATGAGTAAGATAATTCAAATTATTAAGTATTTGAATGTTAGTTATACTTTTATCAGTTTCACCCAATATGAACTGGAAAAAAATTAATCTTGTTTCTAGTGCCAAATATGATTTTAAAAATGGTATATGCAAACTAGTATTTAAATTATTAAATAAATTGGCAATTTTCTAGACAACTGTACCATAACATAAAAGATCATTTCGTATGTTTAAAAATTAAAAGTAAATATAAGAATATGACGTTCATCCTCAAAACAGAATTCATTTTAAATTCTGTTTATAAATTCATATGTACACAACTTTTTATTCGACTGAAATAAGATATATTTCTCCAATAACTATAATTCAATAAATTACAATATAAGCCTAAAACACAATCTCATGAAATAATCAAGAGATTTTATGATCATGTTTCGTTTAATTGACTGCAAATAAAGGTTCCAATGTCAATCAATATTATTAATGTGATTTTTTAGCACATAATAATAATATAATTATATCAAAGTTAGATACTGGGGAAATTCCATTTTTTGCTTCATTTCGTATATTCAAAAAAAAATGACAAATAATCCAATTGCAGTCTGTGCAAAAAATTCTGTCAATACAAATGTGCTCTGTTGATTAAAAAAAAATTCAATTTGTTTTCTTCTAATTTTAATGGTGGTATATTGAAAATTATTTAACTCATTTAAATTGATTAATATATATTTTGCATATATTAATTAAATGTTCAATATTTGAAGAATTCAAGGTAATTTAATTTTAGTTTTAATTGTAATTATCAAATTCAGCAGTAGCTTAATTAAATTAGCATTTGCTTAAATAACAATCTCAGCCCCAGATATTCTTTTTCCGTGTATTGACTCATACCATCCGGGATCCTTGGAAGCCTTCCTAGAGAACTTGGTTGAATCTGAGGCAAACTAAAGGTGTAACTTGAAGTTGAATCTCATAACTAAATCCTAATTTTACATACTGATAATAGCGTTGTGAGTTAGTACTGGCTTTGTATCCAACTCCAATTGTTTCCAAAAAACAAAATATCTGTGCTAAAAATATATATTTCATATATATTTATCATGACTTGATTATGAAATTTCATAATTGGCTGCCTGAATAAAATAATTAAAAAAATCCTATGAATAAAGTGACTATTTTTTTAATGATTAAATTATTTTATTCAAGCAGCATATGGAATTTTATAATAAATTTATTATAAATAAAGTAAAATATATTTGTTTGGCACAAGTTGGCTGATATTGTTATTTAAGCTAACACACTATTTATAATTAAATTGAGAATTGCAAAAAAACATTATAGTATATATACAAGTAAATTAACTTGAATGCTTCAAATTTCACACAATCAATTCATCTATGCAACAAATATACATTAATCCATTTATAAGAGTTATATGTTTTTCAATATAAATATCATATGAAAATCACTCACAATAAATATTTTAATCATCTTCATACTAGTTTATCAAGATCAAAAATTGAAAAGCTTGTGAAAAATAATTCATTTGTTCATAAAGTTGTTTAACACAAAAAATGAATAGAAAGTCAATCTCCTTATGGATAGCATATAGTCCTGTCAACTATTGTGAACATTATTGGAAAATTATTACCATATTATATTTTTAACTATTGAAACCACAAATTTCTGAAGCATTTCATCAGTTATGAGTTTTTTATGTAAATCTAGTGTCTACTGATAGTCATTGATATAATGAATTTTGTTATATCGTCGATGGAAATTCATTTTATTTACTATTAATAAGTCTTATTTGGACAAAAGTATATTGTGATTTGGCTGAATTGTTGTATTTTGAGACTTTTCAATGTCTTATTGTAAATAAATACGCAGAAATGACAATTTTTTAGAAATATCATATTTTTTCTATATTTGAGCTAAAATATTTCAATTATGACACTTGAGGTATGATAGTAATTACGATGTATCAAATCATGTGCTTCAATTAGTTTTCAATTGCAATTTTGAACAAATGTATCAATAAAATCGTTGAATTCGTACAAGCAAAACATAAAGTTCATATATTTGCCTTAATTCTTGACATAAATGCTTGATGATAATGTATCAATTGAAATAATAAGAATTTAATTCATTTCATTTTATATATAATTTTAAGTGTTTAAAAATATAAATTCTTATTGTTGATATTTTTCTAGTTTATTATTTTTGCTATGATTGTGTAACAAATATTAGTCTAGCAATATGTTTTAAGTTTGTTTTTGCAAATATCACTTTTGATTATTTTAGCTTTGTGTTTGTAACTAATGTTTGTTGACTTTGAGGTAATATTTGTAGTATCATTCGTATATTTTTGTACAAATTTTTTTCTTGATATTTATGTTATTTAAATTTTTTGGGTCAAATTTTTTATATATATAAATAAAAACTGATATATTTTAGATAAGAAGCCAACATTTATTCAAAAAAGTCTCGAAAGTATGTCAACTTATATTTATCACTTTCATTTGATGTTTAACTCGAATATTTCCTTGAAATCAGATAGCAATGTTTTAAAAAACATCAAATGTAGTTAACTATATCCGTTATAAGGAACATATGAATTTCATTGATATAATAAATATTTTTTTATAAATAGATAAATGATTATAAATATTTGGTCTTCATCATGATGAATTATTGTTGTATAGTTTAACAAGAAATTATTTTTTTTTTATAAAAAAAGCTTCCTTTTTACTTGTTAAATATATTAATAATATACATAATATTGGAAATTTGAGATGCAGCGTTTCAAAATACTGATTATTTCATTTAATGATTTTTTTAATCCTTTTCTGTAATGAATGATAAAAACGGTTAAATGTATATCATATTATGAATGTATTGATTTGATACATATGTTTAGAAAGATTGTTTCCGGAACACATTCGCTTGTGCAAAATTAATATAAATATCAGATTTTATAGTCATGATCACAATGATTTGTTGGATATAAATAAAGTTTCAGACAAAAAATTTTACAGACGAGAAACAGTTATTTTCCGCTTCAAAATTTTTCTTCAATGCATTATTTGACTATAGATAATTGACTTAGAAGAAAAATATATTTGATGTTTTTTATTTAATATTAATTTTTTAGAAATGAAATTGTTAATTTTATGTATAAAATGTTTAAAATGTTGATTATAGGAAAAACCCGCGGAAGGCTAGTGAAATTACTTATTCGTTTGTGTAACTTGAAAATTATCCAAGAAATTTGAACGAGTTTCTACAAAAACATACAACTCAAAATATTTGAACAGAAATATGAGGCATTATATATTGATAAATGTAATAATGCCAAGTTATATAAATTTTAAGTGATAATGTTTCTAAATATGTTTTGTGTAACTTGTTTGAAGAAGTTTGTTGAAATAGTAAATATAACTACATATTATTTCTTTCTTTCATTTTGATTTATTCATGTTTGTATAGACTGAAATTATGCTGAATTTTATTTTGCATAATATTTTTAATTTTACTTTACAAATTTATTTCAAAGACAAGATTTATTTGATCTCATTGCAATTATTTTATGGGAAAAGGTTATCAAACAGATTAGATATTAATGCAGTATACTTCTTAGTGTGTTTGCACACTTAAAAAATGAAAAAATGTTGAAAGCGTTTGATGTTTTTTTATTTCATTGCTTCTGTCATGACTTATGTACAGGTAATTCAGTGAGTATATACTCGTGTGTAAGATTAAACAAAGCAATTAGATCCAAGTGCGTAATCATAGCTACTTACATCGAACACAACGTTAGATGCAAAATTGCTTTCTTATGAACTAGGCATGTGGTGACAGAATTCAAATCAGGTTTCATGAGGTTTCAGATTTTGAATTTGAAAATCAAAAGAGTGTGACTATGGTGGAGAGGCACCAGTGGCTTCATTGTTATATGATCTTTTATATTATATGACTGTATATAATATGAAATATATATTGCAGATAATGAATGTCACATTTAGTGCATTTTATATTTTGCAATGAATATACCGTCTGGTTAGTGTAACATTTTTATTTCTTGTTTATCATGCTTTAGCGTAGGAGCGTTGATTTTCTTTGTGGGTGTCATATCTGAAGAAAAGTTGCAGGAATGTGTTTACTTATTATTGTCACATTTTTTGTAGGCCTGGGATTCATATGAGTTTAGGTTTTGCTCTCTTATCTAAGAAAATTTTAGAACTCGAGAAAGCCACCTTGATTTTAGAGACATACATTTGAGAGGGGGATTGTCATCTAATCGCTCGATTAATGCCCTTCGATTACCCCTAGAAGTCAGGTAATTCATCTCATACATACGTGTGAATGACATGAGTGAATATTTTACTCTCATCACCCAGACAGAAGTTGAAAACATGGAAACGCGCCTTCAAAAGAAAAAAGGGCACCGATTGGATTTGTCGAATCATAACAAAATGCAGCTTTTCATCACGTCCTCGATGTGAAGCGGATGACGCTATGACGTTAATGTTTGTGATATGGCCTGGATGAACCGTGGACTCTCACCACGCATGATGCGGATCAGCTTCAGTAGTCTTAACGATACCGAGACTCGTGAAGAAAGCGCGACGGACCCTTGTTTATGACCCCGAGAGTCCTCGACGCAAAAAATAAGTAGAAACCTAATTCCGTAGGGTTATCCTAGGCGGGAGTAATTGTGGGATAGGAGGGGTGGGGTGATTGAGGGATTAATTCGCCCTCTTTTAAGAGAGTTGGAACGAGGCCCAGTATTCGCAGATCACGTTACCGGATGTTTTTAGACGCCGGAACTAAATAGCAGCCTATCAGAAATGATGCCGGAGCGAGGGCATATTCTAATATAGGGAGTGGTTCTCTAGCAGCGGTATTAATAGTAAAAGCCAGGGGAAATCTCCTTAATTGGCTCATGAAAGAAAAGGCAAGCGACAAGTGTGTAGGTGGAGCGGCTTGACGCTAGCGGGAGAGGCGCGGCGGAGTGGAAGTCGGAGTCCGCGACTTAGACTTTGCGGGATTTTGAATTTAAATCCGGATGCATCTCGCGTGATTCCGAGAGAATGTTAGCGAGTGGCATGTCGCATGTCGCATGTCATGCGCGTGACATGACTGACGGTGACATGTCGTCAAAGGAAGGAGGAGGTCAGTCAGCGGGGGCCGAGGGCCGAGTTAGTTAGTTAGTTCTTGCGTTCTTCCTTACGAGGCGGAGCCGAGGGACGTTCGGCCGCTTGCGGGGCGCAGCGCTGGCGCCGGGCACGTGGAGCAGGACGTCGCTGCGGAGCGAGACGGCGGGCTGGCCAAACTGGCGATGGTCACGGAGGAGGAGGAGGATGGGGCGTCCTGTCTGTCTGTCTGTCTGTCTGTCTGTCTGAGAGCATTAATGGGCGTAGGGCTCATTTTCCCTCTCTCTGTTTCTGGTGCGGGGATTTTGTATTCTTCGCTCGCGGGGCTTGGGGTTCTTGCGAGGGAGCGAGCGAGCGAGCGTAGGCCGACTGATGATGCTGCTGCTGCTGGCGATGGTGGGGTAGCGTAGCATTGGTAGCATTGGGGTATAGCATAGATAGCTCTTGTTTGCTGCTGCTGCTGTTTTTGTTTGGTTTGGTTCGGGAAGCGAGGGGAGGGTGTCCTGGAGGGAGGGGAGGGGAGGGGAGGGGAGGAGAGGAGTTGTTCCGTTCTGGTGCATCGAGGTCGGCATTCGCAGCAGAGCAGTTCGCTCGTGCCACGTTGGGGAATGGGGAGGGGGAGGAGGAGGCAGAACGAGCGAGACTGTAGTTAGTGAGGGAGGGGAGAAAGAACACGAAGAAACGAGCGCGCGGGCGAGCGACGGAGGACGAAGAGAAGAAGGGGGAAGGAAGGAGGCAGCAGCAGCTGCAGCAGCAGGAGCAGGAGGAGGGCGCAAGGACGACGACGGGGAGGGGGGGAGGAGGAGGCCAGGGCAGGGCAGAAGAGGGCAGAGGGCAGAGAGGGCAGGGCAGGGCAGGGCAGGGACAGGACACGAAAGGCAAGGCGAGGGAAGGGAAGGCGAGGCCGGGAACGGGAAAGGAAGGGAGGGGAAGGGAAGTGGAGCGGAGGGCGGAAGAGGAGAGTGCTGCAAGAGACGGAACAGGTGTTGGGGACGAGAGCGACGGAGGGAGAGATTGATGGCGGATGATTGAGGAATAAGAGGACGATTTGAAAGGAGGTGGGCGAGGGTTTGATTGTGACGTCGGTGGCCGTGGTCGCGGAGACGGACGAGAGGAGGGGCCGAATAGATGAGTGCCGGAGGGCGGTGTGGGTGCAATGGGAGGTTGTTGAGCCGGGGTTCGGTCTGCGCTGGGGGCGAGAAGGGAATATGGCGGACTAGGGACGGATTGCTGCGATGACGATGATCATGTCGGGAGCAGAATGGACGCAATCCTGCCAGTGTAGTTGACTTCACGGCGAATTATAGGGCTTTTTTGTCTCAGGTGATTAAATCGGTCGGATTGGACGGTGCAGTCGTACAGGATTCAGACAATGGTGTAGCTGATCACCCGTGGCATCAGTCGATCCCGAATTTGCAATTGCTCCAAGGCGTGCATTTTGTAGACTTAAATTAATGCTTTGCTTGCAAGGTGAAAACAGTCCGGGACGCCGGAACGGGTGTTCGTGGTTGCTCTTTTTCTTGGTCATGGAAGCCGGGTGTGGTGGCTCCGGGTGTTTCAGGTTTGGATGACCTATTTGGAAACCACGGAGCAGGCTAGGGAACCAGCTGCACATATGGTTACTTCCGCGAGTGATCAGATTATCCTGTTGGGATTTCAGTTTTACATTTGCTTTCAACACCTCCCATGTATTCGAGAGCTCGCCTGAGAAAAAATATTCGTCAACTCTTCGTTTCTTGGACACTTCAGGGAGCATCACTGTCATCTCAGGTTCATCTCATGGCCTTCTCATCCGTATACATGTCCCTCCTGTCTGTACAATCGAGCCGTTTACTGATTTTATACCTGATTTCGTACACCTCGTTTGCGATTGTAGGGTTGTGCATCTTCCCGTCATTTAGGAACTATTGGAGCGATTGTGTTTCAAACTGGCCCTTTTTTGGTTGCGATTTCAGCTCTATATCTAGGGCTAGTTTTTGGTGTGGATCTAGCGAGCTATCCGCTACATCGTATTCAAGATTAATCACTGTCGGAAGGAGGAATGTGGTTGTCTTTGAACTTGTCAAATTGTGGTGGTTTAGTGAGTGTGTACACGACTCGCGCATTTACTGTACATGCTTCTCCGGTTGCAGTTTACATAGGCGGTGATGTTATCGAAGGAATGATCGAGTCCTCGCGATGGACGAATGCTCCGCCGTCGGGTGTTGTCCTGCCTGTGGACTAGGGTTGTCCAGGAAGCTTTGTTCATGGATGCCGGAAGACATGCCAGGTTTTTCATTTGCAAGCTGAGTTGGCGACGAGTTGGTTGGGATAATACCTTCAGTTGGCGGAACTGTGTGTTCTCAGCCCTTTCGTCGAACACTCAACGACAGTAGCATATGATACCAGTGCTGATGGACTAGATTCCATCGGCACGGTGACAAATTTTATGCTGTCTTGCGCATATTGTGGCTCTCCCTCTCCTATCTCTTCCTGTTTTCCAGCTTGTGTGTGCAACCCTTTTCCGAAAATGCCCTGGTGGGGGAAGTCCACCTCTAAGGAAGTCAGGAAAGGTAACAAGGATGGTGGTTTAGATGGTTCTCAACATCGGTCGCATCACGGGAGGAGACCTAAATGTCTCGCGGAGGAAGAAAGTGGTGCAACCAGGACACCCCGGTACAGCTTAGATGCATCCTCGCAGGAACCTGGCTCGCCATTTGCAGCGGGCTCAAGATCCCCTTCCCCGTCCACGCCGTCCACGAGGTGTCCAAGCTTCAACGACAGGAAGCCTCAGGCCCAAGCACAACCATTGCCATTACCATGCGCCCCGCTAGGAAGAACGTTTTCCGGTTCTGGTCTTACATCGCATCCTCATCAGCAAACCCCAGTGCTACACCATTATACATCTATGCCTCTTCCTTCTACTGTACCAGAATCAAAAAATTTGCGCCTGGACCCTGGAGAGGCCGATCAAGGAATTTCAAATTGTCCGTCATGCTCAAATTCCAGCGCGAGTTCACTTGGTAGCGTGGAGGTTGCAGAAGTTTGGCACAATGCGACACCCCTTTCTCGCCTGAGACCATATCATGACTTGGAAACACCGGATCAACTGCGGCCCAATGGATCTTCGTAAGTATTTCTTTCTTTTGCCCCTTGGCTTGCTTCTGGTGAGGACCTGAAGTAAAAGTTGAACAGTCATACGATCTCAAGTATCGAATACCTACGTCTGGACAAGTTATTATAATCTAGGGTTTCCAAGTGTGTTTTAGTGAATTTTATAGAAACAAATCACGGTATTACTGGGTCAATTGTCCTGCATTTCATAGCAATGTATCCTCGCATCTACCTTCCAAGTCTGCCTTTTTTAACAAAATGTCAGTAGACCAGGCGCTGCGCTGGAGTTTCACATACTGCCCTCTCTCTGTGTCTCTCTTGGAGTTCTCTTTCATTTCGTGACTTCTCATTTCACCAAATTAGTAAGCGGTTGCTCTGAAACGTTTTCTACTGTGAGGTCTTGTCCGTCCTGATTTCTCGATCAGTTTTATTTAATTTTTGTACTGCTTTTGATTCAGACTTTGTCAATGTTCCAGGCTGGGTTCTATGACTCCAAAGCATAGCAGAAAGAACTCTAAGCAGGAACTTTCCCGACCCAGCAGTCCACTTCTAGGGGGCCACACTCCATCTAGTTCACCCAAGAGATGCTATTCACCTCCAAAGAGAAGTCTAGCCCCGATAATCATGGATCCAACATTACATACTGTTCGCTTCCTACAGTCGAATGGCAGCGCGCCTGATAGCTCTATGTCCAGCCCAGCGAGGAGTCCAAGGCGGGCGAGCAACTCTGAACAAGCATATGCTGTGATGTGGGGTAGACCCGAGGGTCTTTCAGGTTCTGCACAAGGATCCAGTCCAGGTTCAGGACACAATTCAGGGCATAATTCTTCCGGCGGGGATCCCAATCAGATGCTGTGGAATCAAAGCAGGAGGAGTCCCGAAAGGTCGCCTATACCAAGTCCGCGGCAAAGAAGCCCAGGTCCCAGCTCTAGGGGTCAAAGTGGTACAGTATCTCCGCTACACCCTAGAGCATTGGGTCCCGGAGCTCCAGATTCGCCGACAAGTTGGCACGAAGATGGGAAAACTTCTGCTCATCCCTTACCATTACCACCTCGAGCTCATTCTGGAGGATCTCCATTAGCTTCTCCCTCAGTTTCTCCAGTTCCTTCTCCCACCGCAGGACGTTCAAGCAGAGGCGATAACATGTTGGGGAGTGTACCCACTCGATGGCAAAAGGGGAAACTTTTAGGGAGTGGAACTTTTGGGAATGTATACGTGGGTTTCAATAGGTATGATTTCAACGCCTACTTTTCATCCGCTTAAATGTACAGTTTATGTTGATGTAGGCTCTGTAGTATGGTTACCATGTCATAACGTTCTGCCATTTTTGGGGTCAAAGATATCTGTGTCCTTTATTTTTCCAAGATGGCAGCATCTAATGTGGAAACACGAGCCCTTCTCATCCCACATGAATCTGAACTCAATGTGAATCTTTTGTCCTGAATCTTGCAGCGATAGTGGCTCCTTATGTGCCATGAAGGAGGTCCTTCTTGTATCTGATGATTCCAAGTCGAAGGAGAGTGTGAAGCAATTAGGACAGGTGATGCGCCTGTCACCATGCTTGACCTAGTCAAAATTAAGCAATATCCAGTCAAAAGGATGATACCACGTATGCTAGAATATGTCGTGCTGTTGGTACGGTGAAAGAAGCTTGTTGGATTACATTGAATTCTACACATTTGCATGTTGTTTTTTCTTCGAGTAGAAGTTTGTCCGCACGTATTGCATGCACACTGCAAGACTCGTAACTCGGAGTCTCTTTGCTTTATCACCTTGCTAATTTTCTGGATATGCTTGCGATTACAGGAAATCTCTCTACTTAGCAGGTTACGGCACCAGAACATTGTACAGTACATTGGGACTGAAACGGTAGGGGTATTCTGTTCATCTTTGATCAAATCACTGTTACCATTCCTGGTCTTACCATGCGTAGCTTGTCCGTGCTTATTCCGATAAATGTAAAAGATTATGTGGACTTGTACATTTACTAGCTTTACTGAATTCTTTCTGCTTGCCAAGTACAGTCTGAGGATGTTTCACGTTTATATAGACAACAGTAGACAATAGATACAGTGGAGGCTACAACCACTTGGATTTTATGAATCGCTGTCAAGGCTTAACCGGTTGTTGTTGCTTGGTGGACGTTTTTTTTGGTGCGCGGTTTTTGTAACTGTTTAGTGTCATTGAGTGGCATTCTTGCGGGAGATACCATACTTCTTGTTGTCAAATTTTTCTTTTGTTATGTACTTGAGTCGGGGTTTTGCCCCATTCCCTTAAGTTTCTAGCTTCAGAACGTTGCAGATAGGTGCCTTACCCTGTTTGGTTTTATTTCTCTTGCCCATTGGTTGCAGTTGGAGGATAGACTCTGTATTTACCTCGAATACGTATCAGGAGGATCAATTCACAAACTTTTGCAAGAATATGGCCAGTTCAAAGAGCCAGTAATTAGAAGCTTTACTCGGCAGATTCTTTCTGGGTTGGCTTATTTGCACAACATGAACACTGTCCACAGGTGCTCTTTGGACCGTGCTTTGAATCTAACATACAACATCGGATTTACGATCTTTAGGGCCTTTTTGAGTCAGCTTTAGTTGCCACTGTAAGAGATAATCACGAATGCTCTAGTTCATGTTCTTATATATCTTTTCGTTTCAACCTTTTCAGAGACATTAAGGGAGCAAACATTCTGGTGGACACGCGCGGCAATGTAAAACTTGCAGACTTTGGGATGGCTAAACATGTAAGTTTTCTGAAAGTGGTATTTTTGTCTATGCAATTATTCTGATGTTGAAGGACTGGATTTGATGACAACTCAAAGGAAATATATATAATTTGCTGTTCTTTTACAGAACCTGAAAAGCATCTCTTCTTGCTTTTGGAATTGAGAAATGCAAATAATAGAACGACTTTAGCCTTGGATGGCGTACTGTTATCTTCGTAGTTTGGCAATCGATCAACAAAGAAGTGAGAATACCAATCTACAGTTTTTATTGTAAGAATAATACTTGCATTATCCTGATATCAAATTTGTTTAAAATAACTATAATCCACAATGTTTTAAGTTTGTGGCAAGCTTAGGAAATGTTTTAAGGCGCAGACAAAGAATTTTTTTCTAAACACAATAATCAGCTGCATTATTTTGGTTGTTATGTATATCTGTGTATGTTAAATATATTGGCTATTTCATTGCAAACCTAGAAGTCTGATTTCATACCTTTAGGTTGAGCAGTTCCGACTTACCTCAGAACTCAAATTACATTGTCACTTGAGGGTAGCAAGTACGCCGAACTGTGGGAGATTATTTTGTCCTCTAGGTTCTGAACGGGGTGATTTGGAGTAAAGTAAAAGTTGATGTGTGTAAAATTCCACAATGAGTTCTTGCGCTCCTTATCCTTTAGCTGATACCATATCGAATTTGACTGAAGGATGTCTTGAAGATCTACTGCGTTGATAATGTTTCAATCCAGAGACTGCATATTATGTCACACCATCTTCACATTTCTTCCGCATCCTCTTCATTACTCCACCTATCATTTGTCCGCCGCCTGTCAAAGTTCTCATGCACATTTCCAACCCGCTCTCTGTGATGCAAATTGATCCCCCCCTGCATGTTTGACCTGTAGTAGTCGACAGATGTTTCGGCATGATGGCATTTTTCTCAGTTCATACTACTGAGGTTACTTCCTTAGAGTAGGAACTTGCCCACCGTTTAGCTCTCAATTTGATGTTTGGAGATGTACCGTTAAGCTTTTGGTGTGTTTAGTAATATCACACCGTCTGTTTGATTTTACTCTTCTCCAAAAGCTGTTTCACCCCTCCTAGACAGACTCGTAAATCTCTTAGACACAGCAGTATCGAATATCTTATTGCTCTATCCGATATACCGTCCAAGTACATGACTTTGCATGCCAACAATAAACACACATTTTGTGAGATCAAACACGAGACACACTGAGTTGAACTTCGTTTTAAAGTTCCAATTTTTTAATCAAGCTACATTACTTTGTGCAGATCACTGCTCAATCTTTCCCACTGTCTTTCAAAGGAAGTCCGTATTGGATGGCGCCAGAAGTAAGTTTCCTATTATTCCCTTTCCCAAGCTCTCCCCTCATTTCATCTTTCTACTCTGTGACTCCACCACTGTTTCATGGAGAAGGCCTGTTGCCTAAAACATTTCGAATACAAAGAATGCATATGAGCTTTAGATTGTGATAAAGTTGTGAAACTGCTGTTTTTCATGATTCCTATCGTCACATCACTTGCCTTGCAAGCCATTCGTTTCGGAGGGAGATGAAAGCAGTGTCTTGTTACAGACTTGGCTCGGTTTTTTTAGAATTCACTATGTCGTCATTCTAAATTTGTGCCAATGCAGGTTATTAAGCACACAAATGGCTATGACCTAGCAGTCGATATATGGAGTTTAGGTTGTACTGTTCTTGAGATGGCCACTGCCAAGCCACCGTGGAGTCAGTATGAGGGAGTAAGTTTTTCCTCTCCAAAAACTTTACATTCTTGGTTTGCCGTCTTTTGATATAGTCCAGCACGATTGAGGTGACGATTGCTTGGTCATCATCCAGGGATGATGCGTTTGTACGACAACATTGCAAGAAGTCACTTCTCAAAGTCCCAGCTGAGATTATCGTATAGAATTGTTGTATGAAGAAGCAACCGTTTTTACAGAGTTCATCGTCACCTTTTTCTCAACATGGCATCATCATGTCACCTCAGTTGTTGAGGCCTCTTAGGAAGGGTCTTATAATCTCCCCTCCACTGAGTTATCTCCTAGTCTGCTATAAACAGACAAAATCGGACATTTAAAAGATTAACGTGCTGGATTGCTCCTTGTAAGCCAGTTTCTTGGGATTTGAAGAAGGAAATTGACAGGCGGTTTGTAGCCCTGGCTATTTTCTTGTTTAGTTGCCTCCTTTGAGAACAGCATACACGGAGATGTGAGATCTCTCTTTTTGATACCCAATTGCTCGAGGAGAAACGATAGACGCGAATTTATTTTAACGGATCTGATTTCTTACACTATTTTTCTCTTTGAATACACGTGGATTATTTTAGCTTGATACCCCGTTAAATGGGAAGGAATGAAAGAAGGGATGTCGAAATATGAAAACCTTCATATATCAAATATAAGTGCTTACTCAGAAGAACTGGATGCGAAGGAGTCCATGTTTCTAATTTTTTTTTTGTTTGAATCCCAGGTTGCAGCTATGTTCAAGATAGGTAACAGTAAGGAGCTTCCTACTATACCGGACAGTCTATCTTCGGAAGGGAGGGATTTTGTGAAGCAGTGCTTGCAAAGAAATCCAGCAGAGCGTCCCACAGCCCAGGCGCTATTGGATCATCCATTTGTCAGAAATGCCCCTCAAGATGACAGGTTTGATGGGTATGATGTTATGTCAACTGCAACGGCGGGTTTTAGAAATCTGGTGAGTTTAAGTGTTTCTTCGGGAAATTCCAAAAGTAGAGAGTGCTCACAATCTGGGTTGGTTGTTTTTGTTCAATATTTTCAGTATGAGTATGGACTGAGGACGCTGTGCAAAAAAATGGATGTAGGGTGTTGGTAATCGGCATGAAAATGAAGGTTCATTTCCACCTCCTTTGGCTAGAACAAGGGCGCAACTTTCTCCGACATCAAGGTTCAGTTTATTTCTTTTTGTCTGTCTTCAAGTGAAATTGTCCAGAACCGAGGAGATCGCTAGCCTGGTTGAGCCGGTTGATCAAATACATTCGTAGGGATAGCATTCGTCATTTTGCTTATCTCGGTTGCGAAACTTTGATATTCTTTTCGCTATATCTTCATGATTCACTCCTGAGAAAGTATATGTAAGGTTTAGTTTAGTTTATTTAGCAGAAGTTGTCCGGGCATGCATTGTCACGTGCCACTATGTTAATCATTCTAATAATATGAAGTTTCTGTTGTTGCGCAGTGAACAATCTCCTCGTAACCCTCCACTTGCGTATGGCCCATCAACGTCGAATTCCTTGAGTCCTACCAGCCAGTCACGGCGCATTGTTTATAACGGATTATCTTCTTTGATTATAACGGATTATCCCCATATGCAGCAGTCAGGGACGTCAACACCTCATAATGTAGGTTATGGAAGCACTCACGGTAGTGCACATGGCAGTGCACATGGAAGCGCTCTTGGTAGCTCACATGGCAGTTCACATCTACATTCGAATGGAATGTATGGAGGAGGATGTGGACCGGCAGGTTTTCCCACTGATGCTTACGGCAATCCTCCACGGTCAAATGGTATGTATGCCACCACTTCTTCCGCATATTCTGAACCCATAAGAACGGAGTTCCAGTGGGGCACTCCACACCGTACTCCGGAGGGCAGTCCTCGGCGAAGAGCTTTAAATGACGATGTTGTGGAAAATTGCTCGAATGATATTTTGGGTATGGCTCTAGGTAGAGTATCTCAAGAAAGCGAGGATGATAATCGAAGGCAGTATAGTGGAAATGGGAATCTTGGGGAGCATGTATCTCATTCACTTAGACACAAGCAGCACTCTCTTCCGACACATGTGTATCATCATCGGCCGACTTCACCGTCTTTAAGTCGTACCAGCAGCGAACTTAGTCATTAATGGGGTGCACACCGATATGCTTAAGGAGTGAATTGGGTACAGATAGTCCTAAGCAAACAACGCGGAGAGCCTTTCTAGGCCTGGGTGAGCTTGGTGGTTAAAGCAATAATGTGCTTTTGTATATGATTTGCTACTTTTGCATAATAGCTGCGCTGCGGAGTAGAGTGGTTGGATTAGATTGGTTGGAGTAACGTTGAGAAGCAGTTATGCAAGGACGATAGTGACAATTTAGACAGTTGCCCATCTTTCCACACTTGGAATAGTTCTTGGCCTCCATCATGTGGAGTGAGTCATGCAGCAGTCGAGGAGCTGGCTGAGTAGTCTTCAAAAGCTTACGGAGAGGTTTTTATTCAAATTCTCCCTCTTTGATGCAGTAAGACACAAATGGTGCAACCAAAGGTGATCTGATAGGAGCCCGAAAAGAAGGGCGTCAGTTTAGGGAAAGGTTGATAGGATGACCGTCGGCAATCATACTATGTCTGGGTTCGTCATGACCCATGATGAAGTTGCCACAGGCTAAGGAGAGTTTCCTTTGTAGATCATATTGTAAAACTGGAGCAGTCGATAATTTAAAGTGCTGCCAGCAATGGACGGATATAATTGAGTTTCGTTCTAGAAAGTGGACTCAGCCTCCGTAGTCAGCCTGCATGGCCTGTGCGCGATGCTTGAGTATGCCTAGTTCTCGACGAAGCCGGAGCTCATCGACTCCCAACTCTGGCTCTTCAAACACCGAGTTAGATCGTAAAGGAATCCTCGTAAGTGAGAAGCCAAGGAACAGCTGGAAACTGTTGTTTCATCACTGTTGTCGCTATTTATGATCTACACTTTGGATTGTTGATTTATACTCACTATGGCCGATTTGCATCTGTACTGAGGCCGCTGTTAAAGCCGTGAGTTTATCCAAGGGAACGAAGAGCACAATGGATTGGCAAAAGAGGATTTCATCTGCATGTAGGAGTGTATGTGAGAGTGTAGCCTGCATGACATTATTTCCAAGACACTAGACTGTGCCGCACAATCCATCAGACTCCAACTTGTTCCTAGTCAAACACGAATTCTAGTGAACTCAATACGCGAAAAGAAAATCACTTCATGGGTGGAATGACGAGCAGTGCAGAGGACGCGAATTACGTGTAAGCCACAAGTAAGAATATTAGCACCTCAAGAACCCGTATTCAAAACGCGAATTTCATTCGACATTTTACCACTGCTGCTGCGTATGGTTTCTGTGAGGTAACTAGCACACTCATTTTGAAAAGGTATTGCTTTATAACGGCATTACTCAAAAGTGTTATGAATACATGTGATAGTTTACGAGATAGAGATGAACAAATAAGGTATATCACCTGGTAGATTTTCAGTATTTATCAAGAGTGTTTTAAAGTTTTGTTAGTTTCGTGAGTGATGTGATTATCTTCTTAGCTATGATTGGAATGTGAAGTGACGGTCCCTCTGCCGAACTTGGATAACTTTCGAGGTTGAGGCTTTTAATCAAACGCCACAGCTTGACGTGTAGTGTGAGGAGGTGATCACATCATCTCAGTTAAGGGCTACCCGACCAGAAAATCCACCCAGAGTTGTAGGCACAATACCTACACAAATCTTGTCTTCAAACCAGCACTCGTGCATCACACAGGAAAGCAGAAAATTGACAGTGCTGGAGGCTGAAGAGCATCGTTTATTTACAAGAGTTTGAGAGAGGGTTCAGGTCCAAAAACATCCTGTGTCATTGCGAGCCGAGGTCAACTACTTCACGTCGCACGGAAACGTAAAACCATCTCTACTTCGTCAGCGCAGATTGCTGCCAGTTTGCAAATCATGGCGCTGAGAGCCGATGTCGCCGGCACTTTGGGAGACGGATTCGTCGCTCACTGAAGAGGGCAGATCGAGCGAGGCTGCGTTCTGGGTCTTAGCTCCACGAGCAGTGACGCCCGTCTGTCTCTGTATGTAGTCTCTGAGGAGACTCGGGCGGAATGGTCCATGCCTACCCTGCATACGCCGTCGACCTCACATGAGTGACAGCGATGTGGGAACAAACTGTGGGACAGTCTGATAAGTTCTAAGACAAGGGCTCAAAGTTTCTCAGTCAGCAAACACCAAGCAATTCATAACCAGCTCCACCCGTAAGCCCTCAGAGGTGCGCAAGAAACAGGAACCTTTTTCCGAAGAGCCGCATGCCAATGATTCTTAATGGAATTGTCAGTTCTGCCAGGAAGCATCTGTAAGGAAGGTACAGTGCAACATTTAGATCAGTTTTGATTTCATGGAACCAGCCAGAGTTCTGAGGAGAGCTGATGGTCTTCGTCAACAGCTGTTTGTCAACTAGAATCAGATGCTTTTCCCTTAGCAGTTAAAGCTGGGGATTGGAGAAAGGTTGACCCAGATGACAAGTATCTGTCACAGCGGAAACGACTGCTTTCAAGGACATTTTGCATTTTGCTTCCAGTCACAAAAGAATGCACACCTTGGCAATGACCGACCATTTGTTTCCGAAGGCCGCATGAGCACGCACCAAGAGCTGCTCTTCCTCATGTGTCCAGTCTTCCTTTTTTATGTTCGGCTGCAAATGATTCACCCAGCGCTCTCTGCATTGCTTTCCTAAGCGATCTGGGTTACGCGGTCAGGAAAAAGTTTTCACTGCTTGAGTTGCAGGAGGGGGATTTGAAGGATAAAAATCAAGGCAAGCCGCTTGAAGAACTTCGATTCTCTCTACGGGCAGTAGCTTAATCTGATGTTGCAATCAATTTGAAATGGAGGTTTTAATTCTAATATGAGTAGTCCTACGAGAGTTGGCAAGGTCAGCAGTGAGTTGTCATGCGCCATCAAGAACCTGAGCTTAGCCTTGCAGAAATGCCTTCCACCCACCTGCTTTACTTGTATCAATCATACTCCCTACTCGCTCACGAGTTCTGCTCTGGTACCCACATTGGTGATTGTAATAAGCACTAAATAACACTGAGCAGAATCGCTGATTAGTTTCACAGACTGCAATAAAGTTCACGAGAAAGCAAAGACGCTCCACTTTGCAGAGATTGCTGGTAACTGGCGTATGTCAACATGCGATTGATGTCAATCAGGAAATGTCAGTCATGATTAGCTTTGTACAAGCCAGCAATAGGTGCGACATTGCAATCACTACGAGGAACTGTAGCCATTCGTGCCGCGATGGAGCTCCACGACTGATGGGAAATTATAGACTCTGACCTTATTCCCAGTCCTCCTACAGTCGCGCATCCGCTCTGTTGTGAAACATGTTGAATGCTAAGGGTTAAGGGAGGTGTCAATGTGCTCTTAGTCCCAGTAAAATGAGAAGCGTCTACTTTGGCAACCTTGTAGGAAAATGCAGGTGTCTTGTTTGCTACTCACTTGACATGAATGTCGCAATTAATGACCATCGCCTTGTACCATACGTGTTCACGAGCTTAATCAGTAATCTATCATCTGCTATCCCCCAGTGTCCTTTTCCACATGGTCTTTGTGGAGTGGTTCTTCCTTCTGATGCGACAGCAACAGTCTCTCGCCCAGACGATGGAAGCGACGAGAAGTCATTGGTCGTCTTCGAAGGGTCCGATGTTTTGGTTTCTCTTGAATGTTGACCAGACTGTAGCGAGTTCCAAATGTACTCCTCATTAACAGGTGAACATATCAGACCAGGCGAATTGGCAGTATAAGCATTCAATGCAGGACTCAGGACCACCAGATGCGGTGAAGACCCGAGATAAACCTCGGGCTGCCGCAACGAAGTTTGCATTGTGCAATTGACTGGTCCCTTGATCCACCCCTCACACTTCATACTGGATGGAGCAGAGACTGAAGATCGAAAGAGCGAGGGATTCTCTGGACAATCCTGGAAACAATTGACCGCAGATCGGTCGGAAGTGGCCGTGGTGCACACAGCAGAACTCTTGGATTGACCAAGGGATGAATCATCATTCTCAACATGACAATGATGTCTGGCATGGATGGATTTTCCTTCCCAGTGATCTGCCTCCGTCGAAGGAGCACCAAGTTGCTGCTCTCTAGCCACAATCTGAGGAAAGAAAGGCTGAATCGGTGGACTCGGAATAACCGGAAAACTGCTCCCTCTTGTGGCCTGTCCGTGAACATTTGTAGCCTCTTGAGATTCATGTTTCACGTATCCAAAAGCACTCTCTGCTGACTGCTGTAAGCCAGAAGAATAGCTTACAGATGAGCCATTTGTTTCACGAGGAGGGCTAAAAAGTGCAGAAAGCTTATGAGGCGTTGGACACGATGCTAAAGGTACTCGCGGAGATGGCACAGGTCCCGGTCCATGAGCCGGGACTGGGTACACCGGGGAGCTCACACCCCACAACCGAGGTGCTACTCGTTCAGAGGAGGTCATCGCTGCATTAGTATTGGGAATCACCAAAGGGCTCTGATGGTTGATGTTGAGAAGAGGAAAGGCTGGATACCAGCAGTTACTATGGAAATGGGGATGCTGGACCAGAGTACCAGCTGGAGCATGCTGGCAAGTGCGATGGGACTGCCAAATGGAATGTTGGAAAGTAGTGGATGGCCTCAATCGAGGCTGCTCATACCAGCAGGAAAGCAAACTGGGGTGGTCGGTGCCCCACTGCGGTTGTACGCCCACTCCATCGACAACAACGAGGTGACTCGATCCTGGAAAGTAGCGCGCTGTGGGCATGCCAGTGCCAGGGTTAGAAGCTGGCACAGGTTGGCTCATTGAGTCTATTGGTAAGTGAAGCTGGATGTTGGAAGCCATGGAGTTTGGGCGAGCATGTGGACTGGTATCGGGGTTCAGTCTGCCGGCTTGGCAGTTCATCTCCATGCCATCATCTTCGGCCTTGCTGAATCGGACTCCTTGTGTCTGCTGCTGCACATCAGACCACAAATGTAAGCCGTCTGCTCAAAGACATGAAAATGCTGAAAGACAATGCATGGTGTGGAGGTTCTAACGAGCCAGAAATCATTTGTCAACGCTGCTTCCAAAGGTTCACAGAGCAGCTTGAGGCCTGCAGATCGAAGTTCAGTTACCGTGAAGGCTGTGTAGTGTTCAGTTCGCCTCTCACATGCTGAAAATTGGGGGCCTTCCTCGTGAAGCAGTTGAAAGTTGCAAGCCTGTACAGGTATAGGAAACACTGGCGACTGAGGCTGCTCGTGCAGTCTCTGTGATTTCAGATCTGCTGTAGCCGAGCAGGATGGTGAATCCTCAGCCATCAGAGGCAATCCGTTGCATTTGTGCAGCTCCCTCGCTTGAACATCAGCATTCTCCTCTCGCCATGAATCTGTGAACCCTAGGTCATGGTTGCCCTGTTTAGCTGGTTGGAAGGCTCACATGCTCACGCAGTCATCGAAAAACTGAAGGCAATTCCAACCAGGCGACTAGCTTTCTGATGTCCTCGATGGCAGAATCGAAGCTTCTCCTGTAGAAGTTCGGCTTTGCACGCATTGCTTAGCAGCAATTTCCATCGATCTCACCTTCACCAGGCGGTGCAGGTGTGAATTCTAGTTGTCATGCGGAAATTCCAGCTTGTTCGCCAAAGCATCTACCTTCCGGCCCACTGGGCGAAATTTGCTGTTCGGGAGGTATACAGCACGAAAGAACCATCTAGGTCTGCAGTAGGTGAGGAGCAATCTTTCACACGAGCCCCGTGCAGCATTCCCCGAGAAGACAGTTATGTCTGGCAGGTTACAGAGGCGAACTGGACGCAATCCGCTCTTTAATCTAGCCGCGATTTTCCTTTCGAAAACCACAGTTCAAGTGGTGCGCTTGCTGAAATTGAGATTGTTACCACCACCACCACCACCTGCAATGGTATGGCACAGCAGCAAAAACACGCACGCCGTTTCCATTCCCGGAACGCAGTTTGCTATCCAATCTTAAGCCGACATTGAGATGGAGGGTGCGGCGAAGCAATTTCGCCAGACACTCGGAGCTACCTGCCGATCTTTTAGGACTAGACAGCACTGAGCGTCGGATTCTCCCTCTTGGACAACTCGTCGTAGCTAAGAAGAAATGGTTCATGAGATCTGTTAAGAATTTCGACGGAAGAGTCCAGAATATAAAGGAAGACTCGAATGGCCCAAAAACTGCAGCAGCAATCTCAGTGCGCAGCTCACGGGGGACGAGGTCGCCAAAGTCGGAGGAGCGAAAGCACGAAGGGGTGCAGCAAGTCAGCAACTCTAAGCGTTGTGATCGGCAGGGCAGCTAGCTCCCTGCGCGACAGCGCGTCCAATTTATGGCTAGCAAGAGCGCGGAGCCTTTCTTGGACTTCCGATCGCCCTCTCTGCGCAAAACTGGCCTTTCTCTTGCACCTCGTCCTCGTCCCTTCGTGACAATGTCGCAATCCACGACTTTCCAAATCGAGGATACGTTCAGCCATTCTGCTCCAATGACTCTCATCTCCTACGACTTCGGCCCCTACCACGTCCGAACACCCATGGTTCCTGTCCGCATCTCAAGACACGACATTCCGAAATTCGACATCGCAGACCGATGATCTGTAATGACAAATCCTCCGATTCTGCCAGATTTTAAGAGCACTGCGGATCTTTGGGTCATCATCGTCTACTGTCCATCTCCCTTACTTCCTCATGGACGATTGCATTCGATGAGTCGAGAGAGACAATTCTGTCACGTCCACCGAAAAGCAAGGCGCGATATTAGGGATTGAAATCGTCGCAGAAATGCATTTCTTGATTCGAAGGCAAGGGCCGAAGTCTTATCGAAGGTCCTCGTCGTCCGAGAGGACGGACATTCCGCCCACGGTCGCTGAAGGGCCATGAGCTACCCAGAGGCCGGTTCTCACTAAACCTCCGGAGAAATTCGACAGCAGATGATTCCATCGTCTGTCACGCTTGCAGACGATCCACTACTGGCGGAGGATTTCTTTCCCAAGATCTACGTGCAACCCAATGGGAGTTGAGTGATCGAGGAAGTACAAGTCAATAGGGCCAGTGGCGGCCATAGTTGCAGTCCATGGGCGAAATGCGGCAGCTCTGTGGCTTTCTATTGTCCGAAGGTGGCGGGCCGGCCTCTGCTGTGGTTGGATACGGAGCTCCTGGAGTGCAGGAGGGGATGATGGGTTGGATCAATGATGGTGGAGGTCCCATTGTACTCGAGAGCGGGGTTCTACTTTTGCCGGAGCCAGATATGGCGCATCTGCTCCGGAAGCGCCAATGAATTGGGGCCTTGGGATTGATGCCCGTGTCAAGCACCGCGAGCAGCAGCAGCAGCGAATATGCCCTCGTTTGTCGCCTTGCTGCTCCGGGAATTAGAACATCGTCGAGCGCGCGAGCGAGCAGGTCGCGAGAGACATTGTCGTCCGGCTGCTGCTGCCACCGGAGCTGCTGCAGCGTGAGCTCGATTGATGCCTCGAGCGCCCCGATGGCGCTCTCTGCATCCCCGAGCGCTTCCTGTGTCTCCGGTGAGGGTCGGGTGATTCCCAATCTGCTGCGTTTCGGTGCGAGATCACGCATTTCCGCCCACTTCAGCTCCGTGTGCACGGGCACTGCTCTGAGGGTCGCCAGTCTGAGACATGCTCAGTTCCCGTGCCACCATTCGTGGCCTGCTCTCGGCGGGACAAGGTATTGCCGACAGAGAAGCCTGATTTTTCTTCTGTGATGGTGCTCGGTTCGAACTCATTGTCTGAATTCGCAGGACACTCAGAGCTCGGTCCGTCCTCCATGTACATGTCTGCAATCTGGTGCTTCACAATTTGTGATCGAGTGAGGCGAGGAAATTATTCTGTACATTGCGGGGACCGAATTCGTCGATTGTTGGTGTTACGAAGAAGTCACGAGGATCATCCTTCGCAGCATGGGCATGACGGTTTCTGTAATGCTGTAGGAAGAGCACGCAGCTCTCGACGAATTGACCTACCATAGCTTGTGTGGGAGTTTTATTTTTCGGGTTGGATAGAAACTGTTCTACTTCATGTGCGAATTAGCCTCACTGTCATTGGGATGAAATTTGTGCTCACCGATCATTTGGCTGAATGGTCGAAAACATGGCAATTCAAATGACTGCAATGCGCTCGAAGATCAGGCACACAATGAGAGAGAAAATTCCCATTCCTTGACCGCTCATCGTTTGCCATGTGAAATTAGGTCCCGAAAGGCAGCTGGAGTCAAGGACAAAGGGTTGAAACGGGTGCTGTGTAGTCTGGAAGGAACTCCAGGCGATTTAGAGCCAAGCACTAGTAGTGGCAGCAGCAGTGGACCGGGTCCATATGTGAAATGGATATTAGTGGCTGCTGTTGTGGTCGCTGCAGGCGTGGCTCTTTACATGAAGATGGACAGCGGAGCTCTTACTAGCGTCGTATCCGATCCAGGGCCAGTGGTGCAAGCTTCTCCAGATGCTGCTGCGAGTTTCAACATCAAACTACCGGGATTCAGTCTCTCTCTTGGAGAGAGAACTCCAGGGTGAGCTTCTTGTGCTCTGCGAAGAGTGCTAGTGAGGAAGAGATTGCTTCCCAATGCGAGCAGTCTTTTTCTTGTCCGTGTACTTGAACTTTGAAGCCATGAGCATCAAAGCTTGTATGTAGTTGGAAATCTGAAAGTTATTTTTTCCCGTGTCTTGTAAGTGTCAGACCCGGTACTCAATAATTGTTTTCCTCTACATCTATCGACAGGTGGATCTACTTTGTACTTCTCATGGCGGCAGGATTCGGGCTTTTTGTGAGCGAAGAGGCCTTGAATGTCTGGGTGCGTGCTTCATGCTGGTACTTTACCCATCCTCCTCAGTTTGTACAAACCTGCTGTTGTCCAGACTCGAAATCCTTGGATTGAGCAAAGTGCTCAGGTCCTGCTTTAATTAAAAAGCACTGTAATTTGGATATTCTGGTAAGGAAAGATGGCAGGATCGAGGGCTATTAGATGTAAGAACATGTGATGTGACTCTGTCATGTCATTCGGCTATGAGCAAGTACTGAAGTAAGTGAAGTATCCCTCTGTGGCCGATAACACAATTTTCCATCTTTTGCAGATTGGAGCCTCACTCGCGCGCTGCTTAACATATACCTCTCGAGAAGCTTTTTTAAGTTCATTATCAGCCAATGCTCCTCACATAATCTCAACTTTGGTGTGGGTGTACTGGTAACGTGACTCAACTTAAGCCTGATGAATTCAGCGAGAAGTGTGAGTCCCATCTGAGTTTTTCTTGCAGGGTATTTAGGAGGTGATATTGAAGAAGTCTCTTGCGTCCAAGATATTGCAGTCTATCGCATTTGAAGAGTTATTTTCTCTCTGCACTCTTGTAGGGGAGTTTGCATCAGTGACCTGGTTCCTTTCTATGCTGGAAAACTTGCTGCCAACACGGGCGATCAAGTTCGTGAAAAGGTTTGGTCTCTTGTACACACAGCCTACACGCAGTAGGCTTGTTTGTCGTTCCTTCCACTGGCCTTGTAAAAAAAACATCTGGCCGCTCTTGGTTGCTCTGGATTGCCTTTGCAGACAAATTTACCATCTGTAGCCATTGGTCCATTTACTGTTTACCTTTAGTCTTCCTCAAACTCTGTTAGTCTTTTTGGACCTTAAAGTAGTTCTTTTGACGAAACACATCTCAGTCAGAGCATCCGACGGTGGGCACGCAAGTTGGAGCCCTCATTTGGGGATCAGACAAAAGATTGCAGGATTTGAAGTACTAACAGCTAGGAAACACAAAAGAAAGGTAAAGCACATGCCGTCTGTGTAGCAGTCTTTCTTAGATTGGAAAGAGTAGTTAGTGTAACATACATCATATACTCGAAATGACATTGCCAGCTGCACCAAATCCAGAGTCCTCACTGAAGTGGTCGATCGTTTTAGAAGAATCGTTCTTTACTATCAAGTACCGTCTTTCTGCTGTTTGAGCACCGTCGTGATGCCTGTGTTGCAGCTTGGTGTGAGCAAAGAGAAGTATGACAAAGTCAGGGCGAACGTACAACGCTACGGGAATCTGATTGGCTTCGGTGCGTCGTCACAACCCTGGACTCAGATATCTTCTTTTGACGTTTTTTTTCTTCTCTTTTTTGAGAGCTTAATTTAGATTCGGTAGAATGAAGGGACATGCAGAAAAAGTCAAACTTTCTCCTCTTTTGGTTTTGTTGATGGGCTGTTTTCTCGTCCGATGCAGTGGAGCGGTTCTCTGTGGGTATACGCAATCCAACGGCTTTTTTAGCCGGTGTTGCTGTAAGTTTCTCAAGCAGTCCACTGTGTTGTAAATCAGCTATGACAACAAGCCTTTAGAAGATGTTAGAAATGTTATTGATGCTATTTACCTGTGACTTTGTCATTTTAGTAAGCGGAACTCGGTATGGATACAGAACTTTCAGCCCGTACTTGTTGTTCCTCTGATAATATCGATACGAGTAATCGTCTATGCAGGGGATATCGCCCATAAAATTTTTTGTGGGAGTCTGCTTTGGAGGTCTCATAACGTTTCCCATCCAGGTACAAGGGTCTCGTCAGTCTTCTCTGTGTCAACTGGCAAACCTTAAAGTTTAGTTAACCCTGCTCACTGACATGTCAGTCTCAGATGATATGCCACTAATTCTCTTGGTCTAATTTTGATGCAGTTGAGCATTGGATTTGCGCTCCGTGAAAATCCTGTTGCCGCCTTGGCGGGAGTTGCAGCCATAGTGGTGAGTAATCTCAGTTGTTGAGTTTCTGATTTGCTTTCATAGACGGTCTGTCAAACTGTGACGATAGTTCTCCTAGACTCTGATGCTAAGCCCGAACCTACAAGTTAATGACTTTTGTCTTTTATTTGCAGGGTGCATGGACAGTCTTTCCATATGCAGCAGCTGGGATTGTTTCCTTGTATTATTTCTTAACGAGAAGCACCAAGAAGTCTGCATAGAGTTTAGAGCATGTTACCTTAATTTCAAAAGTTAGACTGTGCCCGGTTGTAATTTTATCTTCATGGTCACCATTCGCTGTGATCTTATTCTGAATGACGGTCTTACAGAAGCTCATCATTATTATCATTCAAATGTTTCTTTTTTAGGATCTTCACTTTCTTAGGACTAGGCTATGGTCGAGGGCAAGTAGTAAGATTCTGGCCTCAAATATACATCTGGAGGCAGCTTTGCCAACTCGGGTGTTTATGTACCTGAATGTTTGCTTATAATAACCTTTTCACCGAAGTGAGCCTCTTCAAACCTAGCACATTGTGATGAACAGAGGATTCAACATCAAATATCTTGGAATATAAACCTGATACAACATTGTGTAAGATTGGGTGACACACTCTCAAAGGGATAACATCATACTTGGTTGTGCTTTCAACATCCATCGTTCTGAACCTGTTGGTGGAGGATTGGATCAAGAGAAGATGGAATTAATGCGCTAGAGGAAACGAGATCAAAGAATTTCAAATTTGGAATAAGCAACCCAGAGGAGCAACTACGTTCGGCGTCATCGGCCTGAAAACTGTGAACCTCATGACGGTTTACATGCACTGTATATTCGAGGAGGTATTGAGAGTACAAGCCACTGAAAAAGTATATTATATCACTTAGGGCAAAAGCCTCACAGTAACGATAACTTCTCACTGCTCTTGCTGCAGGATACAATCAACTACATCCAGTTCACATCCAAGGAAATTCGGACTCCGGAAGTCAGGTTCCAGGAGCTATCGAGGACGAAAGTATATCAAGAGGTCAAGGGTAGTTTCTCACAGAATGTGAGGTTTTACTTTGCCGTAAGTTGAATGAATAAAAACTGAATGAAAGAATCTCTTCTTTTTACAGTGTGGGGTCCATTGCCATCTAAGTTGAACTTTGGAGCGTTATCAGAGATTATGCTAGTGTTTGAAGTTTCGATTACTTTTCTCAATTCTGACAGGCAGGTTTTGTACTTTTCCTAGATCTTATTCTTTTATCTATCCACAAATTCTGAGGTTTAAGAGCCTGAAGTTAGAGTTAGAAGTTTTAGATATCTTCCTAATTTACGAACTTTGTTTGTTTGCGAACGGAACACAAAATTGACAAAGTAGCAAGTTGACAGTTTTTGGTTGACAGTGGTCCGGAGGACGACACGTTAAGCCCCATGAAATGAACGGCATACGTGTGCACAACCAAATGAGCTGATTCCAGACCGGAAGACTTGAAATTGTTCAGCGTAATCGAAAGTGCTTTGACACTGTTTGAAAGTCAATCAACCTCATGCTCGGGTTGGTAGCTCTTGGTACGCGCGCGCGTTTCCCATTCGCATCATGAATTCTTTGCGGCAGTGCATTTTTCATAGAAAGGGACGTACCATTCATGCTACGCGTCCCATCTACCAATCCATTCTGTTTACTTTAGTGGAAGCTGGTAGAAGCTTCGGACAGACTGCTCTCTATCGTGCCAGCTCTTCCACCTCACTGCTGATAATCACAAGTGGAAGTGTAGCATATGGCCTTCTAGATATTCAGAAGTCAATACGGAGGTTTTAAACTTGCTGAATTGAATCCAGCACACCCCTCGAACATCATGCAGAATGTTCATCTACCTGTGAAATTCGTTCGTTGTCGACAATGCGTACACATGCTCCTCACACAATCACAGAGTGCGGGCTGTTTCTTTCATGGAGACAGAGCCTAAAAAAATCAGCAGCAGCAAGACGGCATTGGCTCAAGGATCCACTTACAAACAAACTGAAGTAACAGCGATGAGGTTCCTATCACAAGAACATCATCCCTCTGGAAGCAATTGCACACACGATTCTCGAGAACTGCACTGCGCGAGCCAAAGATCAGTTTGCAAAAACTCAGAGCTCCTTCGTCTTTGAAGGAAAGCTCAACAGACTCTCTTTACATATGAAAGGCCGTAACGCGGCTGTGCTGAACACACAGCCGACTGAACATTATGTGGAAGTAAGATGCCCCAGACTGTCGCTTGCATACGTATAGCACCCTCGTCCATCAGACTGCAAAGAGATGGAGGGTGGGGAATCCTGACCTGTGGCAGCAGATCCTACAGGTGACGGACGACGATTCACTTGACTTCGGAATAGGCGAGCTAAGAACTGGATTTCTGGGTATGTATGCCACGAGCGATAAGTTCCTCGATAAATTATACTACACTGTGCTGGCCGAGTCAGAGCAGAGACAGATTTCACAAGCGGCAGTCGCCAGGGCATGGCTTTCTACCTGAGCTTGAGCTCGAGGAACCGATCAGTCGACCACCTCAATTAGGGAAGGCTCGTAGTCAGCGGGAGCCTCAAAGCCCAGCAGATTCAAAGTGGTCGCGGCCACATTGGCCAAGCCTCCGTTGGGAAGATCCTTCCTGAAGCGCACATTCTTGGGGAGGCCGGGGCCTCCGATGGCGATGGGCACGGGGGCGCAAGTGTGCGAGGTGAGAATCTGCAGCTTGCCATTCTTGTCCAGAACCGGCTTCGTCGTCTTAGGGTTCCGCTTCACCATATCCTCGGCGTTGCCATGGTCGGCGGTCACGAGGAACATGCCCCCGACTTGCTCGACGGCATCGAGAATGATCTTCACGGCCTTGTCGGCGGTGGCGCACCCGACCACGGTGGCGTGGAAGTCGCCCGTGTGCCCGACCATGTCGCCATTGGGCAAATTCACGCGCACGGTGTCGAATTTCCCGCTCAGAATGGCGTCCCGGGCTTTCTCGGCGATCAGAATGGCCTTCATCTCGGGCGCGACATTGAACGTGATGCCCGAGTCGCTGGGGATCTCGACGTACTCCTCGAGCTCGTGGCTGAATTGGCCGGATCGGTTCCCGTTCCAGAAGAAGGTGACGTGCCCGAACTTGACGGTCTCGCTGCAGGCGAAGGTGCTGATGCCATTCTTCACCATGTACTCGCCGGACGTGCGATCGATCTCGGGCGGCGACACGAGGAAGTGGTTGGGCAGCTTGAGCTCGCCGTCGTACTGCAGCATGCCGGCGTACTTGATTTTGGGCCATCGCACGCGGTCGAAGCTGCTGAAATCCGCGAACTCGAGCGCCTTGGCCATCATGACCATGCGATCGGCGCGGAAATTGAAGGTCACCACGGCGTCGCCGTCCACGATCGGACCCACGGCCTGCCCGGCCTCGTCCACGATCACGAAGGGAGGATAGTACTGATCATTCACCTTGGGGTCGGCCTCCTTGAGCTTCTTCAGCGCCTCCGTGGCGCTCGCGAACTTGTGCGGCGCCTCGCCGAGCACCTGCGCGTCCCAGCCGCGCTTGACGACATTCCAATCGTTCTCGTATCGATCCATGGTCACCTCCATGCGCCCTCCGCCCGACGCGATCAGCGCGTCGCACCCGGAGGCGCGAACCTCCTTCAGCGTCTGCTCGAGGTCATCCACGAAGCCCAAGCTCGATCCGTCGAGCACATCGCGCCCGTCCGTGAGCACGTGCAGGCGGATCCTCTTGGCGCCATGCGCGGCGCAGCCCTTGATGAGTGCCTGCAGCTGGTCGAGGCGCGAGTGCACGCCTCCATCGCTCAAAAGCCCGATGAGGTGCAGAGTCCCCGTGGGAAACGCCTCCTGGATGTACTTGAATCCCGAGCCCTGGAAGAGCTTGCCCGTCTCGAGCGCGGTGTCCACCAATCCTGCGCCCTGCTCGAAAATGCGCCCTGCGCCCAGCGCGTTGTGCCCTACCTCGCTGTTGCCCATGTCGTCCTCCTTGGGCAATCCCACCGCCGGCCCGTGCGCCTTCACCAGCCTCCACGTATCCGGGCGCCCATTCTTCAGCGCATCCATCGTCGGCGTCTCCGCGACGTGAATCGCATTGTACTCATCCGACACCTGCTCGCCCCATCCGTCCAAAATGATCACCGCCAGCTTCTTGCCCTTGGGGATCTTCGGATGCGCCGGCAACACGAACGACGCCATCTCTCCTCGCTCTCTCTACCTCTGCAAAACTTCGATCGCAATCCCCCGCGAGGTGACAGAGTCGAGTCGAGTCGAGTGAGCTGCGATCGTTTCAGTACGGGCGAATGAATGTCTGTCTGAGGCCTTCTGTCTCGAGCTCCTCCTTGTTCCTTGCTTCTCGTGCACCACCTACTCCTCCAACAGATGCTCGGCATGCGCTTATATAAACGAAGCAGCTGCAGGTCGCGGGCTCAAGACCGGCCCCGAGGCACCCTATCCACACGACCCGCCCCTCCCCGCCTACGACAAGCTCAGCTCCCCGAGCTACGAGCGAGGAGTCGTCGCTTGGGCCACCCTCCCCACTCCTCCCCCCACTCCTCCCTCTACCATACAATACTGTATGGACGATCTAACACTACAGTACACTGTATTACTGCAGTCTGGCTGGGCACTTGAATTCCTCAGGGAATGTCATTTCCTCTGGCCCTCACTCTTTTTGGAGTGAATGCATATCAATGGTTATCATCAAAGTGTGGATTTCCAATTTGGAAACTTTTTTTTTTTATCTGGGCTGGGCACTTGAATTCCTCAGAGAATGTCATTTCCTCTGGTCCTCGCTCTTTTTGGAGTGAATGCATATCAATGGGTATCATCAAGGTGTGGATTTCCAATTTTGAAACTTTAAATTTTTTTCTGTTATGCTTACGAGCTGAATACAAGCAGTGACACTCGCTCCGACGTAGAATGAGAAGAACTAAGAAAGCGCTGAGTGTACTCTTTATTTATACTTGTTGTGCATGCTAACTATGCCTACCCTTTGTTGCTTCGGAAGCACAAATAATACGAGGAATAAATGTTATGAGTGAGTATGGACGTGCATGGTCCAAAACTAGAGGAAATTGCAGTGTTGTGGAAAACGCTAGTCATGGTTTGAGTGTGAGGGCGCAGTTGTGCACTTCCCTGGACGTCGACGATAGAGCCCCTTCGACAGGAAACTGGAGCTGGAGCCGAACATGGAGATGGAGATGGTGTTCAGATCGGCCCTGCCGTTCTGTGTCGTGCGTCGAGTTAGCGGAACATTCCAGAGATGGGACAAGTCGCAAGCGGGGGGCGGTACGTACGGTCAGAGATCGAGGCAGTGCAGGTCGTATGTCTCCTAGACTGTAGAGGCTTGCATGTGCTAGCTCCCCCGGCCACAGACGAACAGGTCATCGATCTCGTTCGTTGCTTCCTTGGCATTTCAGTGTCTTCACATGTATTTGTGCACATGGACGCCTCCAGTTTGCGCCTTGACAGTAATAGGTGACTGTTCTCATTTGACGGGAACATGGAACTGCTTTAGTTCCGTCTGGTGGTGTCCCTTCTGGGGAGTACTCTTTTGGAGATATTTCTGCTGGTGAGAGCATTCGTAAAGTCTCAGCTCTATTCGTCGTATATATGGAAGCTATTGAGAGTAACGATGCTTACTGATGAGTATACACACGTTAAGACCGCGTCTAAAACTTGCGTGTTTTCATGATCCGACATTAAGATTTCAGATAGGCCTAATTACACGTGAAATTGCCCGCATTAGCGTAGACATTTCTTAGAAAAACTTTGGAATTTCGTTAGAATTTTATCAACGTGCATTCAAATGAAATGCCAAATAAATCTGACTTTCACTCTTGCAACTTCTTCCATCATAATTCAAATATCAAAATTTATGCTGTACAAATGTATAAAATTTGATTCGATGTGTTTTATATATTAGTTAACATATGAATAGAACCTTTTACTTTGAATTTTGATTTTCAATATGGATTCCAATTCATTTTACATTTGTATATCATGAAAAGTAGTTTCCAAGATACTAAATTCGTATAGAGGTTATTGTAACGTGGTAAACACAAATAACTATGTTGAAATTGAATAATCTCTTAGTAAGGATATGAAACTCAATAATACTCACGTTACAACACTCCTAACCTAATCTTATTTCGTATGAATTTTGGATTGAAGTTGTTAATATCGCATTATGTTTAGTAATTTTTTTTACTTTTAGTGCATTAGAACTCTTCACACCGATTGAATTGAAGCACACAAGGATGTTTAATTAAAGTCGTTAAAGAAACTTTAGTTGTAAATATCGTAATATATTTAATAGATTTTTTGCTTTTTAGTGGATTCAATTTCTTAACACCATTTGAATCGAATCACAAATGAATGATTGATTATAGTTGTTAAGAAAATTTTAGTTGTAAATATCATAAATTATATAGTAAAATTTTTACCTATTAAGTGGATTTAATTTCTTAACACTAGTTGAAATAAAGCACAGACGCAAGATTGATTATAATCGGTACAAAAATTTTAGTTGTACAATTTATACTTCCATATTGAAGCAAATTAGTATCAAATTGTATCCTATATCCAAAATATGTTGTTTCTTTGAATATGCAATTGTTGTGAAAGGTTATAAGCTATAATATACAATAATGTATAAAGATATTGTTAGTTGAATTATTATTTTTAATGAGCTCAAATCATTGAAATATATGAACATTTCTCAAACTTCACATACTGACAAATATATATTTCACTCACAAACGAAATTGAGGAAATAATTGATCATTATGTATATAATGATGTGACACAAGGAAAAATTTTGGCATTTAGCAAATAAAATTTTGAAGAACAAAAATTAGAATCATGAACATGATGAAAAAAGATTATTTGAAGCCATGTAAATGATTGAAGATTGTAGACAAGAGAATGATGAGACAACAACAAAGTTTAATTAGTTGTAACAAGATATACTACAATTCACAAGGTAGTGAATTGTAACATACTTTGCTATAATTGATCATTTGTATGGATTTTTGAAGAGAAAAAAATAGATAAGATAAATAATTAGCTTTTGGAACAAAAATCAAGAGAAATTGGTTTGTAGATTACTGAAATCATATTATAGATTAAAACAAGCTTTTTAATAATGTAATGCATAAAGATAAATAAAAAGATCTTCAATCCCATTATTCTAGTAATTTCTGTGGATGACATGTTTATTTTTGCAAAGAATCAGTATGACCTCCACAAATGCAATAATTAATTGAAGCTTTCATTTTTAGATGAATTTTTTTGATAAAACCAAAAGTATATTTGAAATGGATAGAAATTTGGAAACATAAAAATTATTTTTTAGTCAATGCAATTATGTATAACCAATTTAACATGACAATTCCAAAAGAATATGCATTTTTATGCAATTAATTTATAACTTTTCATAGCTGAATGTTCAATCAATGTCATTGAGAAATGAAAGATGTCATCAATTTTCAGGATAAAATTGTGTATAGTCTCATGTATTTGATGATATGCACAAGACCTCATATTGCTCTAACTATAAGCAAGATGATCAAATACATGTCAAATTCAAGAAATGTGAAAGAAGTGAAATAAATTTCTAAGTATCAAAAAAATACTAAAGATTATGATATATTGTTTGATGATTTAATAGACAATGCCAAATAATTGAGGATCTTGTGTTTACATTTGATGATGACTGCTTTAGTTGGAAATATATCATACAAAAGTGCATAATCCACAATCAATCCACAATAGAAGTTGAATATATAACGGCAGCTAAAGCAACGTAAAAACTACTTGGTTGAATAAACTTATCATTGAGTTTGTATTGAAACATGAGGTTATCAAACTTCATTGTGATAGTAAAATGAGTTACATATTATTTCAAATTAAATAATCAACAATAGAGTGAAACATTAAGTTAGTCAAAATAGACGTTAAAATCAATACAATTCATGAGTTGATCAAAGTTATTGTTTACATTGTAACTAAACATTGTCACTATGCAAATTTTGCATGATGATCATAGTTAAAGTTTATTAGCAATTTTTTTAATCTAATTCATGTGTTGATAAAAATTATTGCTTACATTGTGATTAAACATGGTTAACCATGCAAGGTTTGCATGATGAGCATAATTAAAATTTCTTAGCATTTTTATTATCTTTATACATTTTTCGTCTTTACTATATGGCTGCAAGTTAGTTTAAGTTAACTTTAGTTAAAAAATTTTTTAAATAGAAATCACTTCTAAGTTGTATGACTTATGCAAATTAATGTACTCACAACATGTATAAATGACAAAAAAATTTAGCATGAACTTAAATTTGGGTTTAACAAAATTTAGCTCAATAGTAGTAGATTTAGTTCTAATTTTAATTACGATTAGGATTTTGCTACACACTGTATATTGTAATACTAGCTATAACTGGCTTTGAATATTTTGTAGGTTTTAGTAAGATATTCTTATTCGCATGAACGTGGGTTGAAAGTGGCAAGTCATGTATATGTCGTCGTGATTATATGTTTAGTGGATTTCTGTGTTCTTTTGCTTTTACATTGAATTGTCAAACAATCAAAATATCTTAATGTCATCATAAATTTTGAAATTATTAACAATGTTTGAAATTTTTTTCTAAATCCAAAATTGAGTAGAATTATGTTTTAAGACAATTTTTCACTTTGCTATCAATTATTTTATAGAATTGGTATTATTTTATATAATGATAGTACAAATTACTTTTTTTTATTTAATTAAAAACAATTTGAAGATTTATTTAGGATCTTATATTTTTTCAAAGATATAGATTTTATGTTAAAACCAAAAATTTAGATTTTGTTTGAAAAATGTAAAGATGAAAATTAATTTCCTAAATAATTTTTTTAATGATTTTCTAGAATTTTAGATAATTTATAATATATATCTATCTATCTATCTATCTCATCACACATCATTTGATTAAGGTCATCTAACATTTTTGAAATTTTTTTTCTTTGTAAGATCCTATATAACTAAATGTCAATGTTTTTTTTACCACAAAATCAGCAAATTTAATAATGAAAACCATATTTATATCTAACTATGTTTGAATCTAAATTTTATGATATCGATATAAGATATTTATTGGATAAAACTTAGAATTGTTATAGTTTTTCTTAATCAGTTAATAAAAATGCTACTTTATAAATTTTATATTTTAAACAATTCCTCTTATATACTTTTCATATGCAATTGATCATTTAACTCTCTTATAGTTTGAATGGATATCAAAATCTAAAATGAATACATAATTTCTTTTTATTTCATAATCTACTTTAAAATATATTAAATAATTTTTTTATTTTAAAGATAATTTATCTATGAAAAAATTGAAACAAAACTATTTATACTATTAACCAATAAAATATTTTGACCAAATTTCATATAGAAATTATTTAAAAATAGAATTTACTTTAAATGAAAATTAGATATTTTAAAATTTACAGTGTATATTATCATGTCAAGACAACTTAGAT